GGGCCAAACTATGTGCCAGCAGGTAAAACACAATATGCAAATGACTATACAGCCACACACACCCATACACACACACACACTCAGACATATTCATGCATATCTCGAGGTCGACAGATCAAACAAAAACTGAACGCACAAGTCAAAGCTGGGCACATTAGAATAATGTCAGAGCGACAAGAGGCTATATCAGGGATATGTACCTAGAATGTATGCTACGGAGGTATAAATGCAAATGCAATATGGAACAGAAATGAGAGGCAAAAGCCATTGGCAAATGCGCGAGGACGAAAGCGAAGCTCTCTGATCTCTGCCTTCCTCCCTCTCTCTCTCGCCTCGACCCACAAAGTTGGGTGCTGATTTATGAACAGTCCGTATATATACATATATATATATTTATATATCTGGTGTATATGCTGACACACACACACATATATATCCTGGCACATATCCTGCTGCTGCTCGCCGTGTGACTTTGCATATTTCTCTTGCTGGCGATTTGCTGGCCGTAAATTTATTAGAATAGCTGGGCAGAAAAAAAGGAAGTCATTCCTTTGTCGCTTAGCAGGACACCAGCAGCATCTCCTACACACACACACGCACACCTCGGCACACACTCATGCATATGCAAATTGTTACAGTCTGTCTATCTGTCTGCGTGTGACCCACTTTGATTGTGGGCGTGACGCATTGCCACACACACAGACACGCACAGACCTCACCAGCCCCCTTTTTGCAATATTTCCTGTGTATTTTCAGTTTTGTGTCTGTTGTTGTTTTTGCATGACAAACAAAAATTATAATTGCACTTGAAATTGGCACATGGAGTGCCTGTGTCTGTGTGTGTGTCTTTGTGTGTGTGCTGCATGACAATTGTTATCTGACATTAAAGAGATTACTGTTCTGTTATTCAGTTACATGCGAATTGAACTTGAACTCAATTTCCCATAGATAATTTTGTATTGCTTAGCAGCTCAAGGCGATCGACTGTATTATTAAGATAAACGATGCATGACTTTGCCAATAATAATTCTTTCTCTTTGTGTGTGTGTATTAAGCACTCAATGATGACAAATGCAGAGAAACTATGCGAACTTATTTGCAGATAAGTATCTGAAGCTCAGCAGGAAACTGGTCGCATTTAGATGTGATGTTTGATTTTTGGTGAAACAAGAGAATTTCTGAAGACTTCGTGTTCGATACACACATCTTGTCTTAAGGGACGACTTTCTATCAGTAAGAATGTATCTACATAAGATTTTAAGATTTTGTGCTTTTAGGACTTGTGCTCGAATAACCACAGTTTGATATTGATTTCAATCGATTGAAGTTAAAAAGTTATCGATTATTTGAATAAGTCTGATCTGCACGTGTTCGTGATAGACGCTGTCTGGAATATTAATTTTTATAATCATAACAGAACCATTATTCTTATAACATATTTAAGCAATTTGCAAGCGTTGTTCTTGCCCGGATCTATCCATTTATCTACTATGAAATGTCAATTAAAACTTAACAAAATGCCTCTATTTGCTGTTTGCTGAGCTGTCAAATAGCACAGCAGTGCCTAGTTATAGTTGTAGGACTCTAAAAAAGACACCCTTTATATTCGTAAATTAAAGATTTAGTTTTAAATGGAATGGAAAAATGCTTTCCTTTGTCATTTGCATATATATATATATATAAATATATATATATATATATATATATATATATATATATAGATTCCAAACTATTTTAGATTAAATTTCAATTCAATTTCTGTTTTACTCTCACAAATTCATAATTTATTATTAATTAATAGCGAGCCGATGATAATAGGAAACACAGCTCTAATTAATGTTAGAAGCCCACACAAATGCAAATACCAACCACATTATTCAATTGTCACTGTGTGTGTGTATGTGTGTGTGTTAACAATAAGATACAGAGCTACTTCATAGGTGCATTCGGCATTCAAGGGGCATCCATAATACAAAAATGGGAAGCCTTAGCTTATAGCCAACAACAACAGCAACAACGACAAAAGCATCAACAACAACAACAACAACAACAACAATATAGCTTCCAAAAGTATTTATGCAGATGTGCGAGGCATTTGCAAAGGTCTAGTTGTTGTTGTTGCTTTTGGGCCAAACTCATCTTTGGCGTATTTTTGGGCCAGGCGACACTCACGCACACATAGGAATATTTGAATGCCTAGCAGAGTGTGCGTGTGTGTGTATCTTTTGCTAGGTGTACGTGTGCATGAGTTTTGCAAAATAGTTTTTGGGTCATATCAGTTTGACAAACATGCGGATTATCCCTGGAATTATTAATTATTATAACTGCAAAACACGAGGCTCGCTACAGCTGTCTATGCGTGTGTGTGTGCGTGTGTTGTGCCTTATGAAAAGGACAACTGGTTGACTAATTGGCCAGCCGAGCGAGGTTTCAAAACTTTCGGAAACAACTAAACTAACTGGCCACAGTTAGAAGATACAATATAAAAGTTACAAGATACAATTGTATCTTCTAGCTGGCAAACTACTGAAATTTAACACTGGCAGCGTTGAATAGAATTTGAGGCAGATCAAACTTTTTTCTTTTAAACAAAATAAAAAAATCATGCTTTAAGCATTTTCAATTGGATATGAAAATCTTTTAATTATTTTTTGCAGCTCTCCCAATGCTTATTTATAATAATTTAATAATAATATAATTTATTAATGCTTACAAAATAGAATTAAAGAATCTAAATCTTGAATATATGCATGTATCTCTAAGATACTTCTGCCAACATTTAGGCAGATTTTCATAAAAGTTGCCATATTTGCAAATTACGGATACGTTTGCTGCGTTAAGATACTTTTGTATATTTCAGATACATTTTTTCATTGTGCTGCTTCAATTGCGTAGCTTCCATCTGATTTGCATTGCCATTTGCTGCATTCAGATACTTTTATATCTTACAGATACGTTTTTCGGTTGTTTTCATTTGCACATTTTCCTCTGCTTTTGTATCTTTTGTTTAGTTGTGCGGCTTTTGGAAGAAAATTTCTTGAGAAATTCATCTAGTTTTCCGATGCGGTTGCCAGTTTTTCGCGCTGCTGTGGCACTAATGCGCCTTTAATTTGCGGCCATGTTGCATGAAATGAGCTGCTAATGTGTTTCGGGCGCTGCGATGGCCCCAAAGCAGGCTCTACATGTGGCAGCAACAACAAACATTTCACTTGACGCGCCTAATGAGTTAAGGCAAGCCGCAAACCTCGGGCCAGCTCCAAACTAAGGCTGGGGTAGGGATTTGTCGGAGGGTGGGGAGGGGCAGGCAAATGTATCTGGCTGGGGTCGCGACTTTGACTAAGTTGCGGCAGGCGATTGGTTGCTGTTGCTGTCAACATGCAACAATTTATTACGCATTTTATTTAAAAACAATTCTTGAAGCACCCTGGCCGCTTTCAACGCCTGCCCCAAGTGCTGTTTATAAGAAAATTGCATTGAAAATAAACAGGCCTACAAATTGTTGAGAAACAAAATAAACTGTGAAAAGGCGAAAGTAAAACGTAAACAGCAAATAGAAAATGCGTAAACAAATTGAGGAAAACTCGGAGAAAATGCAGTTGCAACATTCAATGGCAGTTAGCAACATGTTGCCAGAGCGTAAGAGAGCAACGAGAGCGCAGCTGTGTTGCTAAGGGAGAGAGTAATAGAGCGGGAGAGCAAGCGAGAGTACAAAGCAAGCGTTCATTTTCGAAGTTCGAATTTCGAAATTGAGCTGCTGCTGTTGCCGGTCTCCCAGCCGCGGTGTTATTGTTGGTGTCACTTTACGTGCTGCAAAACGGAAGAAGAAAAACAGCAAAACTAAAGCAACAAGAACAACAACAAATCAAGCGCTGGAAAAGCGCACTGCGAGACATTGACCTTGATCATCATCATAGCTGTTGTTCTTGTTGCTGTTCTCTCTGCTTTTGTTGCTGTTGCATATTCGTCATTGGCTTTGGCTGCTGTCTGTTTCACATTGGCCAAATACCGTCTGGGGATTTTTTAGAGACTGAACCAACGAAACAGCTGCGTATTATAACTGTAATATTATCATGTGCCTACAGTGGGCGCCTGTATATTTGCTTTTGTCTCCATATATTTTGTAATTATCTGCCAATTGGTAATTGGAAACCCCACTTGATTTCAATCAATTCAATAATACGGTTATTCTACTGTTTTTACTTATTATTTTTACTGTAATAATATCAATAAAAAACAGCTTTTTTAATGCAACAAATATCAGCGTAATTCGATACAAAAAACAGTAACTAGCTAAAAATCTACTTATCCACATATATTTATATTTAAGTATAAATATTTTAGGATTGAAATGGCAAATTGACCCAACAAGAAAAAAACTAAAAAATAAGATAAAAACGCGCCAATGTCAGCAGCAACAAAAACACATGCGGCAAGCAACGCTCAGATTCAACTGTTTCATTGCAAATATAGCCAAGCCAAAGACCGAGAGAGCGAAAGAGCTAGAGAGAGCGTAGGTGGCGTTCATTTCGTTGTGAAATGAACAGAAGCAACCAAATGTTGCGAGCGTGTTCAAACATGCAAGCAGCACTACCCGCGTATGTGTGTGTATATGCAAGTAGGCAACATTTGACCAGGCTGCTGCTGCCGAGCATTGCCGACGCTGCTGCTGCGACAGCGACTGGTACTGCTCGGCTCTCGTTTTGAATTTCAGTTTCAGTTTTTGACTCGCAGTCGCCGCTAACAGACGTGTGCGTCTCGCGTGTTTTATGTGAGGAATCAAAACGAATTGACCGAATACGAAACTTGAACTCGAACGCAAAAGACTGAACCGTGTGGAAAATGTGAATGGGAAATTTGTGAAATGTGCGATATGAAATAAATGCAAAAGTCAACACAAACAAGTGCAAGAAATCAAAGATAAAACAAAAGCTGTGTCAAATTTGAAATAAAACAAAATAAAAAAAAAACGAGAATTTAGCTTGCATATTTATTTCAAATAATTGGATTTAATTTTGATATAAAAACAACAGGAACAGCAGCCAAAAGTTGTTGTTGCCAAACTTTTAAGTTTCTCCTATCGGCGGGCAGTAAAAAACAGCGGGTAAGTTGGCCAAACAGCGCGTGGAATAAAATGCTGAAAGGCTGCTGCAAAAGAAACACAAACATAAAAAACGCAGATATTTCTCAAAAAAAAAAAAACAAATGCAAGCATCTTGAAATACAGTTAGAGCGCCAAAAACCTAGCACAATGGCCGAGAGAAAATAATGAGCGGATGCAACCATGAGTGGGTCGAGCCAAAAAGCTTATCAGCTGCAGCAAGCAGCAGCTAAAGCAGCAGCAAGTGAAGTGACAGATTAACGCTTAAGCTTTGGAACCTTCGCCTTCTCTCTGTCTCTGTCTCTTTCTATTTCTGTCTCTTGTTCTCTCTGATACACATTGCATAGTTGCTTTAACTAAGCTGCTGTTGGGCTTATGGCTCATGGGCTATCGATAAGCAAGCTGCCTGTAACAGTTATACAGTTATATTGACAACAGCTTAACTATACGCCTTAAAGCCACAGACACCTGTATTACACCTATATTAGAGATTTATTGAAGTGTTTTTTGTTGGCTTAAGAAATACAAAATACCACCGAGAAAACATAGAAAATCGAAGTAGGAGTAGTCAGAAAGAGTAGAGATAAAGTTATAAATATGAATTCTCAAAACTGTTACGCATATTTCATAATAATTTATAACAATTTATAAGGAAATGCGCTTGCCACAACAAATTCTTTATATATAAAAAAAAAATAAAACATATAATATAAAAATTATGTTTATTGAAAATCAAGTTTTGAATGACTGACTTCAAAAATAGTAAAGGAAATTCTTTTTTTAGAATTTTATTTATATATAAAAAGTAAATGTTATTTAAAAATTATTTTTATATTTTTAATTTTGTTATTTATAATATTTTTATATATTTTATATATATATATATATATATATATATATATATATATATATATATATATATATATATATATATATTAATTTATTATTTTTATAAAATTTTACATCGAATATATTTCATAAAAAAAATATATATATATAATTTAAATTTCATACAAATAATATTAATTACTTATATAAAAATAAAATAATTGAAAAAAGGAATTTTTCAAACTTGTTATTCAATGTCATTTAATGATATTATTTTAATTATAAACAGTCATATAAACTGTTAGAAAACATTTGTAAAAGCGGTTGAGCAAGTGTTCAAAGTTATTTAAGTGTGTTTTACAGTTATTTTTTTAGATTAACACAGAGCAACTGCATTGGCCTAAGGCTCTTCTGGCTTTAGTTGTACAGATTTAGTTGAACAAAAAAACAAGAATGAAAAACCACAAGTTGAAAAGCAAACAAATCATTTCTAGAATTAAGAGGAAGACAGAACAACAACAGCAACAATAAAAAACAACAACAAAAGAGCCGACAAAAGCTTTAATTATAACCAAATAGAAAAAGTGTAGAAACATAAAGAGAAAAGAAGTTAAGCATACAGCATAGCACTTATGTCATCTGTAAGGTTAAGCAACACCAACAAACACACACACACACACACACACACACACACGCACGCACACACACACTGACAACAAACACACACCTTTGTTTAACTAGCGCAGCGAACTGTTCGGGTCTTAGACGTAGGCACTGGCTCTGACTCGGGCTCTGGCTCTAGCAAAGTGTCAACAGTTTTTGTTTTACGTAAATTTGTTTAAATTATTAGCAGACGGCCGAAGGGCGCAACAAGTGCTTTTGCCACATTTGGCGGCAAGTTCATTATTTTTCAGTTATTGCTTGACTTCTTCTCCCTCGAGTCTGTCGTCTGTCGTCTGTTAATCCTTTGGGTAAATAAGCTAAGGCGCATAACTCATAAATTGCGCTGTGCCAAAATCCAAATTTATGACGATGCGCGGCAAGTGGGCAATGTATCTTACAGATACACACACACACAGAGAGGCGAGTATCTGGCAGATACAAGCGCTAAATGAGCTGTTAAACGCGCCTCGCTGCAAATAAATAATAACTCAATCGCGAGCCTACGCAATAAATATATATATTTATATATATTATGTGGAGCAGCGGAGAGAGAGAGAGTGTTGGCAAGTGCAAAATCTCAGTGTTGGAAGCTATTAAAATGTATCTCGCAGATACATTTAAAGCGAATCGAGAGCTGAAGTGCGTTCAGCAAATTGAAATTTAAGTGCTACACATGTTTACCTCTGCTTTACCTTTACCTTTGCCTTTGCCTTTCTCCTCTTCTTATTATTCTTTTTTGTTGGTTTTTGTCGAGGCAAAAGGCTCACAGGATTTCCGTTTGCTGTTTGCTTTCAAATTTATTTGTTTGAGCCGCCTCTCTCTGCCTGCCTAATTAGTATGCCCAGCGCGTGGTTTCAACTGAAATATATTTTATATAAAAAAAGTACAAAAAAGAAGGTAACTTGTGCGTTGTCAACTCTTTGACATAACTCGCGACTCGAAATGGCTTTATTAAAGTCAGTTTGCGTGGGAATTGATTGCTCAGCGCAGACATTGTATAAATGGGCAACTGATAGTTGACAGCGTCAGAACCAATTGTGAATTATAGTCAAAAATGGTAGTAGCTCATTCGATTCTCGATGCTCCGCGTTGCCATATGCTAAGCGGCTTAGAAACAAAACAAGCTCTAAGCACCTTATGCAAATAAGCCAAACGAAACGAAAAAGCTGAGGGAACAACAACTCAAAAAGATGAAGTCAGAAAAAAAATCTACAAACAAAACGCACGCGAAAATTGTAACAGTAAATTTCGAGGCAAGCGGAAAATGAAAATGAAAATGAAAATGGAGCAAAAAAAATGGAAGAAAAAATCTGAAAACAAAATATTTGTTATGCGCTTGTAATTTTCTCGCAGCGCAAAAAGCGAAAGCCGTGAAAAAAGGCAGGACTTACACGACTGCCAAGGGGCGAACGGCCGAAGGGGCGGGGCGCGGGGGGGTTACGGGAAGACGGTGCGAAGGAGCCATTGCAGTTGTAGGTAAATGCCGACGTTTTTTTCTCATGCTCAGCTGCCCGGCGGCAATCGGAGTGAGAGCGAGAAGGAAAAGGAGAGAGAGAAAGAGGAAGAGAGATTGAGCAGCGAGCGCAAAGAAAACAAACTTTATCGCAGCCATCTCAGGACATGCTTAGTGTAATTCCCCTGCCCGCACTCCCTCTCGCTCGCTCTCCTTCTCTCTTTCACGCACTTTTGCTCTTAATGCTGAGTGACATTGATGTGACATGCCCGTCAACTACTTCTGCCTGTGCCTCTGCCTGCGCTGCCTCAACGCGGCGCGTTGCTTTATTTAAAAGTTTAGCGTAATGTGGCCGCAGGGGCAGCAGCACAGGCAGAGGCAGCATCAGCATCAGCAGAACAGCAGAGCCAGACGCAACGCTAGTTGTGTTCCCCTCACAAACACCTCGGCCGAGACTGGACAAGCACAACAAATAATAAATGATATGTAAACTAAGGCACAAGTTGCTGTAGGTCCTTATTTTTTTGTTTTCTGTTGCTGCTTATGGTTTGGGGCTAACGCATATTTTAGCCTAGATTTGTTTTTTTTTGCTTGGTAATTTGTAGCGTGCTTTGGGCGCAAGAGCTTAAACTGAAAAATAGATAACTTAAAAGATCTAAACTAATTTTAAAGTCGCATTTTATTTCCTGCTGCACAGCTTAAAGTGCAACTCAGAAGCAGAGAAGTTTTTTTTGCTTTGTTTAAGCAAAAGCCGCAGCTGAAGATTAGATAAGTTTTTGATTAAGACTTTACCTTAAAGTTTGCCGAGTTCGTGAAGTGAATGAAGTAAGCTGGGCAACAAATAAAATATACGAAAATATTGTCCTTTGAGAGCTTATAAAAACTACAATAAAAAGGCGTATTAAACTTATAAGCATTTTATGCTAAGGTAGAGCGCTGTCTAAATTATATTTTGCTTTTATTCAAGCAGCTAAATTTTAAATAAGTCTCATCAAATATTTTGACAGCAATTTAAGAGTGAATTAATTAATTATATAACTAATATATTTAATTATAATATTTAAATATAAATATTATAATTAATGTTATTATTTAATATAATATTAAAATAACTTAATTGAATAAAAATTAAACCTAATTATTTAATAATTATTTTTGCAAACATTTAAATATTTTAAGCATACATTTTCTTGAAACATTGTCCAATAGAATTTATTATATAATATAAAAGTTAAAAATTCGATTATAAACTAGTTTAGTCCCTTTTACCTCAACGGTAACATACTTAATCATAGTTAATCATGCCAAGCCATAAACCTTACCTTCCTATATCTCTCTATCGTCCTATTCGAACATCAATTGATGCCTTATCGCTGCCCTTGAGGAATTGGCAATATATAGTCGCATTGCCAGGCCTGTTACATTTGTTCCACATATTGGAAAATTGTTATCCCGCAGTGCCCATAACACTTAGCCGTTTGCCCAGAGAGCCCGGCGACCGAACTACTAACTACATTAAATGTCTCAATTTCCAATGCCGAATGCAGTTTGGGTTTTTCTTTTTTCTATCTCTATTTTTTACCTGAGTGGCACCCATATCGCTTACCTATGCCCAAAACGAATTAAAATTACACGTTTCGACTGTCGCGACAGACGAGAGAGAGAGAGAGAAGGGGGAGGGAGGGAGAGATGAAGAGAGAGAGGGAGCTAGAGTCAGAACTGTCGATCCTTGGAAAGAACATTTATCATTGTAGCTAATAAATGTGTTTCGCTCTCTGTTACCTGCGCTCGAGTCTCTGTTTCGGTTACTGTGACCCGAAACGTGGTTTGGCTTTTCAATAGCAACGATTGAGTCATTTAAATGCGTGGCAAAAAAGAAAAACTAAACTCGGAAAACCAACTACAACCCCTGGCAATTGTCCGGCTAATTTTGATAGTGCCTCAGACGATTTCCAATCGAAATTCATGTTGGGCACAATTCAATTATATTCCCAGACAGCTGTTGTTTCTGTCTCTTTGTCTTGCTGTCGCTTTGTTTCTCAAGTAGTTATATAAGCGACATAAATCAGCCTTGGGTGAAAGTGCTGAGAAAGTAAGTGGGAAGTAAGTGTGTTCTCTAACTAGTTCCATTGAGATATACTTTAATTGGCTGAGAAGGGGTTGGCCAGCTTTAATTGCGATGCTCTAAGCAAGGAAAAATGTTTTTGATTTTCCCCATGCCCTCTCAATCCTTGAGTGCTCTGCTCAGCTGAACTCAGCTCTGCGCTATCATAACAAGCTGTGCGTGCAGCTGTCTTCAAGTAGTTGCTCAAAATGTATCTCAAGTCCAACCTTAAGCCAATTATCTAATTGCTAGCGTTTCACTTTGATTTTCTCTTATCAGAATGTCTGCTTCTTAGCTTACTCCTTCGCCGCCTCCGACTGCTGCTAATTGCCCGACTACTCACCTCGACAGGACTTTGATTTCCATTTGCGCTTCCTTGGCGCGTCGTCCAAAACGTTTCCGTTTCACGCTTCGACGGACTGCCACTGCCAGTGCGTCCCAGGAGAACCTTTGAATGCGTCCCAGACTTAATCTCAAAACAAATCGATTTCGTTGTCTCGCCTGCTACAGCATCAGCTCCTTTTCCTTTTCATTTGCTCTCGTTTCTTGTAGTTGTTTTTTTTTTTTTTTATTTTCAACACGATTTATTTCATTATTTTGCAGCTCTTGGGGTTTGCAGCAGCGCTTTTAATGGGCCGCTTTCAAAAGCTAATCAGCAGACAATCCCAGTCCCTGTCTCTGTCTCTGTCTCAGCATCGAGTTGCGAGACGCGAGACAATTCAATCGATTTCCAAAAAACCAAAGCAGGCAACGAAAAAAACAATAAACTGAAGCTTTAAGTTGAGATTTTAGCAGTGAGTTATGCAGCCTTTGCTTGCAGCTTGCTGCAGCAATTCAATATTGCATTAGTGCTGCGTTTGTCGCAGGCCTGTAGGGCTAGGGTAGTCTGGAGTGAACCAGGTTGCAGCTTTCTCTGTCTCTCTCTCTCTCTCTCTCTCTCTCACACTCTCTAGCACCTTTCGTAGCTCTAGCTTTACCTCAAATTTGATAGATTTTATTCCATTTGAGTTCGTCTTTTACAGGGCATCTTTCAGTCGTGCACATGCGTGCATTTGTCTGGTTTTATTATATATTTTTTGTTATTCGATTCTTTTTTTGTTATTTATTAGTTTGACTTCGTTTCAATTTCAATTCCATTCAATTCAATTCAATTTTCTTTACAACATTTCATCTTTGACATGTTGTGTGTACCCCTCTCTCTCTTTCTCTCTCGCTCTCTCTCGCTCTCTCTGTGTGTCTGTCTCCTTGTCTGTTTGTCGGTTTTGGGCTTGTCTGTCTAACCGTCCGTCATTGTATTATTTCGAGTTCAAGTTGGAATCTCTTGCTGCTGCTGCTGCTTCTTCTTCTTCTGTCCAGTGCAACATTGTGTGTCAGATTCGCTTCGTCGTCTTCGTTTTTAATATCTTTTAATCTCCAATGTCAACAGCGGCTTACATTTGATTGCAAGACAACAGCAACAACAACAGCAACAATTGTAGTTTTTTCTTTTCAGATCTTATCAGTTGGCCTGGCCTGCCTGCCTGCTTGCCTTCTCTCTGTCTCTCTCTGCTGCTGCTGCTCTCTCTCTCTTCTCTGACAACTGTCAGCTCACTGTGCAGCTAATTAAATGGCCCAACTGGCAACATATGTTGCCTTCGCTTGCATCCTCTCTGCCTGCGTCTCTCTCTCTTTGTAGCTATGTGCCGTGGCCTTACCCCACGCAGCAGCCACAGCAGCCACATGGACTTTTGAGCTCTTGAGTTTTCCCGGCTGTCAAGTAGCTGGCAGACAGTCGAGAGCTTAAGCCGCAACGTAATCCACATGGACTATGGCAATGCGAGATTTGGCTTTTGGCATTTTTGCATTGATGGAACCAATTTTGAATGCGACTGTCAAGTTTAACGGCATCCAGCCGCTGGCTGTTATCGATAATAGTAAATTGACTTGATTAGAATATCTCTGAATATCTTGTAACTCAATAAATTTATAAATGCATGCATTTTTTTTGATTAGTCAATGATCGATATATCGATAAATGTCTATAAGATGAAATATGCCACAAATTAATTTAGCTATGAGTAATCTCATCTCATCAACTCATCTGCCAATTATCGATAAAAGTCGATTATACCTGATCGCTGCAGTTGAGCTATGAATGCACTCATCAAACTGTACGCAATTTCTCAATTACTTTTTGTCAGCATATGTGTGAAGAATAACAACAGAACCGCAGCGAAAAGGATAATAGTCATAAAAAAACCCGGCTATGACAGCAGAGGGGTTAAAGCAATTGCCAATGAGTCGACAGATTTAGCTATAGGATTAAAAAAGGAAAACAAAAAAGGAAAATGTATATATAGCTATAGCTGTGGGGTGATAAAAATGAAACGGGCTAAAAACAGGACACACGCACAACAACAACTACAGCGACAACGACAACGACACCGACAACAAAAAGCCAAAGCAAATAAAAATAAATAAGTAAAAAATAGAAACGCATTAAACAAAATCAATAAAAATTAACAGCCTCGCGGCTAGAACATCGGGGTGGGTTCTTCAGAGAGGACACAGAGCACTGGGATCGTTGCAGTCGCTTAGGGGTGCTACTGGAATGAACCAAAAAATCCTCATGGCAGCGGGCTAAAAATACATACTTAAACTTTTTGCATGTGCCAATGGAAGTGTGTCCAGGATCAGGCCGGCCATTAGCGACGTGCCAAGCCCTGCAGTGGCCAGATAATTGTGCTAGACAAAGCAGCGACAGCTGCTGCCAGCTGATGTCCTGGCCAGCTATTCACCAGCCTCGACTACATTTCTTTTCTTTCCCTCCTTTTGCAGCGCCGCCGCCGTTGAGGGCTGTCCAGCGATGACAGCGATCAGGAAACGCATTTGACACGCAGCCCAAGATCTCAAATACACACACATACACAATCAGTATCACACACACACACCCACACACACACTCGTATACACAACCAAAATCAGAAACCAAAAAGCAAACATATATCAAACGTGAGGAGTCGCAACAAATGTGGAAGATGTTGGATACCATGATGGATGCCGAGCTCTTCATGTTCGACTGCGATGACTGCGCCGGCATGCCGCTAGCCCCACCACCACAGTTCCTGGTACCACCGCCGCCGCGGCCACCAGCGCTAGCCGAATACACGGTGGTGCCGCAGGACTGCAACGAGGAGCAACTGGCGCAACAGCAATGGGACAGTGATGTCTGCCAGGCGATACCGGTAAGCAGTCGAAACAGTTATAGCCCACTACACAGATATACATGTGTGTGGCAGGCGGGGTTGCAACCCTAATCAACTGCACAGGGTTCACAGCTGTTGAGATTTCCCCCTTTGAAGGTGTCTCTAATTTATGTTGCCTTATTGAATTATTGCATTATGCAGACGAATAGCAACTACAACAATAATAATAATGCGCCTTGCCAGCTGTAATTGGGGTGGTGGTTGCCTCCATGAGGGGGAGGCTGAGCCGATGGGCGGTGCTAAAAGTTGAGTGTTTGACACTTGAACTGATTGTTGTGCATTGTCCGAGGCTGCTACGATTTATGACATCTGATCAAAAATTAACATTCTGAGGCTTTATATGTTAATGAGAGCATCGAACGGCAATTGTCGACTGCCATAAAGTGAGGTTAAATATGCCAACTTAACAGCTGTTAATGTCTTAACACATGCCACAGCTGTTAGGAATCTGTTTGCATAGTTTGCTACTTCAGTTGGCTTCTATAAGATCGCATAGAATTAGCTGAACTTAGGCCTAACATAACTAGTTAACATGTTAATAACAGCTGTTAAGCAGTGAGCCGATAACATAACTGTTAGAACTTTAAATTCTACAAATGTTGATCGTTATGGAACTAAACTTAATTTAAAAGCTGTTAACTAACAGCTTATGTTTGGCGTCTGTTAAGGGTCACTAACAGAGCAGGAGAAAACCAAATGTTTACTTAACTCAAAGAGTTTCCATTGTCAGCCATTCGCGCCACAATAACATTTTCTTACCCATTTTAAAGACTTTTGAATTTGCAACTCATTTAAACGCAGAGGAAGCAAAAGAAAAATATTTAAGGCTGTGCACACTTCTTCAGCTTCGTTTTTCTTGGCTTTCCTTTTATTTATTTTATGTTTTCATTTTGCTTGGGCTCACAGACAACCGCAAGGCAACACTTTAAAGCTGTTTACTCCTTGAAGTCCTGGCCGTTGCCAGAGCAACAGCTGTTGCCAAAATATACACAAATTTATATATATAAATATATACGGGAAAAAACGTCATCATTATGAGGCTGGCCAACCCAATCCTCCTGCCAACAAATTACAATAACAATGAAAAGTTAAGCGTCAGAGCACAAAAAGGACAGCCCAAGTAGTTGTTCGAGAGGCGGTGCCCGGGGGCGCTGCCAGGGGGTTGTAACGTGGCAACATATGGCCATGCAAGGCGCAACGAATTGTCTGCCTCTGCCTCTGTCTCGCCCTCCCAAAAAACTCGACGCAAACTTCAAGGAACCGAACTCACTAAAAAATATTGTTACAAATTATTTTATTAAAGAAAAAACAGACGAAATAGAAGAAGAAGAAATTTAAGCAAATGTAACCTGGCACTTGATATAATCGCTGGACTGTTTGTTTAGGCAACAGGCGGGAAAAAGTGAAGAAACTCGAGAAAAGCAAAGCAGAACAACACAACACAAAACAAAACACAAGATCAAATTCCACATCAACACTTCAGCCGAGCTGGGCGAAGGCCCTGATAAGCACATGAGGCTCACGTGCCCACAGATATGTTTTCCCATCTTCATATTTCCCATATATATATATATATATATATATATATATATATATATATGGGGCAGCCCCAAACAGGTCGGAAAACTCAAGTGTTTTCCACTTAATATGGAACATTTATGTAACAGACCAGAAAAATTTCAATAAATAAAAAAGCAAATTCTATGTGTGTGGTCCGCCGAGCGCCAGATAACTTGGTAGACTCTCTGTGTGTGTGTGGGCACTTGAGAGTATTTGCCTCTCCCTCTCCCTCTCTCTCAGACACTCTCTAGCTCTTATTCTAGTCTCACTTGACAGTGGGCAGCTGCTGATTTATGCTGACAAATCAAATGGAAACAAGCGCTTAATGTCAGCTTTAAGGCGCACGTCTATCGATAGCCGCGTCTATCGCTTATCGAAATGCAATTTCATGCTTCCACTGACTGACACTCAGGTAAAATACGTTAGAAATCTCTGCGGCAGCAGCTTAAATTCAATTGCCATCAGCATCAATTTAATGGATTAGCGCTCAAAACTGCCAAGGAACAGGGCAGGGCGAGGAGGCTAAATCGCTGCTCTGTAATCTCAGCATCTCAGTTGCGGGTGTGTGGGTGCGTGTGTGAAATCCTCTCTCATCAAATTGATAAGTTTAACGGGAATTGTGCCAATTTGGCAGTCTGTGTGTGTGTGTGTGTGGAGAGCGTAATTGTCAACTCGTAAAAGCAGTGAAGAAGCCAGAAAAGAAAGCGAAATAAAGCTAGACTTAGGATTGCCCTGTAAAGCAAAAGGAATTTAAGGAGATATTGAATAGAATAAATCGTCATACAGATATATATATATATATATATATATATATATATATATATATTTATGTTTGTATGCACATATAAAACGGATTGCCAGCCTCAGTTGTCATATAAAGAGAAAGACAATCAACTGAACACAGAGAAGCATGAAGCATCTGACTATAGAATGATAAGGACTGCTAGGCGTGTAGTTGCCCTATAAAGCAGCAGAATATGTGTTAGATTTATGTCGTGTTTGCAGTGCATACCCTGTCCGGAGAGACGGCCATCACACAGGGTATTTGCAGATTTTAAAGCGGGACACAGCACGCAAAGGATTCGATATGGCTGCGGAGGGGTAGCAAAAGACGTTGGATTGGGGCAGGAATACGAGGACGACGCGTCAAACATACGAAATTAAATTTGCTGCGCGATGCGAGAATCCAAAAAAAAATAAAAAAAAAATAGAAAAAGAAATACAACAACTTGACAAGCAGCAGAAAAAAATACAAGAAAAATAAGCAGAGCAAAAGCAAAAGCAAAAGCAGCTCACAGTGATTGCAGCTGGGCGTGGCATGGCAGCAAAATAATCCTTTTTTATTTTATTTCGCTGCTGCCTTCCACTTTTGCCTGGGTCGCTGGCAAAAATACTTCAACTTTAGCTGAGAAATCGCTTTAAATAAGCAAAAGCCAAAAGCGTGTTAAAGAGGGTTAAGCGAGAGGAGTTTGGGGCTTGGGATGTTGGGAAGTTGGGCGTAGTGCAAATGTCTTGACATTGATATCAAATGTCGTGCGAATGCCATACAAAATAGTCGCACATTCCATTGTCTACAAAACGTTGCATAGTTTCGAGGTCTGCTTTTTAGAGCTCGCACGCTCCAGCTGATGATGATGATGGAGGCAGAGTAGGGGCCGGGCTCAGAGGCTAGGGTGTGGCCTAAGGTTGTTGATGTTGTTTACAGTTGACACATAGCAGACACAGCTGCAGACAGGCACAACACAACAGACACACAGAGAGAGAGAGAGAAGGAGGGAGAAGGAGATAGAGATGGCAAAACAGTGCAGACAACACAAAATGTAAAATTGTCTGGCGGACTTTTCACAATAAGAAAATTTCATTTGTGTATACATTTCATATAAATACACATATAGGAATATTCATTTAACCAGCTGAACTTAGGACAACCATTTAACTCGATTTAATAATACTCCTGAGAACTTTAACTTAATATGTTACTCATTCTCCGAGTGGATCTTTCTCTATTTAGTTCTTACTCCTTCACGCTTTGCCTATTAGCTAAGCTTTTCTTCCTCACTCTGTCTCTCTCTCTCTCTCTTTCCTCTTTAATGCTTTAATTGCTTTGATTTTATTTAAAATAATATCATAATATTATTACCAACACATTTTCTATTCAATCATTAACTTTTGTCATCTTTAGTTGCTGTCCTGAATGGTTTGAGGAGGCAGCGAGTAGAGTTGGCAGATTTAGAGCAGTTCTCTTTCAGGAATTACCTTTTTCCAACTTGCAAACTACTCTTAAACAGCCTCAGAACTAACGATAAAGACAAATGGAAGACAAGAGACAGAAAGAGCGACATAGCCAGAGTGCAAGAGACGGCAGATGCAGCTAGAACAACTGGAAATGCATCGCAATCACAAGTTGTTTCCAAACAATTGCACTGTCAAGTGGTTACAAAACTGCGCCAAGTTGCCAACATCAATATCGGAAGGGGCGAAGGTGGGCGGGGCTGTGAAAGAACTGTCGATATGCACGTGCAATGAAATCGAAGTTAGCTGCCGCTGCCACTGCCACTGCCACTGCCGCAGCTAGTGTTGAAAAAGGCGTTACACATGCAACGCATGTAGAAAAGTTTTGCCATGTTATCAGTGTGCCAACTTGTTGTAGCTGTAGCTGTTGCTGCTATTGTTGTAGTTGAGCCTGCAAGTGGCACGTGCGTCCACGTGCGTTGCAAGCCTCCATTACTAAGCACCCAGCCTTGGCTGGCTTACACAACACTGGGCATTGTTGCAAACTTTTGTGTTTTTCATCGGCACAGGCTAGGCTACGCAGGTGTAGTCAAACAAAGCGATGACTGGCCCAAATTGGCAACACTTTAAAGGCAGCTCAGCAGACCCACTCGAAATATTCAGTTAAAAGCACAAACAGCCAAGAAGCCAAGGCACTTGAGTAGCTGCTAATGTTGTTAAATTTGTGCCATAATTTCTGATGAATATTTCAATCTATATATATAGATATATATCTATTTCGTTGCAGGCCTTGTGGCTTAATTACTTTATCGCACAAGTTGGCTTCTATTTACTTTTTGGCTATTTGCCTGAACATAAATCGTTCAAACTGCTATCGTTATCTGGGCGCAATGTTTGCCCACGGCTCTGCCTATTAAGTTATGACTGCGGCTACCTATTCGGGTCGAGTCGAGTCGACTCGACTGGATGGAAAGCCTTCAATCAAGCAACTCCTACTGGAATATGCGCTTATCTGCGCAAACAGACGAAGCAGGGCGACTGCTTGTTATCGATAAGACGCATACAACTCTTTTTTTTCGAGAGAGCGCGTATTGTAGCGGGACAGAAGTTGTTTTTTTTTTATCTGAGTTGGCTAGTAGTCGGGGTTAAGCCCCGTTTGCAGCTGACGAGCGGCAGTTGTAAGCCGGCGGCAGTCAAACTGTCGCAATGTTTGCCTTTTACCTCTTGCCCCCTTCTCCCTCTCTCTCTCTGCCCTCTCTCATTGGGCTGTCAGCTACTCATGTAGCTCATTTGTGCTCGGGCATTACAAATAGCTAAAACGCACTCACAAAGATCTATCGATTATGAACGCCTGCGGCTGGAAAAGTGAGTGAAGGGTGGCTAGAAAATAAAGCAAAAGAAATTTCATTATTTTCACTTATTGTTTCGTGTGAGAGATCTTAAGATTTGAGACTGGCCCAACCCTAGCTGTGCAGTGTAGGGGAGCTACAAGTCAAGCATGTGAGTTAACTGTAATAATATAAAAATAAATAGGAAAGATAGAGATTCTTTTGTAACAATTCTGGAACTTCTTAAATACATTTACTTAGCAGATTATCAGGCTTAAGCCACAGAAGAAATATATCATCATAATATATTATATTATCATACTGAAATTTGGTATATTGAGCAGTGGCAGCTTTCTTAATAAATTCTACAATTATTATGCTGAAATTTGGTATATATAATATTAATCATAATATCATATCTATGACCATATCTATAACGACACTATAACTTTCAACAATTTCAACAACTCCCAGAAACTTAATTGTTAACGTAGCGCACTCAACAGGTCAGCAAAGGCACACAGCAATTGTCGCAATCGAACACTCCCCACTCGCCATGCTTCGACACTTCACAACACTGCCACGCCGCAGCTCATTAATCAATTTGATTACGCGCAATGAGCTTTGGGAGTTTTCTTTCTTTTCTTTTCTTTTCTTTCTTTTTTTAACTTTTGACTCTCTCTCTCTGTCTCCCCTACTTAACACACACACTTGCTGTGGAGCAGCTCGCATAATTGTTTAATTTATTGTTATTTATTTGTTTGACTCAGTTTCGGATTTGTCTGTGAATGGCTTTCAAAACAATTTTCGTCAAGAAATGAAAACAAATTTCTTGAGCATTTTATGATAAGACGTAGAGTTTGGTGTGGGCCGGGGCTTGGGCTTGGGTGGCAGCTACCCGTGTTGGCCCCCTGCCCCGAACTGCCCCTGCTGCATTTGCTCCCCTCTCACTACTTGAATAGTTTAAACAATTTCGCCATACGACCATGCCTGTCAATATTTTTATAGCTTATCTCGCATTGAGACTGAAATTGGGAGCGGGTTTTGTGTTTCTGTTATTGTTTGCCTTATGCTCTCAGCTGTGGCATATTAAATGATTAATTGGCACCGCGAGAGATGGGGAGGCTATGGGGAGGCTGGCTCAGATAGAGGCAGTCCGCTTCCGGGTGCAGAGGAAATTGTGTCAGCGCAAATAAATCAATGAGAAACTATTTATTAATAAATTAGTGTATGCACAAAAATGCAATTACAAATTGAAAAGCGACCTACATACGCACATTCAAACACACGCACAGACTCTCAGTTGCAGTTGTGTACACTCTGGCCGTGGCGAAATTATTTGCACAGCTGTCAAAGCTTGACCTCAATTTGAGCGCAGCTTTTGTCTCTCTCCCTCTCTCTCTCTCTTTGTGCTCACACAAAAATATTTTTCCAATGCATTTGACTGATTTATGCGACGAACTGTACGTTCCCGTGTGTGTGTGTGTATTTGTATGTGTTTGTTTATCTTTATGTTTGGCTTTGTGTTGGGGCCAATGACAGGTGGATGCGATTTTCGTTGTTTTTCGAAAAGTTTTTCGACTATAAAAAGCAAGCACAAATACAATTAAGAGTAAAGTTTGTATTCGATAAAAATGACATTTTATCTTTGGCAGCAAAAGCTGCATAATTTCGAAGTTTTCGAAAAAATGAAGTCGTTTTTATTTTCTTACATTCTGTACTGCTCTTCGTTCTGCATAGGCAATTTTCACAGGTTTTGACCTTAATTTTGTTGATTGGCGCAAACTTGTAGCTTCCTCTCCTCCTCTTTCACTCTGCCTCGATTGTCGGCATCTTCAAAAATTCTGTGCGAATCAAAAAAAGGTTAACAGCATCGTGGGATTTTGTTTGCTATTCGTTAGGCATATTTACCGAAATTTTGTTGCTGCTGTCTGTTTCGCTTGCTCTTGCTCTTCTTGTTCGCATGCAAAATGGTTTTGTGTTTGAGTTGCGTCGTGATTTGCATTGTCTTAAACTTTTTTTAAAAGTACAAAAGCTCTTACTTTTACTTTTCACTCACTGCAAAGTAATTTCAACTCATGCTTTTCTTCTCTTTTCACCTCTCTTGCAGATACTGGATGCCAGCTTATACAGTAGCCAATCACTGGCCACCTCAGCGATGATAGCGGTTTTTTCACTGCTGCTGGTGCTCATTGTGCTCATCTCTTCGCTGTTTGTCTGGAAGTAAGTACAAAGAAACCAAGAAAAACAACTCAAAAGTGCGAACAGTGCAGTGCGCATTGCTTGGGCTTAGGCTAATTAAGTGCTTCTCGCTTGCTCTTTCGCTGTAGCACGGGTGCTTGTCTCGGCTATATGCTGAGGTCTGGTGCGTGTCAATACTTAAGCTCAGCTACGATCTTTGACCTGCAGTTGGCTTGTCGATGGCTCAATGTAACTCAAGTGCTTCACACACACGCACACATAGAACATGATATGCGTGACTGAGGCCACACACAATATTCACAGCTTTAATTAACTATAAACAAGTGTTGTACAACAGCAAACATAAAAATGCATAAGCCATAAAGTGCTGGGCAGCCAACAATTTAACGCCCTATGAAAAATGCATGAAATGCGCAAAATGTGCAAACCGATTCAACAATAAAAACTATGCAGCTCTGTATGTGCATTTATAACAGTAAAAACCCATTTGCTAAAGTCACAAAAACAAGCAAAGCCAAAGCAATGGCGGCCAAACGAAAATTAATGTAGTCTACTTTCCAGTGCTGACCTACATGAGTGTGTTTGTTTCTGTCGGTGCGTGTATTACTGTACTTTTTGCTTGTGTGTGTGTGCACTCTTAAAACCAAAACTAAATTAAATTGAAATTTCAAACACACAAAGCAAAAAAAAAAAACACGTGAGAAAAGTACCAACAAACACACACAGCTACATCAACTTTTAAGCCGAGTGGAAAAAAAGAAATAAAACAATTTCGCCAACAAATAACTAAAAAAAGCGAAATGAAATCCAGCCAAAAAAGCCACAGCAAAAGCAAACTAAGAGAGAGCACTAAATGAAAAAAAAAAACAAATCCGGGCACATAACGGTGCTTGGCTGTAGTTTATATATGTAGTGCATATGAGCGAGAGAGACCAGAGCCCAAAGAATTTTTGCACGCACAGCAAAGAGAGCCGAAGCGAAAGTTGGGAGTTTGAGTAGAGCAACATTAGTTTAGTAGGAAGCAAGCGGCTCTGTGCATGTTTGAAAAAAAACTCAGCTTTGGTTGCTGTCCTTCGAGTGAGTGTGTGGGAAAGGGAGAACGCCAGCATGAAAGAGGCAGAGTGTGCGTGTACGTTTTAATGGGTTAACCAAATTTAGATTTTTTTCATTTTTCTTATCTGCTCTGTGCATATGAATTATAGCTAAACATTTATTTGATTTCATGGCTGTGCGAACTTTGGAGCTCAAGAGTGAGAATGGAAGAGCATACTAAGAGACATAAGCTTAACGATCTCTCAAGCTAAAGTTATGAATGTGTATGTGTGTGTGCTTGCTCTTAAAAAATGTAATTTCCTTTCAATTCGTTTCAAGTGATTTGCAGTAACTCTTTAAGCTGCTGCTACTCCTCATTAACATCAACAAGTGCTGAAGTAGCCTGTTAGAAAGGGACCGCAACAACATTCGATTTGACTCTTACGCCGAAGAGTGGGATATATTCATGACCCTGGACTCGTTGTGGGAGGCGGGCATTGGAGCTGAGCAGTTGCTACAAGCGCTTTTCATACATATTCATTAAAGTTTGCTGACCGCACGAACGCACAGGCCGGATAAGTAGGCGGCCGACAGGGGCGTGCCAGAGTAAACAGAGCTAAGCAAACAGCAAGCAAATGTTGTTGGTGTTGTTGCTGTTGTGCTTCATCATTTCTGAGGTTATGGCCATGACCAGGACACACACACACACACACAGACGCAAAGCAGGACGAGCATCTTTATTATACACACAAGCACACATACAGTTGGCAAAAGCTGCTGCTTTAAGTGTTGCCCCAAAAACTTGTTCCATTTGCTATCTGCATGTGCGTGTTTGCGCCCTCTGTGTGGGCGTGTGTATGTCTGTGTGAATGACTATGAATGTCCAAAGCAAAAAAAAAGGCAACAACAACTTGAGTCTAGCGCCATTTTTGTGGCATTTATGATGTGGCACATTATTTTTGCCTTTATGGGCCCCAACAACAAATAAATATGAATATGAATGCGAATACATATACATAAATGTGTGTGTGTGTGTGTGTGTGAGAGTGTTGCGTGTGCCAGCAACAAGGCGACATAGAAAACCTATAAATAAAATAGCAACTAATTTTGTTTATTTTACTTTCTTTCTGTAATGGAAATAAAATAATCGTAATGTCAACACATAAAAGCCGAAAAAGTTGTTGCTGCCCGTGAAATGGAAAATAAAAACGCCAGTGGGCGTGGCATTAAAGATAAACTATTTACTAAGCGCTTTAAAGGGACAATAGCAGGCAATCGAACGGAGTTAAAGCATGCCTAATGAGTGACAGTGTTGATCGTTTTCCAACACTGGAAGAGTGCTACACCCGTGAGACTTTGAATAGAGAAGCTTGGCAAACAAGCTGTGAAACTCAGGTCCTTCAAATCTCCTTAAATGAAGCCAGAGTCAACTAATCCAACAGGTACAGCCTTGGTCAGTGCAACTTTTCGAACTGCCCTCGTCACAGTTTTTCCTACGTTAAACTCTCATAATTACATTACATTTTTCGCTCCCCGTTTGCGCCGTCTGTAAGCTGAAATACCAAAATCATTTAGTATGAAATTTTTTTTGCGAACTTTTAATGACATTTATTACGAGTCCATCGAGTCGCCTGTTCATAATTACCTTAATTATTTTAATAAACCGCCAGAGGGTGCCCCTCCCCTTGCCGCGCTCGCCACTCTTGACCAACCATTTTTTTGTTGTAAATGTTTCAACATTGAACTTTATTAATTGCATGAAATATGCGAGCATGCAACACGTGTTGCAAGTGGACGAAGGGCCAGGTTTATGGGGAGGGGCGTGGCAAAAATCTGAAGCGCTTGTTAACATTGTCGACAGTAAATAATTTTTCAATAAACAAGCTTGATTTTATGCAAATAATTGCATGTGAAAAGCAAAATTGAAATTAACACGAATTCTCTCCTGTTTTTCGCAGTGTATTTTTTTTATTTAATTTTTTTTTGTTTATTTTTTTTTGCGTTAAAGTCAAGTGCGACGCCGTTTGCCCACGCACTCATGCATATTAAATAGATGGCAACCCTGGCAACAGTGCTTCTCAGAAGTTATGGCCCACATGTGTGTAAGTGTGTGTGTGTGTGTGTGTGTGTGTGTGTGTGTGTGTGTGTGTGTGTGTGTGTGTGTGTGTGTGTGTGTGTGTGTGTGTGTGTGTGTGTGTGTGTGTGTGTGCTACCATTAATGTTGACTGCCTCAGCTCTAAATAAATAAAATCAATTTTGGCTGCTTGCAATTTCATTTGTCTGCCGCGTGCCTTCGCCCCGACATGCTCGACAACCCTGGCAGGCTTTGGCTTTGGCCAGGGTTACCCCGGCAACTTTTAATCAAGTGCAGCCCCTTAAGAACATGATTGAAAAGCTGAGATATGCTCCCTGACAAGAAGGTTTCACTTGCTGCCCCAGCCTTAAACAGAGCTCGCCAGCTGTCGCTTTGAAATTTATTATTTAATTATAACAATTAGTAAATATTCAGTTAGAACTATTTATGAGCAAATTGTTAATTGCTGAGAGCTTAAGAAAAATTGCTTAAAAATCATAACTTTTTCCTTAAGTCGTTTGTCTCTCACCTTGAAGTTGCTCAACTTATGAGTTGTGTATGGAAAATCTGAAATTATTTAGCAAATTTGTTTATTTGCCCAATTAGGGCACTATTCTAAGCTTTACTTGGATCTGTCCCGCTGTGAACTCTGTTTTATACCTAAGCAAAACCTTGCCTAGCTTCACTCCACTACCCGTTGCAGGCTGCACCGCAGGAATGTGGCTTGCGGCTCAGCAGGTGGCAGGTGGCAGGTGGCAGGTGGCAGTTGCAGTGCAGCAGACATGCTCCTACTTCAGGTATATATGCGTCTGCTTGTGCAGTAATAGATACGAACAATTGAAGTTAATGCAAACCACAGAAATTCCCACTCACGAACCATTTGCATATCAAAGTGAATGGCTTTTGTTCTAGCTGTTGCGCAACCCTTGTGTAGTTCATAAATAAAAGATACGTTTGCAACTATAAAAATCGACAATCGTAAGCTCCCCTGCCCCTTCTCCCATCCCCCTTCCGTTCCACCTGCCCTAAGCCCGTCTGATGCTCGGCTTGGCTTGGCTGGGTTCCACCCTCACGTACAATCGCGTTGTTGTTGTTGTTGGCTTGGCAACATTTATTGTAAATTGCTTATGCCAAAAGGCAACCCTTGACGCTTGCCCCCAAGGCATGCCGCATGGGGCAGCTGCTTAAGCACCCTTCCACATGGCTTTCCCTCTGAGTTTTCCTTTACGCGCTGGCCAAAGTGTACGACACTCCTGGGACGCTGCGTCCATTGCTGTAGCTTGGCCATAATGCTCTGAGAAATCAAACATGATGCTTAAGGGTTAAAGCACACACGCACACACACACACGCACACACTCGTAGCTGCGCTTAAACTCGCACGCGTTGATTTCATTTTTACGCCTCGTAAGTGAAATGAAATGAAAAAAGTCGAAGCAAAGGCAAAGGCAAAGCCAAGTCTCTGCTCTTTTATTTTGCTTGCTCTGGCTCGAGCGTCATCTTGTGGCATGCCACATTATTTAATTTACTTTAAAGTATATTTTACAAGGCGCGCAGACAGCCTGACAGTCCTCCACTCGCATGTGCTAAGCAAAAGACAAACAGGCTGCCACAGACTCCGACAGCGACTCTTAACCTCAGCCTCAGCGCACTCCAAATACCCTCTGCGCGCCGCTCGTGCCAGCTGTTGCTGCGCAAACTTAAGCTCTTAGCGGCAATTCCTCTTTGTGCAGCATTCGTAAACGTTTGCTCAACCAGCTCTATCGGAAACTACTTTAAAGTCCTCTTAGTCCTCACTTTCTTTCTCTGCTTTGTTTTGGCCGTAGCGTATGCATTCTTCGTCTAGGCCTTAGCTGCGGCTCGTTGCCCCAAAGTAGGCTAGAATTTTTAATATACATATATATTACGTATACGTATATATGTAAAATGTGTGTGCGTCTTCCCACAATCAAATGCTCTGATACGACAGTTGGCTTTCGCTTTTTATTTTGTGTGCAGGCGAGTTTTTACGAGCGACTTCCGTTAGACAACGCAACATGTTTACCTACAAGACATTACAAGGCTGACAGACAGCCGCCCCAGCCCCAGCCCCAGCCCCAGCCCCTCCTCCTGCTGCTCATACATTTTGTATACTTGGCCCTGGGGCATGCTACGTGGCGTCAATTTAATTCCACATTTTTCATTATGCTTATGCTGAGAGCTCTCCGCAGCTGAGAGTTTGCCATATGCCAGCCCTGAGAGGCTGCTGTGTGCGTGTGTGTGTGTGTGTGTGTTAGCTGTTAGCTGATGTTGTCTTTGCCATGGGCAACACTTAATTATGTTCATTATTTTCATGGCACGCGGTTTCAAAACGCCTTCGACTTTGTTTTGACATCCTTCCTTGTCCTTGTCAACTTCTTGCCCGCTTCTCTCTCTGCTGTGCTGCTTATTTAAATTGAATTTTATGTGGCACACTTTTTGAGCTGGCTTTTGCTTCTTTGCAACTTGCTGTTGCTGCTTTTCTGTTGCTTTTGTCGCATTCTTTATTAATCAAGCTGCTCGGGCTATTTGCCAAGGACTAAATGAAATATTTGCCGCTGCTTTGCTTGACTCGTGTTTACCTGGCCCGCACACCGCGCCCACGCATTGGCATTTATCACCGCTAGCCACGCCCACCGAGCGAGCTCAGAGCCGTCCATTTTGCAGCCATTACAAATCGATTTATCTTGACTCGTCTTTTGGTCTGCTGCTGCTGCTGCTGCTGCTGCTGACCGAAAACTTATTGCTCTATTAAGCGTGGCTCGAACAACGTCATCAACGTCATCGTCATTATCTTGTCTCTCTTCCTCTCCGCCTCTCCGCCTCTCCTCCTGGCTCATTGCTCTTTAGACTTCTTTCATAGATTTATGACACAGCTTTAAGTGAAGCTTTAAGACCAGCCAAATGTTAGCTCTGTCTGCTCTCTCCCTCTATCTCTTCTCTCTCTCTCTCAACTTTATCGTCGTCTCATTTAATTATTTATTTATTTTAAGCTCTCTGGCTCTCTCGCTCTCTCTCTCTACATATTTTTAATGCCAAAAGCTTTTAGTGAGCTTTAATATAGCTTTAATTATGCATCGCCTCATACATTTACTAATCCAACTAAATTTCTTTCGACTTCATTGCAGAAACAAACGAAAGGTACAAAATCTGCTGCCCTGCAAGACGCCCACGCGTGGTGCGCTCAGTGGCACGTTGCCCTTGGGCGGTGCCAGTGGCGCGCACAGTGGGCAGCATCATCACCATGCCATGTACGAGGATCCCGATGCGCACCTGGGTCACCATCGGCCGCTGGTGATGCGGCACCATCATCAGTATCAGCACGCGCATCATCAGCACCAGCATCCGCACCATCATCATCATCATCTGCATCATCATTACCAGCAGCATCCGCACACAGAGGTTAGTATTTCTCTCTTGCAATGACCCCTTAACCCCGTCAGCCCGGCTGAGTTCCCTTTGTTTAATTGTCGTGCAGGAAGTTTGCTTTGCTTCTGTTCTTCTTCCTCCTGCTCTCATTTTTTCGCGAATTGATGTCAGCTCTAATATTACGACAATTGCTGTCAAAACATTGCACTGTCATTGTCAACTTGTCACACACACTCGCACACCCTCGCACACACACACATTCCTTCGTCTGCCAAAACTGTGTAAAATGAGATCGCATTTCCTTAATGCCCGTTTCGATGCTTTATTCGCCTCCATTGATTGTTCTAACTCGCTTCACACTTGAACCTGACACAAATCGTATTCAAACGCACAGATCATATACCATTATATATATATACTTATTTATATATATATATATATATCTGTGTGCTGCTGCATTATCTGCTTTGCCTTTGGGCTTAGTCCTTTTGTGCCTCTTTTACGACGCTCGCCTTGCCGAGGCATCTTTGTGCCGCTTCCGCCAAGTCTTATCATGTTTCTGGATACCTCTTTATGGTCCACTTTTCTTCGTGCTGAATGGGTGTGTGTGTGTGTGTGTGTGAAGTGTGTGTTTATTTTATTGTCTGATAAACAGCTCCTGCCCCCTGCTGCACATCCTTGACTCGCATGTTTCACTTAATGCTTTGCAGCCTTAGCTGCATTGCCTTTAACTGAATCCTTTTACTTGCTTCGATTGCTTAAAGCTTCGCCTGCGTCCTGCTGCGTCCTGTTTGGTCCTGTTTACACGTTCCATTTGCCTCTGCATATTTATTATTCATTCCTTGCGGCATTTGCTGCTGCCTTCGGTCGGCTTTGCGCTTAACTCTGACAAATACCCTGTACAGCTGCCATTTAGACTGTTGGGTATACACAGCCTGAGCTTGGCTTTGTTGAAAGGTCTATATTTCCATTTGATATACTGAGTTATACCCTGTAATAGAAGTTATTTCACTTATTTTACTGTTTGCTCAGCTTTTACCACAAGGCTTGTCTTATACCCTGTAAACTTATACTCTGTTTGCTGTCTCTAATGAGGGTTGCTCTAGCATTTCACTTGACTCAACATTAGAGTCCGATTATTGTCTAAAGGGTATTCGCCCGTCGAGCAAGTCATGCTTTTGAGCCGCATCCCGAGCCATTTCACATTGTCTTAAAGTTCCGCCCGAGGCTCTGTCAGCTCTGTTCTGGGCCGTAAATCGCTTACCACAGACCAAGTGAAAGTTCTTACTAACTCCGTCTCTCTCTCTCTCTCTCCTTGTCTGTTACAGCTGCTGCAGGGCAAGAGCATACATTATCCCAGCGGTTATCCGATGACGCGTTCACCGCCCTTCCTCGTCAGCTCCTCGCCCGGCCCGGATCCGTATCGGTCGAACGACAACGTCTACGAGGAGCTCGGCCCCGGTCGCGTGGACTCCGATGGGGAGTCGGAGCCGCCGCTGCACTCGGACGACGACTTCGCCGAGGACGAGCTGTCGCTGCCGGGCGAGTGCAGCTTCCACAAGGAGCCCAATAGCACGCCCTTAGCAGGTGCTGTGCCGCCAGCCACGCCCTATCACGAACGACCCGCGGGCAGCAGCAGCAGCGCAGCAGCGGCAAATGCTGCAGTTGCAGTTTCCGCCACTGTCAGCCAGGTGGCGCCACCGCCGCAGGAGCGACACAGCGTGCTCAGCTCGGGCTCGTCGACGGCGCCGGATGCTTCCACGGCCAGTGCATCCACCAGCAGCAACCCGCACAACAGCAACAGCCACAGCCACAGCCACAACAACAACAACAACAACAACGAGTTGGCAAGCGGCGGCCCGCTGCGCCGCATTCAGCGCAGTCGCCAGCAGCGAGCGCAGGACGAGCTGAACAACAGCAGCTCCACGGCGGACATTGCGGACCTGGCGCCGCTCTATGACAATCGCAGCAACATGATGTCGCTTGGCTACTTGGCCCGGTCGACGGCGCCGCAGTTCTACAACACGCTCGAGCACGAGGTGGAGCGCCGCAATCGGATTAACGCGCAGCTCAGCCAGGCGCCGGCGCCGCCGTTGGCCACCATCTACCGGGAGCGCATTCGCTACCCGAGCGTGCAGCAGTATGCGCCCAACAGCGCCAACGGCCTCATGGCAGCCACGATGCGGGTGCGCACCCAGCCACGCCTCCTGGACCGTCGCCCACCGGCGCATCAGCACCAGCATCATCGCATTCATGCCGCGCCGCTGGCCACCGAGCCCGCCTACGGCTATGCTGAGCCGATTTATAATGCCAACTACTACTACGACAGCGCCGGCGTGGGCCCCGTGGGTGTGGCAGCCGGAGGCGCTGGTTCGGCGAGACCCTATGCCTCCACACTGCTGCCCACATCGGCCGCCGACTACAGGCAGCCCTACGGCGACTCCAGCTTTGGCTCCGACTCCGGCTACAGCCATCACACGCCCGCCAGCTCGATTGGACGGCAGGACTACGACCTGGCCGAGCCGCAGCTGAAGCCGAGCAAGCTGAGCGCTGCCCTGAGCTTTGGCTGGCATCGGGCTAGGAAGGCCTCCGGCACGCCCACGGCCACAGCGATGCCCATCGCCTCGATCAGCAGCAGCAGCAACGAGGCGACCAGCCCCAACAACAACAGCGCCTGCTCCACAGTCCCCACGCAGCTGGACAATAACAATGCGAGCAGCCTGTCCCCGGCGTAGATCGGTTAGGCATTGCATATGTCCAACCAGACTAGAGCCAAGCGTGTATATAAGAGAGAGAGAGAGGGAGTCCTCTCTCGATTCATGTACAGTTAGCGAGTAGCTTTTTAGCCCTTAAGCTTCTTCTGAATTTAGCCAATAGTTAAGTGTTCCAGGGACAAGTTCTCGACAATTTGTCTCCCTCTGCTGCGTGTACATCGTAAAAGCAATAGACCTATATTACCGATATGCTGTAGTTAGGTACTCCAGGCGCCCCCACGCCCCCTCCCGCCCTGTTCATAAGCATAAATCCTATTTGGGGCCTGCCATAATTTAAAAGTCAGTGTAACTTCTAGAAAGCAAAGAACTTATAGCGTCTAAGTGTTTTTCCAATGTGATTGCCAAATTCTACAATTTAATATAATGACAAACTGAGCGGAATGAAAGAAGCAGAAACTAAAGTAAACTAATTTATAACGAAATTAATGCATAAACTAAATTTTTATTGCCCAAGCTTAAGTCGATGTAGTTTTAAGTGAATTTTTTAAGCTTTTGTTTGTTATTTTAGTTCTTAAGCAAATGATGAAATAACGAAAGAGAAGAAAAAACGCACAAAAACGAAAACTTGAAAAAAATCTTTAAAGAAAATGGAAGAAAATATAAAAAATATCACAAAAATTTAAAGAAAATTGGCTTTTGTTTTTCTGTTTTGCTAGATTTTCCTTTGTTAAACAAAGTGTGGATTGTAACTATAAATTTAAGTTTTGTTATCAACAACGATTTTTCCCTTTACATTTTTGGTATAACTAATTTGTTGCCTACTTTTGAGCGCAGTGAGACCTATTGGCGACTGTCGCTAATAAAAATGTAGCATACTTTTAGGGCTGCACTTAAATGCATATAACCTAAATGTTGCTTAACAGTGCGTTCATTTACTGCAGTTGCTAGAACGCATAGCATACTTCTAGGCAGCACAAAAAAACAACATACTGTTAACTTAACATTTTGAGTTTCCTGAATTTCCATTGAGAGCTAAGAAATTGCATTTAACGTAGCCTTTGCTTTGCTAAAGGGTTCTCACAAGACTGTTTAAATATTTAAAAAAAACTAATAACTAACTATAAATAAACTCATATTAAAGTATATATAGATGTATTCAATATAATAAATTGTACCATATTAGCATAGTGGATAATCCACTTGTAAACTATGCCAAACTAAGCACCCATTAGGTATATCGAGTGAAGACACAATACTAGGTGAGGGGCTACCCAACTGTGAATGGCCCCCGCCAATTGAGACACTCGCTAGGTTGTATCAGAACTGTAAATAGCATGCGAGTTACCCATAAGAAAGTTACGACCTCGACCCCGACCCCTGCCCCGCCCACAGATAAGTTTAGGACATGCTAAGAAACTGTACGATGCGAATGTTAAATTTTCCATATACTATGAGCACAATGCAATGTATCCTATAATTAGTAGTCTATAGATATATATACATACATATAACTAGAACTTGAACTCAACTATGCTGTACATAAATATACCCACACACAGCCATACATACATATATATATATATATATATATATAAATATATATATATATATATATATATATATATATATATACATTATATAAGCGTTAAGATTGGTAGCATTTAGCGTAGCCCAGCCCCTTCTCAAGCCCCTGCTCCCTGCCATAGAACATGCTTTGATAACAGTTCAAGTCGTTGTGATTTTTGTAGACGGAATACCCCTAACACAGAGAGCTAAAGCCAACAAGTTGAAACATTAAAAGAAATTATGCAGAAGCACAATCATTGAACGAGTGAAACGAAAAGCTATCGCAGCCAGAGAACCCTATAAATATATACACACATATGTGTACTTACTCAAGCTAAAACTATGAATAACAATTAGATATATTATATACATATATATACATATATATATATATACATACATACATACATACATACATGCAAACGTAGACATGATTTCAGCTTGATTCATTGCCGTCTCTTAACTTCACGCTCTGTTCTTGAATATTACATATCAATTGGAGATTTGGGCCCGTAGGCCCACCCTTATGTAATATAGCACACCTGGTTTCCGATACTATCAATATCAGTACAAAAGAAAGCAGAAAACAAATTCAACTATCATTGTAATCTGAAATACTTTTATCAACCTCTCCTGTACATATGACGAGTCAATAAGAAATGCCAGATCGATAATCAATCGATCGATAACTTATTAATCGATAACTAATTAGAAACTTGAGTTAATCTGAAGTCAAGAGATTTGTAAATAACTCTGTTCACTTCCTGATTTCCTTAGTTCGTATAGGTACTTTGATAGCATATCAGCAAGATCCTAAGTATACCGGAAGTAACTTTTGTATAACTAAGGGAACTGTTATATGGAGGCTCTGTATTCTACTTATCTTTTGATGAACACGCAAAAACGATTTAATCGAATTTATAATGTTAAACGCCAGTTAATCGTACATTAATATCAATTAAATTAAATGATTAGCAATTATGCCAGAAACTAAAGCTAAACACAAATAGTTAGTTTATAAATTTTTTGTAAAACCAATTAACACTTAGTTCTTCTCTCTATAAGCAGATATGGATAATAATTAAATCAAATTATGAATACAATGCAAAGTGAAATTCATTTAATAAACAAAGGGCGGGCGTTAACAGCGAATCATTTAAACCTGTATTAAAAATTCTGTTAATAACATGTTATGTAAAAGGCAGCTGGTGAAGGAGGAAAGAGCTGCATAAGAAAATGAAGCTGGCAACAGGCATAAAGCTGCAGCATATTTAATATGCGCGCGTGTGAGTGCGAAAGAACATCAAGAGCGTGAGTGACTGAGTGAGTAAGTCGAAGAGTGAGTGAAGGAGTGAGAGAGCGAGCGAGAGCGAGTGAGCGCTGCAGTTAATGTGCTTATTTTAAAATTTAAATTGGCTTGCGCAATGCGCACTTGAGCGGGCAGAGCCCACAAAATTATAAGAGAGTTTGGGCAGAGGGACGAGAGTATAAGAAGCGGAACTCGCATAGCAGCGTGCGTGTCTTTACTGATGTGTGTGTGTGTGTGTGCTCAAGTGGTGCTAGTTTTCGTTTTAATAGAAAGTTTGCATTGCTCTACATCCGCAAGTTATTTTTTGTTCCTTTTGCATAAAGCGCTCAGAGTGTAATTAACAGTTACTTGCAGCAAGAGAAATGTTTGCATTAAGATAAACAACTTAATTATTTTCCTTGGCTGTGCGTGCGAGTGTATGATTGCATGTATGTGATGAGTGTGTGAGTGTGTGCGTCTTCGCACTTTGCTGCGGTTGCCATCTGGCAGACGCTGCACTGGAGTAAGCGAGCACGCTATATACACTTGAGCTAGCTACAGTTGCAGGCGTACTTAACTCCAAGGCGAGGAGCTGAGTTAATGAAAGCATCAAAGCTAGTTGAGTAATTAAATACATGCATGCTTACTTTTGGCAACTGAGCGTGTGTGTGTGCAACTATGTGTAGGTGTGTATCAAGTGTGCCAATTAGTGAGCAGCTTTCCATTTCCTTGCGACTGAGCGCAAATGAATATAAGAACAAAAAGGCTAATGTACTTTACAGTAACTCGAACAGGTGCTGAATATATACAAAGGTGCACATAGAAGCAGAGGGGAGAAGAGTAAGAATGGATTCGTAAAAATGATATATATATCCAAAGATAGTTTTATGCTCAAAATATATTATCAATATTTAACCTAATAAATGAAATATTTGGCAATATCTTTTATGTATGTAGTCTTTATGTAGTAGCTGTAGAATCGTTGTTTACATTCTTCGCTTATCACAAAGTCTAATCAAAACACAAAAAACTTGAACTGACCTTGCCAACACTAGAAGTGGACACGATATCTAAGACCAAACAAGAAGAGCTATGTAAATAAGAATATGTACTTAATTAGTTAGGCAAGCATTATACAACACTGGAATATCGGGCAGATTTTAGTTCTCAGAAGCTTAGAGGGACATAGTAGATGCCGTACTCCTATAAAAATAATTAAGCTTATGAACTTTATTTTGGTAATTTCTTATCGCACGGCTTTGAGTTGTTTTCAGAAATGGTAGCCGATAATGGATCCATACAGCTAGCTGCCACCTCCCACAAAGCTATCTGATGTATTGAATTTTGATGGCCACCGTTACAAAATCCCACTCTCGAAATAATTATGTGTTATCGGGGCCAGTTCTGGGAATAACTTCTAAGTTGATTAATTTAACATTTTCATACTAACTATCTTTTGGGATATTTTTTGTATTTCGACGAAAGTTCGACAATTCTGTGGAAAATAGCTCTTTTACCTTTTAATTGCTTATCCAATTAGTAATTGCTGATGTGATGAGATGTGCATGAATCTCAGACCTAAATCTAAAGCCTCACTTTAGCCCAGATTTGTATGCAATTGTGCCCTGCTCCACTTAAGCCTAATCAAAAGTTTATGCTCCCAGGCAGTATGCAGATTTGTAGTTGTATTTAGCTAGCTTTTTGGGTAGAACTCTGCTATTTATTAAAATTTTACACATGGCCCAATTAAATAATTAAGGCATGCGAGACATGAAACACTTTCTGCTAACTTTTTTGGCACAACTGGCAATAGTTTTTAATTAAATAAGGGGCACTGGAGCTCGCACCTGTAACAAAGTTCGGAGCACACTTCATGTGCAACTGGGGGCGTGGCACTGGCTTCTGCTACGAACAGAAAGTTTTCGTCTCGGGTGCCGTTTAGGTGCCTATGTCCAAATAACTGTAAATGTGTGTCAACTGTACCAGAAAGTTGTAAAGCTCCGCACGTCCCCCTCGCCCTTTTCACACATCCAATTTTCAGATCTTGTAACTCGTTTAAAATTAATGTGGAGGGCAGCTGTTCGACCTGTTTTTACGGCGTTCAACAAAACAAAATGGCGACAAGTTGCCGTTAACTATTTAGAGTAAGAATTTAAGTAAGAAGAAGGGAGGAAGAGATAGAAATAGAGATAGAGATAGAGATAGAGATAGAGATAGAGATAGAGATAGAGATAGAGATAGAGATAGAGATAGAGATAGAGATAGAGATAGAGATAGAGATAGAGATAGAGATAGAGATAGAGATAGAGATAGAGATAGAGATAGAGATAGAGATAGAGATAGAGATAGAGATAGAGATAGAGATAGAGATAGAGATAGAGATAGAGATAGAGATAGAGATAGAGATAGAGATAGAGATAGAGATAGCGCTCGCGCTCGCGCTCGCGCTCGCGCTCGCGCTCGCGCTCGCGCTCGCGCTCGCGCTCGCGCTCGCGCTCGCGCTCGCGCTCGCGCTCGCGCTCGCGCTCGCGCTCGCGCTCGCGCTCGCGCTCGCGCTCGCGCTCGCGCTCGCGCTCGCGCTCGCGCTCGCTCGCGCTCGCGCTCGCGCTCGCGCTCGCGCTCGCTCGCGCTCGCGCTCGCGCTCGCGCTCGCGCTCGCGCTCGCGCTCGCGCTCGCGCTCGCGCTCGCGCTCGCGCTCGCGCTCGCGCTCGCGCTCGCGCTCGCAGCTCGCGCTCGCGCTCGCGCTCGCGCTCGCGCTCGCGCTCGCGCTCGCGCTCGCGCTCGCGCTCGCGCTCGCGCTCGCGCTCGCGCTCGCGCTCGCGCTCGCGCTCGCGCTCGCGCTCGCGCTCGCGCTCGCGCTCGCGCTCGCGCTCGCGCTCGCGCTCGCGCTCGCGCTCGCGCTCGCGCTCGCGCTCGCGCTCGCGCTAGAGATAGAGATAGAGATAGAGATAGAGATAGAGATAGAGATAGAGATAGAGATAGAGATAGAGATAGAGATAGAGATAGATAGAGATAGAGATAGAGATAGAGATAGAGATAGAGATAGAGATAGAGATAGAGATAGAGATAGAGATAGAGATAGAGATAGAGATAGAGATAGAGATAGAGATAGAGATAGAGATAGAGATAGAGATAGAGATAGAGATAGAGATAGAGATAGAGATAGAGATAGAGATAGAGATAGAGATAGAGATAGAGATAGAGATAGAGATAGAGATAGAGATAGAGATAGAGATAGAGATAGAGATAGAGATAGAGATAGAGATAGAGATAGAGATAGAGATAGAGATAGAGATAGAGATAGAGATAGAGATAGAGATAGAGATAGAGATAGAGATAGAGATAGAGATAGAGATAGAGATAGAGATAAGATAGAGATAGAGATAGAGATAGAGATAGAGATAGAGATAGAGATAGAGATAGAGATAGAGATAGAGATAGAGATAGAGATAGAGATAGAGATAGAGATAGAGATAGAGATAGAGATAGAGATAGAGATAGAGATAGAGATAGAGATAGAGATAGAGATAGAGATAGAGATAGAGATAGAGATAGAGATAGAGATAGAGATAGAGATAGAGATAGAGATAGAGATAGAGATAGAGATAGAGATAGAGATAGAGATAGAGATAGAGATAGAGATAGAGATAGAGATAGAGATAGAGATAGAGATAGAGATAGAGATAGAGATAGAGATAGAGATAGAGATAGAGATAGAGATAGAGATAGAGATAGAGATAGAGATAGAGATAGAGATAGAGATAGAGATAGAGATAGAGATAGAGATAGAGATAGAGATAGAGATAGAGATAGAGATAGAGATAGAGATAGAGATAGAGATAGAGATAGAGATAGAGATAGAGATAGAGATAGAGATAGAGAGACAGGGAGAGACAGGGAGAGTTTTGAAATTGTTCTAATGATTGTCTCTCTGTAGACTGACTCTGCTGAAAAATATTTTTTTTAAATAATTAAAAATCTCTATGGACTTTTTTATCGACAACAGTTTTTTTTATGTTTGCCGAACACTTCAGTTGGCAACAATCAATTGTCTTCGAGCGTTACACAACGCGACATCGAAGGTAGTCAGTGGACAGTAATTGTTGTGGGTATTAAGTGATCAACCGTTCCCACATCACATGATGCACATGACTTGGCGGGCGTTGATCAACACTGCAAGTTCACTTATAATGCTGCTGACCAACACTGCATTCGTGTTTATTTTTATCAGAGCTATGATATCATATGATTAATTGGCAGGTAATTAGCGCTAATGATCAACAGCTGGAAGTTCACTTGGACAGCTGAGTGTCAGAAGGTTCGGTAGCAGAGCCCAGGCCACACGCAAAGCATTTACAGAATGTCTTCACAGGGTGACAACTGGCGCTTCGGGGTGCTCTCGGTCTTCCTTTTGCTGGGCCTGCTCTGTGGTCACACGGCCGAGGCAGATGGCGATGGTTTGACTGCCCAGGCCTGCAATGTGAGCACCAGCATGGCCCTCGATCTGCAGAAGGTAGGCGATTCTCAAATGATCTGCAATTTATCATGTTGGTGAAGCAGTTCAACTATTTGCGTAGTTTTCGGGCATCTGGTGGGAGATTGTGCGTCAGCCGTCTGGCTCGATGTTCTGCACTCAAATCAATATCACAGTGCTCAACACGGTGGAGGACAATGTGCTGATCGATACGACCTATTCGAACACGATTACGTATCCGTGGGTCAATCAGACTATGAATGCAACGTTGACTGCAGCGAATGCCACCCCAGCAGCTGACGGCTACAACTTCACCTACTGGAACCCGCCTGCATATACGCCCTACACGGTCTTCAAGGTCTTGGATACGGACTATGCCAACTACGCTTTCGTTTGTGGCTACACCAATGCCGTCGATAACTCGACGGCCTTCGCCATGATCATCGCGCGCAATCGAACTCTCTCGACCACCTTCTTAGACAATCTCGAAAGTGAGAGCTCCAGTCTGTATGATAATTTCCTCAATGGCAGCATGACTTTAATCACCCAAGACGGCACGTGAGTATCATTCGTCCATATCGTATTTATCATATTGTTTTTTATCTACCTCAACTCTTTCCGCAGTTGCGAAGGAAATGGCGCTGATACGTCGACGGCTTTTACAGTATTCTATGCCATTTTCGCATTGGTTATTTATATCTTAACCAAATAGTAATGAAATATTCATAAGTAGGAAGGTTACAGTTGTTAGCAAACGTACTGCTGAAAATATAAACATTTTTAAAACGAACTTTTGCAAGTTAATTAATAAATTCTGAAATCGTTTTCTTTCATTTTATTTGGATTTTATTTTATTGCAAATGTTGGTAACAAGCAGTATGATGATATGATATGATATAGATAATATGTGATTCTATTTCATGTTGTTTTGCCTGCTCAAAGATTTCCTTTGATAAAACTTTAGGTAAACAATATCAAAATACATTTCTATTCATGCAGTTATATATAAGATAGTAGAGATATTTAATGACATTTCTTGCGAAATACAAGAAAGATAGAAGCGGAAATATCGCAGCATATCAGTTTATATCAGTTTATATATGCTTCTTTGTGGACTCTTCGTCAGTATCTAATGTCTCGTACTCAGTGCCGTGACGATGTTCGCCATTTATCATTTCTGTGCGCTATCTTTGGTCTCTTATTGTCAAATAGTATAAAAGCATTTATGACTCACGTAATGCGATTGTTGATGTGCTATGTACTTAAATAATTTAGCTCTACTTTAATGGGGCTAAAAATGTATCGATATTTACTTATTGATATTGCTTCCTTCAGCGAATGTCTTTGAATTGAGCTGTTCTTGTTCAAGCTATAGCCATTTAAATTGTTTGAAAATGTTGACACTCAAAATATCTTGAATATAAAACGCTTTAATACTAAAGCGAGGAATGACAGCTGAGAGTCGATGGCGTGTATATTATTATGACATTGTTGATAACTCTTCAACCTACACAAAGAAAACAGCGAGTGCAAAGGAACAAAGTTAAGCAAGTTAAAATGAAGTAAGTGATTCCGCTTTTTGACGGAATAAGAACTTGATTTCAAAAACTTCTTCAATTGTTTAGTAAATAAACGAGATATCAATTTATAATTTACTTTTTATTCTTGGAAAATAAATACTTGAGCTAATTTATCTAAAGCTTTGCGCGTGGCAGAATTCGGATTTGTAGAACAAACTTACGAATTCTATTTAGCAGACAGTAATATATACCTTTTGTGTAAGTATATGTCTGATACAGCTATAAAATTTCTTCATTTACGATACCCTAAATCTCTCGCAAGAATTGAGCTTATTGGTGTTGTGAAAATGTGTGTAACACCTGTATGTATACACTCTCGATCACTCTCTATACTATATTTAGACATTCTATACTATATATGTACTATATACGCTTACCACACGCAGTACAAGCTTATCTTTTTTCGATAATTCATGAATTATTATCGATAAAAGTCGATAATTTGGCTAAGTTTTTAAAGACTTACTGCGTAGGTTCTTGTAATGAATACCGAGAATTTAAATATTTTGAATTTCCCCTCAGATTCATAAAAACTTTCTTCAAATACAAGCTTCAGGATGCAATTAAATTTCAGTAGGAAAGTCCAACAAAGGCGAAGCGCAGTCACTGCGTCGACTGCGCAGTAAGCAGACCGCGTGTGCGTATGGGTGTGTGAGTGTGTGTGTGAATGTGTTGTTTGATATCTATATATAAGAGAAGCGTAGAATGATTAGAATATCACCTACTTGTATAAGAGAAGCGTAGAATGATTAGAATATCACCTACTTGCAGGGTTCAGGGTATCTCCTAGTCGAGCAGTTTCAACTAGAGCACATTTATTTGTTTTTACTAGGATTGCCTTGTGTATACAATGAATGTTTTTATTACTGCAGTAAATATGAATATAATATATATATATATATATATATATATATATATATATATATATATATATGTATATATATATTTGCCAGATAATTCTGGGCGCACCCATTGAAATGCCTTAATTGTAGGTGTTTCATTTATTCTGATTATTACGCTATGAGTAACAGGAGAGTAATTAAATACATTCATAATGTATATTAACTAAAAAGAGTTTTTAAAAATAATAATTCTACAATTCGAATTTAAAGAGAGCAAAATTTATAAATTAATTTTAAATTCAAGCATAAAATTATCAAATATCTTCCATTCAGTTATAAATTAATAAATAAACATGATATCATGGGTGAAGTACATATAGATAAATTAATGATCCATTTTATTTGCTAGACATAAGTCAATGAGGTTAATTTTAGAGTGCCCACGTCGGCAATTGGAGGCTTAAATATTTGATAATTGAGCAAAGGGCGGGGAACTTTTAATTAGCCGAAGGTACAGTGCGGCACACGGGAAGTATACGTGAAAGCTTAAGCAAATGAGATTACTCATTCAGCTTCAACCCCACTCTATTGTGGCCAAATGAGGAGCGATAAGAGACGTCAGTCAGAGTTGAAAGTAAGCTGCACTGAAGACTATTTATGTGTATACATGTGTGTGTGTGTATGGGTATGTGTGTGTGTTGATAAGACACAGCACAGATACATTTTGTGTATCTGGCTGGCATAGGTATAAAAGCCACAATAGCTAAGGCCGCACCGACAGTTAAACGAGTCAACCCAATCGAACCAACCCAAAACGAGGCTAACGAACGCGTCGGTCAGGATATATACCTAAGTGCAGTGATAAGTCCAGAATAGACTAACGAAAATACCAAACAGTGATGATGTGGAAAATTGTAATTGTGCTCGTTGCGGCCTTGGCCCTGGCCTCAGCCCAAGATCAAGCAGCTCTGCCCCAGAACTGCAGCGCACCAGGAGTCGAGAGCATCGATTGGAACAATACCGCAGTAAGTGTTGCGGATGCGGGTGCAAGTGAAATGGCTATTGCAGCAGCAGTTCTTCTTTGTCCTTTGCTTCTTTAGCTATTCGGCCATTGGCTCGAAGTGGCACGTAATCCCCTTGGCAATGCGAAAGCCTGCTTGTCGTTCAGCGTGGGTCTGCTGTCGGACAACACGACGTTGAGCATCAACGCCTCGCACTCGAGCAGCACCACATCGCTCTACTCGAACATCGATGAGTCGGCCAATGTGACGCTGGTGCCCCAAGCCAAGACGGGCTACAATGTCACCTTCTACCAGGGCCAGTCAGCCCAGCCGACCGTGTTCATCAAGCTGCTTCAACTGGTCAACAGCACCTACATCACAGGCTGCGGCTACACTGATCCCCAAAACAACGCAACCAGCTTTGGCTTCATTCTGAGCTCGGGCAACTACAGCCCAACAGGCATCAAATTGGTCAACGACCAGGCCTTCCCACTGTATAGCAATTTCCAGAACAACACATACGCAAACATCACACAAGCAGGGTAAGCTATTTTCACTTTCTATTTCACTTTAATTAATGCTCAATATTCATTAATATGTATATTGGGCAGTCTTTTGAGAAAAAGAATGGAAAACTGATTTTATTCACTCTCAAGAAATTGCGAAATGCCAAAGTGTTGCTCCAAAAAGCAGCTCTACAGTGTTTTGCGATAGTAAACAGCTTTGCAAACTGCCATAAATTATAGCTGCATAGCTCAGTGTTGACTCATCGCTTAATTAAATTAATAAGTTAATGAAATATCAATTAAATTGTTAATATTTCTTTTCTTGCAGCTGCTATAAAAGCTCGGCCGCCCAGTCGCTGCCGATGATCTCTGGCTTCCTGGCCGTGGCTCTGCTGCTGATCAAGGCGCACTAAAAAAAGGGGCAAAACCAATTGCTGAGCTCGTTAACACACTTAACTTCTTTGGTGTATTGGTGCGACTTTTATTTAGTTTTTAGTGTTTATTTAAATTTTGAAATCGTGTCAGCAAGCAAAAGCACATACCTGACGCAGCTAGGTAAAAATAAAAAGTAAAACATGTAAAAAACATTCCTAAAAAACGATCATGTGCTTCACTTTCGTCTCTTTCATTGAACTCATGTTGTTGTTGACATTGTTGTTGTTGTTGTTTTTTAGCAATCGACGCTTTAATTTGTGCGCGACAAGTACAAAGCACGCGAGATAAGATAACGAAGGCAATGATAAAATTAGATAACCAAACAGGTCACCCGCAACTAAAAGACCCTCGAACAACAGCAACAACAAGCCGTGTCTCTAACAGCAACACGAGAATTCGCTAGTTTACAAGTGCGTTGTAAATCAATCATACGCCCCGTGCACGCACCATTCAATTTAGCCGGCAAACCTTATCGCCAGACAATAAAACATTTTGTGGCACTGCCACTGATTGATACGACAAATCACTCAATTCATTAGATTTTTATTTGTATTTTATTGAATATATATAACCATATATATATATATATATATATATTTATATATACGTTAATGGTACGCCAATAATTAATGCGCTTAGCTCGTAGCTCGTAGCTAGTCGCTCGTTCCTCTGGCCCGCGTCCCACACTCATTATCTATCGGCAGCAATAATTGCTGCCATTATGTGGGCGTTGTGATTGAGAGCTGCTCGTAAGCTATACACTAATCAATATTCCCCTAATTAAAATGGTTATTTACTTGCCATAAAAATATAATAAGTTTGGTCGAATTGAAGCTACAAAAACAGCATTTACTACGAATGCCTTGGATAAGGCATGACCTGACAAATATATTGCATTTATCGATATATAATCGATGACAAGCACAGGCTTTGATCAATTGAAATGGAAAACATGGAGATTCCGCATGAAATTCATGGAATATCTACATATAAATAGTTTTCAAAAATTTAGTCGACAAAATTTAGTCATAAAAAACACAAGTTTAATATGCTTTGCCGAATAAAATATATGATAATTGATTATCAGAACAGTTGATAGTCTATTTTTAGTTAATAAACCCAACAAAAGTAGTCGAGGTAGGTAAAACTAAATAAGATTTAGAGCCGTAACTTGTTTAACAAAACAAGTTGAAGAGCTGCAGTAAAACTTATTTGAAGAAAGACAACGTGAACTCAATTGATAAGCATACAACTCTTGGGGCATGGCATGTCTGGCAAATGGAACTGTTGGTATCTGCGTGAACTTGAATGCCAAAGTGTTTGCTTTTATCGGACTTCACCTGTCTGATAACGATAACAGAATAAACTGTCATGTCAGAAGCAAAACTACTCGGAAATCAACGCGACAGGCGTGGAAGCGAGAGGGAGGCAAAGCTGAAGCCGGAGAAGGGAATTTGGACAACTTAAGACCCTCTGAGTTGGCACTTTGTCAAATGTCAGAGGGTTGGCACCTCTGCTAAATGACAGATTCACACAGTTTCTTAGGGAATTTAATTGTGTTGCAAGTCGGACAGTCCACTGCAGCCGCTTTGTTTATGTTAGGCAAATACTGGAAATTGTTGGCCAGGATGTGTGCATATCCTTTGGATATGTTCCAATTGCTGGCTCCGTTTCTCGCCTCGCCCTCTCTTGCTTTTTATGCGCTTATCATTTTTCGCTTAGCTGAGGGTTAGCCAACTGTTGTTGTGGCTCTTGCTGATTTCTTGTTTGCTTATTTGGCTCGATTCAATCAACACACACTCACTCACGCACACACTCACTCGAGCACCCACACTTACATGCTCATGCTGAGCTTAACATTTACACGCATCCAGCAGCTCGAGCAGGTCCTTGTAGCTGTTTGCTGCTGGTGCTGCTGATGTTGCCCACTTATTTTGTGTACGATTTCTTTTGTTGGCACTTGACCCGCGGCAAGCCACAACTACAACAAATCAAACCCAAGGCCCAGACGTCGTCCCTTTGCTTTCGATCTGCTTCGTTGCGGTCCTTCGTTTGTTTATATTTATTTGTTGATACAATTTGGTTACATTGTTTGTTTACAATCTCAATGTTGTTTTTGTTCTTGTTTTCTCAGTTTCGTTGTTGTTGCTGCTGCTACTGCTGTCTGCACATTGAAAGCAACCTTACAACGATTAAGTAGCTGCTAAAATCTTTGTCAGCCAAAGCCAATAATAACAAAAGAACTTCTTCAATCATTTCGAGGCTTCGAACTTGAATGGAAGCCGGGCGGCTCTTGATTTCAGCCACAATGTAAATATATTACCAGCCATAGTAAAACAAACTCAAATCTAACCAAAAGTAATTTCTTTGCTTCTCGGGTCAGCTCAACTTGAGACACTCTGAAGTAGCTAAAGCAATATTTTAAGGCATATAATGTGTATACCCTGTAGCTGTTGAGTTGTCCCAAACGGGTAGTACACGAGAAAGCAGACCGAGACTTAAGATGTAACTCATTTATATTAAGCAATTTTATTCTTTTTGAACTTTTTGAGCTCTCTAATTACACCAACATAAATGCAGTAAGTACTTGATTACAGGAATACCATTAGTGTTTCCAGGCACACGAATAAGTTATCATAAGTCACATAAACAAGTTAATATCCAGATCTTGTAAGGGAATTCTTCAACCTGCGCATTGCATTGACATTGCTGGGCCATAATTTGGCCATCTATATGAATATATGTAAATGTGACTTCAGTAATCAGCTACGTAGAATCGAGTGCTTGATTCCATTACGCCAGGAGCTCATCAGGCATAAATTATCCGACTGCAATGAATATTTATGCAAGAGGCAAAGTCATAACAGTCAAGAGCGAGCATCTGTATCAGCATCTATGTGCATATCTCGGGCATACTTAGATGAATGCCGATGTGGTTGCTGCACAACTGTTAATTGAATGTAAATGACTCGAACCTGGCCGCATTCAATTACCGCACCTGTGGACCAACACTTGTCACACATCAAGCACTCGCCCACACATTCAATTTAACAAAATGCGTTTCGCCTCCTCAAGATCAAATTTCTGTTTTTGTGCACAGTTTGCAGCCCTCAAATCTATGCAAATGCGCAGTCAAAAGCTGCAATTTTCTTGGCATGATATCTCTGCGTAGTTCAACATAAATTACCCACTTAAACTTAACCAACACACACGCACACACACACACACGCGTCTCCTATTGAGAGTGGCTCAGTTTCAGGCCTAGAACATAAAGTTCACAAGTTAAGACAAACATGGAGTGCTCAAGTGTTCGAGTGCAAGAATTTTGCAAGATTTCAATTTGCTTGATAACATTGCTACCTACTCTACGCATACGCGCACGCACTGTTTCACATACCTTCTCTCAATAGCCACCTGCTGTTTGTGTCTTAACCGGTTTCCAAGGCGACAATTCGAAGTTGAATTTTGACATTTTGCATATTCAATGCATTAAAATCGCTAAAATATTAGATTAATCTCGAGAAGACTAAATTATAGCTTAATTAATTTGATAAAAACTTAAATTATTCGATAGAATTTGTTAACTAGAAGTAACTACTGTAACTTAGCATCTTTAAAAGCTCGTTAAAGTTTAAAGATTTGAGGCCTTAAAGCATTGAATCATTATTATAATCTTTTTTGAGAGTCTTCTTCAATTTCCCTAGACACCTTTAATACTACTGACATCAAAGCACAAGGCTCTACACATTTATTAAATACAATCTAAAAGCTCTCCTCTCAGCTCGTTAAAGTTTAGCCTGGCTATTTCCTGCTGTTGTATATATATTTAACTTTGCAGCTTTCAGCTGGTGTCATTGTCAAATCCCGTTCCATCCATGTTGACACAGAGATCTGCTGCTATTCTGATTGGTTGAGTATTGGTTTTGTCTTTGACTGAAATGTCAACGACATGCGGTGGCCCTGTCCATGCCTATGTCAATGTCTATGGCCTGCAGTGCCTATGCCTGGGAAATTAATTAATAGTTTTGTCTGTCCGTCTGTGTGTGTGCGTGTGAATGTGGTAGTGTGTGAGTGCCTGTGTCTCTGGGTGTTTGTGCGCATCCATACAAGCATAATACCCAGCCCTGCTGCGTGCGTGTTTGTACCTTAAGCATTTTGGCTTTTGGTTTTCTAAGCACTTTGAGGATATTGCAGAAATGGGCACAATTGCTATTAGCGTTGATTGGAGGGGTATCTTTGTTTGTCTGGCATTTGAGCAGCTTAGCTGCCTGCCTTCCTTGTCGATGAGGTTGCAGATAGACACAGATGATTAGTCACAAACTGTAGCATAATTGGTATCTATAGGGTAAGTGTAATTACTGGGGCATTGCTTTCATATAATATTATATATGTGTATTGTATAAAAGTTTAAAAATTGTAGTCATGGAGCTAGAGGCATTTATTATAAAATATAAATATTATTCTCAATCTGTTCTAACATGTTATCGTGCTATTCAAGCTGTTGAAGTCTAAAACATGAACTTCACATTACTTATTTGCATCCCAAAAACATCGAAATATGCCCTCATATCAATGTAAATTCGTAGCAAATATAGCACATGAAAGTCTTGGTAAATATACATTTTTTCTCAATTTTTTCTTATTGATAAAAAGAGCGGTGTTTTATATATAGATATACAATTATAAAGGAAAATCTTAAAAAATATATGTATTTTCAGATTATGTATTTATGTATTTATGTATTTTTGTATTTATATGTATTTAAGATTGCAGCGATGCTGCAGCTCTCATAGCCGTCGTAGTTTGAGCAACACTTTGTCCAGAGCATCGACCATATCTTGCAGCTGAGGTCCTATCGCACCCGAGATAGCTCTGAATGCTTACGCTGAAGCAGCATGCCACTGGGTATGAGCCGTTTGCGGGCTGAAATAAGTATACAAATAAATAAATAAAATAAATATTTATTTATGTTAGAGTAAATAGTAAACAAACCATGAATATATTACAAATATATATATATGAATAATTGTGTACAACTTGCAAGCCAAGGACGGAACTGCCACTTGTAGAGGCAAACATTTCGATTTACGCATTTAATTATGATTGCAATTAACCGACAAAGTTTACACGAGACGTGTCAAATTGCTTGAGAAAGGCATAAACACATAAACACTAATCCACACACACACACATACATTTGTGGCACAAACAGCTAAAACAATTAATTAAGTTCAAACCCAACTTCAAGCCCAAAAACGAAGCCCATTTAAAATGCCAATTACAATCGGCGCTAGAAGCTGGCATTGCAAATGCGTCAGCGGGAGCTGAAGGAGCATACAAGCAAAAGTATCTGGCGCAAAGTGCTCTAAATCCAATAGAAAGCTCTGCGTGCTCTCTCTTCCTCAGTCGCTGTACCTTTTGTGTGCTGGCTGCGGCATTGGCATTATTCCTAACGAGCGACATGATCATAAAAATAAACGCAAATGCAAACACAATGATGGGTGCGAGTGGCTTAGTTTTTATTTTTACACCTGTTTACAAGCACACAGAGCGAAATTTGACTGTGCCAGCACGCACACAATTAAATTTCCGGTAGAACATTCGGCTCCAGGTGTGCGCAAAGGTGTGGGTGTGCCAAGGGATGGATGTGTGTCGGTGATGCTACCCAAAACACTTTGGTATCCGTGCCAACTTTTTTGTGGATGGTTGAGTGAGAGCGAGAGGGCTTCGTATGTTTGAGCCATTAAAATTACGCCTAACAGCACTCGTAAAAATTTTCGGCTCACACGGCGTATGAGTATTTTCAGCTCTTAGCTGCACGTTTCATTACAAATCCATGGCACGTTTGCCAGCAGCCGCAACAGCAGCACCAGCAGGAATAGAACACATACGCAAGGTACAATTTTCAATATTTGCCCCACACACACACAACGTGGGCGTGGCAGGTGGCGGAAATAATGCGGCGTCTGTCAAAATTGGCAAAATCGTCGCTGCTTCGTTGCCCCTAACTAAAAATCAAAGCCGTCGCATTTGAGTAGATCTCACCCCCAGCCCACACCTCTCTCACTCTCTCGATGCTTGTGCGTTTGTGTGTGCTTATGCATAGGCGTTATGGGCGTGGCACTTGTGTACGTGCACCATAATATTTTGTTTATCTACACACGGCGTATACGTAATATTTACTTGGCTTTTTATTACATGGGCAATTGCCAAACGCCTCAATAATAAGAAAAACGAAAATCAGAGCAAAAAAAATTAAAATAAAATTTCGTTTAATTTCAAATTTTATTCATTTCGTAATTCATTTTTATGATCTCGCCAGGTGTGCCTGCTTTGTAATGCGAGATAATTTAATTAAAATGGGAAAGCCAATTCTGCAAAGCGAAAATAATAAGTCTGAAAGAAAATCTTTTTCGCTTCTTGCTGAAGATGGCAGTAAAAGCTCATTTGTTTCGGGTTAGTTGTTTAATCGAGTTGCGTATTTATTACTTACAAATTTGCTTCTGCAAATATAGACAGGTTGGTCATCGATATGGTAAAGTAAGCGATTCAAATAGATAATAAAATTTGTATAAAATTTCGAAGAATATTTTCACTCAATATCGATCAACCCAAATAAAAGTGAAGCAATGAACCCTCACGTGGCGACGAGAGGGGTCAAGTATAACAATCTAAAGAGAGAAGCGGGTCCACTTATTGAGCAGGTGGGTTGGCATTATTATTTCCTTCGTGTCATCGTAAGTGGGAGCAAACTTCTGCGGAAAGTGTTTTTTCAGGCAAGAAAGAACTGTTCCGGTCAGATAATATCTCGAGAGCCAGTTGCATTCGCAAGGCTGGATACATTGGGTACATATGCTCTCCTTCAACTTAAATGTGTATTCAGATCTGATATTCAAGCAGTGCAGGTTCCAAGGCTGAGCCAATTCCTTCTCTGTCCAAAGGCAGTCGCATGGCGGTATACAATTATGACAAATGCAATCCAACCTGACCAGCGGTTTTGAATCCTTGACAGGCGCTTTGGGGCATTCGTATATGTTAAAGCGCGGCACACACGCAATCAGCTCCTTGTACTTGCGTTCGCGTTCCCTACGCAGCCACAGTTCGAGCAACTCCCAGTGATCTCGATTCTTAGACCGCTCCCGAATGATCTGCATGCGCATATACAAATCAGAGCGTCGACATTCATCATAGTTGATGCCCGTCTGCGTGTGCCACAGCAAGTAGAGCTCATTGGGCTTTTCATCCGGTAGAGTAATACTGTGAGAGAATTTGGTCAGCTCAAAATGAAACAGCATCCGAATGCCATAGGTAATGTGTTTGATATGGTCGAAGTCCTTGATATTCATTGCTGACAGCGCGTCAGCGTCCAGCAACAACAGTTTTCGCCCCCATATCATGTTCACACGAAAAGTGTGCTATGGTTTATAAAAGGAAACATGGCTTGTCGAAGTTATATGAATTTGAATAGAAAACCCACCATATATTGTGGATATCCATAGCGAAGAATCCATAGTCTTATAGCCTTGTCGTCCCACTCTGAGACCGGCGGCAAAGGTAGTTTATCGACTGCGCAAACACATAGCTCGACGAGAGTTGAGGGCGTGGCCCGAAAGTCTATGGGCCAGTCGTCGTGGTTGTACTTCGGACAACGTGCGAGCAGTTCATGAGTTCGGAATTTAACTGGTGGAACATCTGATATTACTGCATCCCTTTTCTTCTTCTCTTTTGGCTTATATTTGATATCGGTTATGCCATAAATATAAGACATTGTTTCGCTAGGACTAAGTATATGTATATATTGTGACTTAAACGAGTTTAGCTTACTGCCCTATCAATACTCAGGGATATCTAACGCAAAGCTTACTAAGTTTGTGTGTGAATTGTAGCCGAAGTTGGCTTTGCATTTGTGCCGATTCTCTTCTTTTATGCCGCTCCTTTTCGAAGCCAGCTGTTTCTATAGATCATCTGACCGCAAGCTGCTATCTCTTTGTAGAATTCTAAAAATATGCCAACTAGATGATTCGTATCTCTGAACTCAGCATTCACTGGAACAATTTTGGATTGCATGCTTATCAGTCTCATAAAAATTTAGATAAACGTTCACTGCATGACGCATTTATTGAGGTACTGAATCACCTGCCAAATTGACGGCCCGCTAATCTACGGCAATCTGGCAGAAAGCAAAACTCAAATGACAACAGTTCAAATATTAATTAAAACCAATAGGAGCATATTTTTAATTAGTATTATCTAAAAAGCGAAAAGCAAAAAGTCTGGCAACCGAAAGAGGAGAACTTATGAAATATGTTCGATACACTTCAACAAAATACTTAGGTACTTAGCTTGGAGTATAAGATTTATAATAATAATGAGAGTGTAAATGACATTATAAAAAAATCGAATTAAGAACGGAGCTTCATGGTTATGCAAAAGCAGCTACAGAAGCCACGCCTAAAGGCAGCGAAGTGATTCGAATCCTTTCAAGTGGGTTTCGTTCTGATGCGAACTAAAGCAACTGAAGCCAGGGACTAGTTGGACCGCTGGCTTAAAAGTAGAAACTTTCAATTAAATAAGTAAAAGCGAAAACACGCAGACATATATATTTATATATATTTTTCGTCTGGGTATAGTCTGAGGGCAGCTTAAGACCGGTCTATTGGAGCCAACTCATTGCCTCCTGTCTGTCTATCTGTTTGTTTGTTTGTGGACTAATGGAAGACTGGTAACAGCAGCTGGCAGGACATTAGCTCAAAGCGTGCAACTTCCTCTTAAAAGTGTTATGCGAGTCAGGTGCGTTGTGAATTTTGCTGCAACAGTCATTATAATAATGCCACAACGAAGTGTGCCTGGAAATAATAATCAGGTAGACCATCAAGAGCTCTCATTCTCTCTGTCTCTCTCGCTCCGTCTCACTCACTCTTGCTCCTTGATTGTTGCTGGCTCGGGCTGTTTCAGGTGTGGAGCACTTAAAATTTCATTTAAATATGGCTGTGGCACACACATAAAGGCATCGTTAAATGTGCAATCGTGCGTTGTGGCAGTTACAATAATCGGCTCAAATAATAACTTTAAGTGCATCATTTTGAAAAGTTTTCCTTAAGCCCAGTTGTTCGCTTGTTCGGTGTGAAAAGTACGTGCAAAATTGTTGCAGTTTCTGAATTTGAAAAGTCATTTGCCAAATTGCATCAAAGAAGCTGACACAAAATTGGATTTTAACTTAACAAGCATTTCAATAATATGCTATCAACATCGTTAAATAAAAATAATATATTTTACAATATATATATATATAAATGATATATATAAAATAGGTTATATTTCTAATATAGCTCTACAAAATAATGACAGCATAACTTAAATTTATACATTGCATAGTTGAAATAATCTAGGAATATCTATTTCGGAGCTGCCTAACTCTTCTACTGTCCACCATTTTACGTATTTCTCTCTGCATTTATTGATTTAATAACATGCCACTAAATACACTCTCACTCAAAAGACACCAATATAAAGCTCTATGTATAAATGTGCATTAAGCATACGCATACGCCCAGTAGTACACAAAATGGAAACATTTTGATTGTATTAGTCACATTCTGAATAAATGTTTTGCTCGCGGCTAATTTGTGGTGATTCCCATTTGGTTTTAATTGATTTTGTGTAAATGTGCAACAACTGGCGCAGAGTGCAATTCGCATATCATTTACATTTACGAATTTACATTTAAATTTCTATGTGCCCAACGGCGGCTTCATAACTTTATAAAGCTTACATTGTTGCTGTTGCCATGACAATGTGTTTAGAGGCAATAGTTAAACAATTTTTCTTTTTACTTTGATTTTGCTTTGATTGTAAATCGACTAATTTATAAATTTCGGGCCACCCAATGCTAATAAAATGAAAATTAAATACTAATCTTTTTTCAAAGTCCCATAATACAACAGTTTCAATTACAGTTCGATTTTCAGAATTTTAAATATAGAAACAGATAAATTCAGAAAAAACTAAACATTTCACTATGTAACACAATTAGCAGACGACATTTTCAATTTATTAAGCAACAAAAATCTGGAGTTTTCAGATTCTGTTTACCCTCACAAAATAAATATTTTAGTTAATTTGGTTATTAATTTAGACATTCCTTATGCCTTTGATTATTTTTGATTGCCTGAGCTAAAAACATAACATCATCCAGCCAAAAAGAATCTTGTTTACTTAATTTGAAATAATTCAAATTCCATTTGCTTTCGTTTTCAATTGACATTACTAAGCTTGGCTTAGCTTTTTCCTTGAATAATTCAGGGAAATAAAGATAAAATACCAACAGCAAAATTAACAAAAATTTTTTCAAGTCAATCAAAACTTTATAATTTTAATTTGCATTAAAATGAAGACAGCAAATATTATGTTTGGCTTCCACATGCCAAAAATGTGCCATTTGTATAATATTTGCTTTGGCTTATAATTTTTAATGTGTTTGCCTTTTTTCATTTTTGACAGTCAAACTTTTTTGGCAAAAGACATTTGCATAACTGAATTTATAGGCAAGCAGTCAAGAGAGGTAACATTAAATGGAGAAGCACGAAATATAAATATTAATCATACGCCATGTGTAGCAGCAATTAGATTGAAGTCATGCTGCCATTCTGCCAGCAAAAGTGTAGAAAACTTTTTACAAAAGTATTTCAAATAATTGCAGGCTGTTAAGAAAAGCAACTTTTAATAAGTACAAAGAAATAATTTATAAATAATTCAAAATTATGAGTAAGGAAACCCTTGAACGTGAAGCTGCAATATAATAAGAATATTATTTATTTATCATTGAGGCTCCATATGCATGTGCTAGAATTGAGGTGAGATCTTGTCATTGACGTCAGTGAAAATAGCTTTGTTTTTAGCCTCGACTGTCCTATTCTTGTCATTGGTTTTACGTCACTTGGAAATGTTGACATTTATCCGATAATTGACACGATGCCTATTATCTGTTTTAAGTACTCTCACAAATGTTCCAATTAGCACAGTGAATTAATGCCGCACGAACAGCGATTTATGGTGTCCAATCTGGTACCAAAGTGTCAGGTTGAATCCAAAATTGAATCAAACAATTAAACGGAAAGCCCCCAGGCACGACTAGCTACGGCAGCAGTTAGCATCTGTATTATTAAATAATAATAACAACATCAGAAGAGCGTGAAAATAATATCAAGCATCAAAGCAGCTGACAAATAAGAGCGATCTTAAGAGAGATGAAGACGAACAGCTGATTCCCGTTATGAGAACGTAAGCAGCTAAAGCAAGCTATATCTATATTATTGACTGTATACGTAGCTCTGTAGGTATTAGTATCTAAATAGGTCTCTGTATGTAGATCTCTCATTGAGGCTCACTTGTATTTGTATCTGTATCTGTAATTTGTGTTCCTCTTGTAATAAAACTAGCAACATTTCTATCGGGATCTGTATCTGTATCTGTATCTGTAACTATATCAGTATCTGTATCAATATCTGTATGTATATCTGTATCTGGATCTATCTATCTGTATCAGTCTCTATCTATACCTGTATCTATATCAGTATCAGTATCTTTATCTGTATTTGTATCTATATCAGTATTTGCCTCTGTATCTCTATCTGTAACTATATCTGTATGTTTATTTGAATGTTTATGTGTATCTGTGTCTGTCTCTATATCTGTATCTGTATCTGTGACTGTATCTCTGCTACACAGTTCACAATTGAACTTTAAGAGACGCTCTGATACTTAATGCAAACAACGTCGACTGCAAATCGTGGGTGCGTTGCCTTTGGAGATGGTTGGCGCTTGTTGATTCGCGCTCTGCCATTTGCGATCTGCGAGGTGCTATCTGCGATTAAAAAAACGCTCATCAGTGGCTTGAGCGTCGCTTTCCGCGTTATTATCAAATCGCGACTCACTGGAAGCGGACCTTATCGCAGTCTCAGTCTCATTATGTATCCGCAACTGGAAGTGGACCCTGAACTCACGGAACGTACAACCAAAGTGCGTCTTCTGTCCAGTCACAGTGATGCCCAAGTCGCTTTAGGCGCCAACAGCGATGCAAAAGCGGCCAAGCGGGCGCCGCAGCCCAAATGGAAGCGGGCTCTAGTGCGCCATGTGCCCGTGTTTCAGTGGCTGCCCGGCTACAATATGGAATGGGGCATTGATGATTTGATAACTGGCATCACGCTGGGCCTAACCATCATACCAGAGAGCATTGCCTGCGCTCTGCTCGCAGGTCTGCCTGCCCGCTACGGCCTGTGCTCGGCATTCATAGGCCCGCTTATCTATTTGATCTTTGGCTCCATCGACAAGGTCATCATTGGACCAACCAGTCTAGTTGCCCTGGTCAGCGTACAGTTCACAGTGGGACGGCCCATTGAATTTGCGTTTCTGCTCACCTTCTTGAGTGGCGTGGTGCAAATCATTATGGGCGCGTTACGCATAGGTGAGTAACTGAAAATGATTGACTGACTGACGGCCTAACTGTTTGAGTCATAATTGGGAGGCACAGTGATTACTGACAGATAAGCTGATTCAGCGAGACATTTATACGCTTTGGATTTTGTGATTGACCCGCTTATGACAGATTAACAGATTGATTGACGGATGCATTACTTTATGACATGTTGATTTGCTGATTGACTGGCTTGCTGAGTGTCTAGCAGATAGATTGATTGGCTGATGGACTGACTGACTTGATTAAGATATTGATGACGGATTAAGTAACGAATTAATTGCTTGACAGACTTACTGAATTAGTGATATATGACTAACTAGCTGACTAGCTGATTGATTGACTGACTGAGCAACCGGCGTGCCGACTCTCCCACTGATAGGTCATCAATCTCTTGATTAATATTTCAAGAATTTCTAGCAACATTTTCAAATCTGCATGAATACAGAAAGACCTCAAAAATATTCGACTCTCAACGGGTATCCGGCTGAAGTTTGCATTGTCCTCCTGCACGCTTAGCCATCATTGTCAATTGAGTCAAGTGTATATTTTATAAACTATTTTATTATTGTTATCCAAAAGCTACTGTACTGCATAATTGGACGATTGTAAGGCGAACAGAGCTTTTCTTCAGCTTTGAGCATAATATCTATGCCTAACTAGACTTAAAAGTAAGCTGGCGTCAATTGTATTCAGCATCTTCATTGGCTTCACTCACCCTGAACTTGGGTGTACAATGCTGATAGCGGAACGAACACTTAAGTGCGCGTGCTATATCCGATTTGAGGCGGATCCAATACCTCGAGCATGCACACACACAAGTTGACAAGCAGTCAGATTGCGACAGAGACGCTGTCAACTGTTTATTGGCTGGACCAATTAGCAGACAGCTTCCAACAGATGGCAACGAAAGCTGTGCTTCAATTATAACCGTGTCGTTAATTTAGTAATTATATTGATAATCGATCTCTGCCAAAACAATATAAACCGCACTTCGTGACTGGAAACCAAGCTGACAGCGCTGTTAGGTTAAGATCAAGACTTTATGTATTCAGAAAGAAACCTGATCTAGTTCAATAAATTATCTCAGTTAGATATCTTTCACATTCAATTGACACCTTGCTGTCGCTGTGCTACTCGCAGCCAATTCACACTTCAATTATGATTTGCAGGTTTCGTCTTTGAGTTCATATCGATGCCGGTGATCAAAGCATTTTCCTCGGCCACGGCAATCCTGGTCATTGAGTCCCAGATCAAGGTCCTGCTGGGCATCAAATACTTAGTGCCCGGCCTCATCAGCTCGGTGAGCACCCTCAGCTCACGCATCGGTGAGGCGAATATGGCAGATCTGGTCATGGGCATCTGTGCTATTATTTTCCTGCTACTGCTCGAGGTGTGTAGAAACTCTTTGTTTTCCATTCAATTTCGATATGATATGATATATGACAAGTCTGTGTTCCCAGCTTTTGGAACGCGTCGCTCGCTGCCAGAAACGTAGCAAAGCCTTGCGCATCTGCTGTCGCTATTTATCTACCTCGAGGAATACGCTTATTGTGTTCATTGCTGGCATTGTCTCTTACATTTGGCTGGGCTACAGAGAGCAGCTGCCCTATTCCCTCAGTCCGAGTGCAATCTCCAGCTTGCCCAACTTCACGGTGCCCAGCCTGACCATTGTAACACCTGAGCGCAGCTACAGCTTTTGGCAGATTCTGCAGGAGCTCAAAGTAGGCATCATTGTCATACCCATTGTTGGCATACTGACAAATATATCGATTGGCAAGCTGAGTGAGTAAGATAACAAGAGTGGGATTGATGCGAATAATTTCTATAGAACCTCTCTGATATCTTAGCACCCAAGGGCCTGGTAGATACCAATCATGAGCTGCTCACTGTTGGACTTTGCAATATGTTTGGTTCCTGCGTGCAGGCTATGCCTTCATCGGGCGCCTTTACGCGCTATGCCATTAGCACAGCCTGCGGTCTTAAGACTCCTATGGCCAACTTGTATCTGGGTAGGTGCAGGCAGTGCGTAGTCTATAATCCCAAAGACTCTATTCGAATTCTCTTTCAGGCATCATTGTGCTGCTGGCGCTGAGCTTCCTGAGTCCCTACTTCAACTATATACCGGAAGCGACGCTGGCGGCCATTTTGATTTGCTCGATCTTCACGCTGTTAGACTTTAAGCTTCCGCTACGGCTGTGGCGCGAGTCGAAGCGGGACTTCGGCATCTGGCTGCTGTGCTTCTGTGTGTGCGTGCTCTTTGGCGTGGAGGTGGGTCTATTTGTTAGCATCATTGTGACGGCGCTGCATCTGCTATTCCTGTGGGCACGCCCGGAAATATTGGTGAGGATACAGGAAATGGAAGATATGCAGTACATATCGGTGTTGCCCGGCAATGGCATCTACTTCCCGGCCATCAATCACCTGAGAAGTCTCGTGCTAAAAGCGTGCACTCAGGCGGACTTCAAGATCACGGTCGTCATCGACGGGCACAAGATAACAGGCCTAGACTATACGGCTGCCCAGGGCATATCGAAGCTGTCGAGTGATTTGTGCCGTCAATCGGATGCCTCCAGCTCAATACTCCTAATACTCTACAGATTTCCTGAGCACCTGCAGCATCTCATCGATGTGACTGACAATTTGGTGTTCTGCGAGAGCGAGGCCAAGGTCAAGGAGTTTCTCACACAGGAGTCTCTGCGCAATGGCCACATCAATCTCACAGCACACATACGCGCCTCCATAGATCTGGGCTATAAAATTGATATCGAATAGCCGAACATCTAATAATTTAAGTTTTTAGTTACTATTTATTTAAATATATGTTCAGTTTGTCATCCATAAATAACCAAAATATTGTCGTATTCCGTCTAAAGCGGACGCCTGGAAACCGAAAGCCAAAATAAAAGTGAAAAAGTGGAGCAAGTCCGCTGATGTCAGCAATTTATAAAAGCCACAGTGACCTGTGCCACTCATTTGCACACAGACACAACCACCCACAACACACACATATATACACATAGTGGTCAGTGGGGCAGCAAGGTGGGCTTCGAGTTGCACCACTGGAAGCGCCGTCAATGATTGCCAAGCTAATGGATTTCTGTTTACTTACTTTTCACTTAGAACGCCGAACAGCGGCCGCAGTACAAAAAGAAAAAAATGGGAATAAAACCGCGAAAAAAATCGTGAAAAAGCGCAAAGAAATTAGAGAAAAGCGAAAGCGCAACACAAATCCAACGCCTCAGCCCTGCATAAGGTGCAGGCTCCTCACCTTCCTCTTAGGGCGGAAACGCGAAACTCGGCAAGAACTGCAAGAAATTATACTAAAATACATGCGCAAAGTGAATCAAACTAAGAACGAAATAAAAGAGTGAAATAACAAAGTCTATAGCAGTTAAACAAGAGAGAAAATAGACAGGCTAAGTAGAAGCAACAGAGATAGCCAACGATGGAGAAAGAGAGAGAAGGAGCCGAACGATGATTAAATGCTCTATGAATATTTAGAAAAAATATGTTGTAAACATTGAAATAAATTATTTCAGTTGCATTTTATTATTAAGATACGTTAGTTGGAATAGATATTGAGCGAGGTGGTCGAGTGGCTTGGCAAATTCTTCATACCCTTTTGTTGTAGAGTGCAGAGCGAGTATAAAATGGAAAAGCAAGCGCAAAGCAAGTTAATTACGTAAGGTTAAGCGCTGCCCCGCACGCCCTTAGCGGTCAAGGGGCGGGCGGGTTCATCTAAGTTGATTTTCAAGCACTTGAGGCGTTACAAATAAAAAGCGGCGCCAGCGCCAGCGCCAGCGCCGGGCCTTGTTACTGACTTTCTTCATTTTCCTTTCGCTTTGCCATGTTGATTGCATTGGCAAACGAAGTGAGCTGATTTAATGAAATTTAAAATGCTATCCAAAGTTAGCAAACCAAGCTGCCAAGCCACCAAAACCACCCAACCTCTGGCCACAGTCAGGTAGAGCTGGGCATGCAAATTGTGCAGCTCCGCTTTGGTCGCACCTTGTTCTGCTAATTATTTCATTGGACTTTATTTGCTAAGCTGTTCAACTGACTTGTCTTCAGCTGCAGCCAGTCATGCTACCTTCTATCCGCCCCACCTCACTGTCCACTCCTCATCCTGCTATTTTCTGCATAGCTGAACTAATGAGCTTAATGCATCGCTTACATTTTCAATTTACATTAAAATAGACCATGATCGATGCTTTGAATTGTGTGAAATGCATTCTGCCTAATTAGCTTGCTCCAAGAACAACTAGCTCCAGAGATATACGTTTATTATTAAATATATATGTACATGTATACAAGATGGAGCTGGATTGCATACCTAATTTAAATAAGAATTTAAATTATAGAGAAGTACTCAAGGCCTCAAGATGCCTTCTATACACAATAGCATCGAATGCTTGTAGATGAGAAAACGCCAAGTGCTGTTCGTATATTGCAATGATATATACATGTTCAGGCTACAACGAAATCTGGCAAAAGTTGCTGAAAATTCGTGTTATGAATCAAAGGCAGATTCAGGTTGGTTTTAAGCTTTAAACGGAACAAAATTTGAAACACTTTATAAAGCAAAAATAATCAGAGCACAAACATATTCAAAAACACTTCAAAATAATTTTATATACAGACACACAATTTTATTTATATAAAATGCATTCTCAAAAACACTTAATAAACTTATGAATTATGCAGAGCAATACATACATGTGCTTAGAAACAAATGAATTTATATCAATAAATATGCGATGGCCGCCAAAAACATGTGTTTCAATGTGGCGACCGCGAGAAAACCAAATATCATTCAAATTGCGGTATCCGCAATCAAAATCAGAGAAATTATCATAAAAGCGGAAACTGCGTTGCATACTTTGCGGCTTTCAGCCACGTGTTGACAATGCAAAAACTAGCCAAACCGCATTCCGTCTGTTTGCGCCAAAAATGCAATCATTTTTCATATTTCATGATGGCAAACGTACGTATTAAATGTATTTATACCCTGCAGCATGGAAATGTGGAGAATTCCAATTGATGCCAAACTGTTTCATGTGGTTTAACTTGCAACATTTAGCAGTTCAAATTAGCGCTCACTCGATTTGGAATATCGAAAGTCTAAATCAAATATTTGCAAGTCCATCCAGAGATGCGAGCCTGCATCTATAATATTTTAGTTTTTATAGTCTGTTTTTTATATAAAGTAAATCGGGGTTTCTCACTTCATTTATTGACACCTTTAATACGATTTAAATAATCTCGCTTAGTAGGGCTTGAGGCCTGAGATCTCTGACTCTTAATAAAAATAAATAAGGAAATCGATAAAAGAAATCAGCATTAAAATGCTTAGCAGCTGAAGTCACTCAATGAATTTGATTGCACAGAAATATATTTTAGAATTTAGCATTTAATTCACTTTAGCACTGGGTATCTGCTAGTTGATCAGTTTCGATTTCAGTTAGCTAACTTTGCTTATTCCTTTTTTAATGCTTACCTAATAATATTTATATTCACATGCGGTTAGAAACGTAAAACCATTCGGATTCATTGCCCCGCTGCAGCCCTCTATAACTCCATACCTCTAGACACCGCCTGCCTGCTCCCCTAGACTGCGCTGCCTTTTAGGCCCGTTTGTTCACTTTGTATGGCCTAACAAATTAAATTTTCATATGAATTACTGTGCTGGTCACGTAGCAAAGTGGGCTATGGAGACGCACCAGAAGCAGCTCCATGTCCATGTCCATGTCCACGTCCATGTCCACGCTGTGTCCATTGATACGTATTATGTGACTCTGACTGGGTATACATTATGCCTGCCTCCGCCTCCCTCTCCACTATATTCCCCTGGCAACTTAATTGCTTCGCCTTTAAATGTGACAAAACGGCAAAAGACATAATTAATAGACGCATGTGCGGTGAAGGTGGGGGCGGGCTTGGGGTGGACGTTAAGGTTTTGGTTGGGGCTGTGGTATTTATCGATTTTTTGCCCTGTTAAAGCTTTCAGGAGTCCACGACAGGCAGCCAAGCCAATTGGCCTCTGGTCATAAAGCGTTTCAATATGCGCCAAAAATAGGCAAAGGGAAGGCGGCCCACAAACCGGAGGCTGGCATGGAGTAGGGGTAGCCAATTGCGACGTCTATTTGCTTGTTTAAATTGTTTAAAATGTCAATTTAATTGCGCTTAATTAAATGCCAAAAATCCTTAAGGACAACAAGCGACAAACAGCGAAGAGCTGAGCAGAGTTTCGGGCAGCTTGGGAAGGAGGCTGGGTGGGGGCACTGCAGAAAAGTTTCATAATAAGCGCAATGAAAATAATTAACAATTTGTAGAAAATAACAAGCTCGCAAGTACAAAGCAAATGATGTCAATGAGCCGCACAGCAGCGCGCCGTGGAAAAACTATGCGCGTGGGCCACAGGACGAAGGATGTCAGGAAATGCCTGGCCTCCAGTTAAAAGCGAGACAAGGATGCCGCGGCAGGCAGTTACGTCTCAATGTCCTCTGACTGTTTGGTTTGTTTGATTTTCATGCGGCAGGGCTTAGATGGCAGCACAGACGGCAAGCAGAGCAGCTTAGCGCCACTCACAATCTTCAAAACTGCTTAAAGGGTTGTGTCCTGCCCTGTCCTGTCCTGTCGTGTCTAGCTGAGTTTGCCAAATGGCTTGTCGGGTTGCGCTGGAGGGCGTGTTGTGTATGTGCGTTGTTTGTCCTCTTCATTGTTGTGTGCTGAGAAACGTTTAATTTAAATTATAAATCAATTCGTTTGCGGCAACTTACAAATGAGTTCAGATGCAGATTACATCTGCTGAGAGAAAAGTATTTCAATCCCAATTTTAAATCGAACAGAACACTGTTCAACGGGCTGAGAATGGTTCCATCTATTCGATTGGCTCTTAGCTAAAGCAACTTAAAAACTGATATGACTTAAACTAGATGGATTAAAATAAATTCTTTTTAAAAGTTAAATTGTTTACTTTGCAACTCGAAACCTGCTACTTGAGCTTCTTTGGCCAAACTGGTGCTTCTTGATGGCAGTAAGACTTTTGTTTTTGCTCTATATGCGATTAGTTAGAAAGCTTTTCACATCAGCAACTGAACGGAAATTATTAATCAAATCAGTTTTAACCAGACACTCGAACATTTTTCAGCAAATGCATTTGGGAATTTTGTGCTTGAAAATTGTGAAATTAAAATTGTGAAATGAAAATTGTGAAATGAAAATTGTGAAATGAAAATTGTGTATGTTGAGCTGCACTTCAGCTGGGCAAACAAAACCAAGAGAGCACTCGCACATATTCAACTATGAAATACCCTGTATGTAACCTAAGGCGAACAAGAAATCAAACAAACATTTGACTTTTATATCTCATTTCCCAATCAAACTCTGCTTACGATCATCGAAAGTGTGCGAATCGAACCGAACATGCGCTTTGCTCTGTCCGTAGCCCGTAGGCAAGTGGCATCACAGTCAAGTGTGTACACTTCAATATAAGCCACCGAAGAGATGGCAACATCTGCCACATTACGAGCTAGGCATATGAATTGTGAGTACTTGCGAGTACTTCATGCAATTACGAATGCAGCAGCTTGAAATGATTGCACTTGACTTAACTTTTGCCGTCCGCTGCCTATCCCATGAGTGTGCCAATAAGCAGCTGCCTGCCCTGTCGCAACTTAATGTGCCTGGCAATGTATCTTAAAGATACATTCAGCACACACACACACACACACACATGTGCCACTGAGCACACACTTTGAATCCAGTTTATGAGTTTTTATGGCTGCACGCAGCAGGCCCAACTGGCGCTGCGGTGTCTCTTTATGACTGCATACACCACCTTTTGCAAGTTTGGCTACCGCACCAGCCTCTCCCTCGCTCCTTTCTTGTGCCTTCTATGCTTTATAGGAGAAAAACTTACGCACAAAATGTGCGTGTCCAATAAACTCTGTTGCCGAACAGTTGGCATTTTCCAGCTGGGGATACTTTGATTTCCTCACACGTTGTGTGACGCATAAAAGAAAGTATTTTTGATTCGATTTGTGACTAGATCCTATAACTGTAAAATAAACTGTTAGCCACAAGAAATTGTTGAGAAAATTTAAAACGAATTCAAATTGCGAAGAAAAATTTTGGCTTAAAAAACTTAAATAAATATTTTTAAATGCCTAATTTGAAAATAAATATTTTAATATAGTATTCATTGTTCATTATATGAATTTTTTAATTAACATTTTTCAACAATTTGATTAAAGTTCCTTAATATTTCCTAGTCGAAAAGAGCATTCAAGCCTTGGCAATTCACAAAGAAATGCAGAGAAGACATAAAGAAACAGAGAGGGAGAGGTAGAAAGAATGATTCTAGTTCAATCTTTTTTCTTCAACAATTTGGTTGTCTGGCTTAAAGTTAAGGCAGCATCCGCGCAAGTTAAACGCACATCAAAAGCCAACTAATTTGGCTGTAAAAATAACATTAAGTCACATGCATTGCTTCATGTTGGGCAATAATAAAAAAGAGAAGAAGAAGCAAATGCTTCAGCAAAATCGAACACATGCACAGAACAGAAAGGGGAGTTGGTCTACCTTAGTTGCGCTACCTTCGATTCCTGGCAGCCAACCACCCATACAAGCGACTGGGTCTTTAAGCTTATGTTGCACTTGACTGATTTTTATGCTTTGATGCTCAATGATTTTATTATTAAAAGCAACTGTTGTCGTCCTCGTCCTCGTCCTCGTCCTCGTCGTCGTTGGTTTCTGTGGGGTTGCCACTGCTTCCGTTTTTTTTATGTTTCGTGAGCTGCAAAAAACCCCCTTGCTGCATGGCCAAAAAAAGGGATACAACAACAACAATAGCTTGAATTGCTGCAAAATTGCTGTTGCTGTTGCTGCTTCTGCTGCTGCGGCTGCCGCTGTGGCTGTGTCTGCGTCTGTGGCAATGCCACTTCACCTTTGCTTTGTGCTGTGGATGCCACACTTGGGAGTCGCTTAGCTGTCTAAATATGTCACTTGAATTTGACGACGGCCACTTGCGCAAAGGCTAAGCGAACCACCCACACACACACGACCTAAATGCACACACACACACATATGTAACAGAAGCCATCCCCTCTATAATACCCACCCTTGGGTGGTGGCCGTGTCTTGTTTTCTTAAAATATTAGTTTCCTTTTGGGCTGGCTGTTTTTTTGACTTTGTCTACGCGTTGCAGTGGGAGGCAAAATTGTTTTACTGCTTTTTATTGTCATTTTTGTTATTTTCCCGCTCACAATATCTCCCTCTCTCTCTCTCTGTGTGTGTGAGTGTGTGCCGTCTTCATCTTACTTTCATTTTTTTTGCTTTTTTTTGGGCATTGCCTCTACCTTTGTCTGGTGTTTGCTTTGACTCAGTTACATCTAGCAACGAGCACGGCCAAGAGCAAGTTGTCATGAATAATGAAAAAGCAACGTGAATACATTTCCTCTACTCACACAGTTGAGTGCGAGTGTGTGTGGAAATGGCAAATACGTATGCTGCCTGTGACTACAGCTGGGAGGCAGCCAACACTAGAAAAACTTTCGAGTGAAATACACGCAGTACTACGTCCATTGTGTGCTTGTTGACTCAGCATAAACAAATCCAATAAGATACCTTAAGTAACATGCCAATTGAATCAACAATGAACTGCTATAGGAAGGCAGAATCAATATAGAAATTGTTTCTTTCTCTAATATATCAATTGCAAGTCAAATTACAAATCTATAATATATTATATGATTATATTATAATGTTATCAAGGCGTTATCTGGCCATATGTTCGATTTATATAGCATATATATTTCATGCCTAAAACATACTCTATTATTTTGCTCAGTGCATTACTCAAAAGATTCTGCCAGCTTTAGGTATTGTTCAGCCAACATCCCACATCCCAAGTCCCGCATCCAACACCCAACCAATATAGTCAATTGCTAATTCAGTAACAGTAACAGTAGCAGTAAATGTAAGAACAGTAACTGTAACAGGGAAAGACGCGAGGCGCTGCTTTGGCTGTGTCTTCTATTGGTTCTGGCCAGTCATTGTCGCAGTCACTGGCCAAGTCGAGCAATATTCTGAGTGTAGTGTAGTGGGTGAGACCACGTTTTCTCGCATATAGATTTGCCTTATTTACCGTTCATTGCCAGCAGGCGTGCTCATAGTGTGGGTGGCTTGGTGTGAGTGTGAGTGTGAGTGTGTCTGTGTGTGTGTTATCCTTAGCCTTAAGCTAGTCGCAGTGAAACTCTAGAAATCCAGCCGCATTCTGCCTTCCCCGTCGCCCTTGTGCTACGCACATATTGATGATGCGACCCTCGCTAGAGTTTTCCCATATTGTTGTTGTTTGCATTTCAAATTCGCTGCGCACTCGATGAGAAAATCGAAATCAACAAAGCAAATAAACATTTAATAAAGCGCAAAAGTGTCAATAGATTTCTGGTCATTCGACTTGGGGCGTATCGCAGGCGACCGAGGACTCTGAAGTGGGGGCTTACCAACTGAATTGGCATGCTAATTAAAACGGTCTGCCCAGAACTTTAAATGAACTGCCAGCCCCACAGTGACAGCCGCAGTGACAAGTGCCGAGGCTGTTTACTAAATGAAAAACTTTGGCGCTCAGCTCAGTTCAATTTCTGGTTAATGTCGAGGAGAGCCAACTGCAAAATAAACAAAACACGCATCACGCCCGACCAACTTGGCCAAGAATTCAAAAGTTCCCCAAGCTCTGGCAGCCAAAATGCAATTTTGGCTAAGCCATAATGAGTCCCGGATGTGGCTGAGCACAAAAAAAAACAACACAAAATAAAAGGAAATATGCATTAAACGAGTCTGAACGACTAGCAGATGCCTTAGGTCTCGTTGATATAAATATATATAGATGTACAAGTACTTATGGGCTATATATATTCAATTTGTAAATGGGTCTTTAGCATATTAAGCTTAAAGCTTGACTCTGCATATTGAACAAAAACAAAAAGTTGAATATCTAATCTCTTTTTTTCAAGTCAGCTCCGGTTTTACAATATAAATTTCAGATAGTGATTTGTCATTTCTATACACGCACAAATTATACACAAATTTAATTAAATTTATACCTATACAAACTGACAATAATATATACCTTTGCACTTTATACTCCTATACCATAATGACTTATCTCTATGGCTTAACAGATACAAAGTTTAAACAGCAGGTCGAACCTAAAAAGCTAATTAAAGCCTCGCCAATCAAATTTCGACGTAATCCGTTGTTGGAACGGCAACTCACCATCATTTCTGATGAAAGTCCTTTGATTTGCCGATCCTCGCCCCCGACTCTGCTTGAGCTATGTCTGAATATAATCGACAAGTTGCCCTTTGGGCCGATTTATGATTGGAACGACCGGGATGTACGCCAATGGATTCATCGTTATGGATATCCCCAATACTCTGTAAGTTCGAGCGAGGACAAAATACAAGATATCAGAATTTCCTTCATCTACAGAACACATTTCGTGTGAATATGATCGGGGGTCGCAAACTGTTGTTGCTGGACGCTGACGCGCTGTCAGCAATGAATATCAAGGACTTCGACCATATCAAACACATTACCTATGGCATTCGGATGCTGTTTCACTTTGAGCTGACCAAATTCTCGAACAGTATTTCTCTACCGGATGAAAAGCCCAATGAGCTCTACTTGCTGTGGCACACGCAGACGGGCATATACTATGATGAATATCGACGCTCGGATTTGTATATACGCATGCAAATTATTCGGGATCGTTCTCAATCTCTCGATCACTGGGAGCTGCTCGAGTTGTGGCTGCATCGAGAACGTAAGCATAAATACAAGGAGCTGTTTGCACTCGTACCGCGTTTCAACATGTACAATGAATCATCGTCAAGACGTTCTACCCGTTCTCAATTTTCAAATGATCCAGTAGTTAGCCCGCCAACATTACCCGATCACGACTCCAATTTCAGTAATGCCCAACTGCCTTGGCGGCTAACGTGCCTGAATTACTTCCGGCCCATGTCAACTATACACTGGACACGTTCTAACAAGGAGTGTAGTACCTGCATTCCGCCGTGCGAGTGTGGTTGGCCACCCGGTTACTATGTGTCTGACACAGTAATCGGCTGTCTGAAGCATCGCTTCCCCGAAAAGTTTGCACATATCTACGAAGGGGCGTCTGGGTTCCAATTGCAAGAGAGCTTGATGATGCGCTGGACGCGTTTTTCATTTTAGCTTAGGATTGTAATTAGTCTTTTCCGTTTCTGAGTCTCAAATGAATAGTATGTCTATTTATTTAAACAGACAACTGAAGGCCACGGATATTCGACGCCCCCACAGCAATCACTGCGAACCCTATAAGTGATCAAGGTGATAGCGATCGAACGGGTGTCATAGTTCAGCCCAATGAAATGACTTTAGTGCTCGGCTTGTGCTCTGAAACATTTGCTTTGGAATCGATATTTATCGATAATATGCAAAAATAAGATGAGCAAGCGTATAAAATTTCCTGTTCGTAGCTTCATTCATAAAATCAGTATACGAATTTCTACACAACTTTCCAGTGTATATTACATTACAAAATAAAACTGATTTTACTATGTTAGCTGTTTGATCTATGGTGGAAACTCTCTGGTTAAATACTCTTCAAACTATGTCGCCTCATATACCCGCTCTTATGGACTTATTGTGTACAGGGTATGGCATAGAAATGATGGTAAACAAACAAACATACACATATTAAAACAACGACAATGTACCCAATGCGTATTCAGACTCAACCCGAGAGATTTCTGTTCTTGCCGAAGCTCCCCCACGGCCAACGAGCGGTTGGTTCGGGTCTTGTTTGTCTGTTTAAACCGCAATACAGATAAAGGCCAAATTACTTTTTGGCCAAGACGCTGTCGAGATGCGCAACCACGAGCCGCAAGCTGGGAACTAAACACAGCGCTGGACAATTTGCCAGCTAGATAGAATGAAGCCGAAAATGGGAGTGGGCGTGGGAGTGGGAGTGGGAGTGGGAGTGTCCCAAGCAACTGCGATGCTAAAATATAGTTTGAATGCGTGTTGAAAATGGGTTTATAGTGATCCTCCTGAGAATAGATGTTGGCAGCAGGATGAAATTTTTGTTCACAGAGATCAAGCGTAGCCTGATTTATGAAGCTGTTTGTTGACATTGGCTTATAGCCATGAAGTTGAACGTTGAGATGCATTTCTCTAAGGACGTTGGACCAGCGATTCAGGAGAGCAAGCCCAACGGGTAGAAAAACTGCAAAGTAGTTCAGGCGACTTAGTTTTTGTAAAGGAAACCAGAGTTTTGGCTGTTTTTGAATGCATAAAGAGCGATTTCTGAGTCAAAGTTGACCAGATCAGAAGATAAAAGCTTACATTAGAATACTCCATCAATTGTGATATAAATGGCACTAAGCATTTCAGATACCTGCAGCTCTAAGGCTATCTTATCAGTCTGATTTGTTCTAGCTTACAGGACGCAACTATAGACTTTCAGCAGTGGTGTACGTAATGCTACAGTCTATCGGTTCTGTTAGTATCTTAAAAGCACGTTTCGGTGACTTGCTTTTGTGCCACACCTATGAAATGCCGCAATGTTGCAGCGTGAAATTAAAAAAAGCGACGCTGATGCCAAGGCTTAGCAGCAGCCGATTGCAGAGAGGAGCGCAAAGCACTGCCAAGAACAACAACAATCAGGACCTGGAGCAGGACAAACTTTGACTGTGCCACAAAATTGGTTGCTAGCAGGCGAAGCCAATGACTATTGCGGTTGTTGTTGCTGTTGCTGCTGCTGTTGCAACGAAGCAACCACAAAAATAAGTGTTTACAGCATTGATTACAAGCGCTAGGCGTGGGCGTGGGCGTGGCACAAGCCACGTTGATTAGACTTTAAGCCACAAGGATTTTTGCATTTCTTAGATGCACAGCCAACGGACTGCGGCAGCCAGTGTGGCCAGAGTCAGGGCAGCGTGTCAGTAGTGTCATGGGAAATGCCACGGACGACAGTGTCGTTGTCTGGTGTGGCAGTGCGGTTTAGGTGTCGCCTCGACGGCCACATACAATTGACAAACTGTGAAACCCTTTTTGTGGCACTTCCGTTGCGTTTGTTTGCCACAGTTTACAATGCAACAACGACACCCCCACACACACTCACGCAGAGAACGAGAGGGAGGATGAGAGGGGCATTGCCACGCCTTACTCACGCCAGTTGTGACAAAAGTTTATACCCAAAGCATTTGAACTGCATTTCATTATGGCACACAACTGCCTGGGTTAGCCAAGGCAAATGCAAATGCAAATGGTGTTGGTGCCATATTGAGAACTCTGCCGCTGCCACCTAACCACCCAGCTGCATGCCTCACTTCACCCAACCACAGCAGTCTTTTGTGGGGAAGCGTGCTCCAAACGAAGCGTATAAGTGGCCCTTATCGTGCCTGCCATTGGAGTTGAAGCAGGCAGCCTTCCTGGGCGTTCTGGGCATCGGAGTTACCAAAGCCAGCAGCAGTCGGGGAGCTGCGGACAGCAAGGCATGGTAGCTGCCTGTATTGTCGAGTGCGTGTGCGAGTGTGAGTGTATTGTATTGGCAAATATTCTCATGACAATAGGAATTTTTATTGAATTTATGCAAAAATTGCAAATTTCATTTGCCCCACAGTTGTTCCAGTTGTTGTTGTTATTATTCTTTATATTTTTTTTAGCTTGCGAAGTTTGCGTTGTTTATTAAACTTTGAAAAAAGTAGTAATGTTAGATTCAGTATGGCAATGGCAGCTAAACACAAATTTATAAATTTCATATATCAGAGCTAAGCTAAATAAAAACTCAGATTTAATGCTCAAGTAATCTTTAAGGTATTCTACGAATCTATTAGTCTATATTTAAGGCAGCTCCCATAATTGATGATCTAGATCGCAGCATACATAGGTCGAGCAGAAGAATATAACATCTAGCTAGCTAAATAATATTGTTGCTTTAAATAGTGTATATATAGGGACTGATATGAAGGAAGACATTGCTAAATAAAATTCTGCATTGAACTCTTGTCGACCCGTGTAAGCTTGCCAACTGGAACCACCTATAGTTCTCCTTCGAAATGCTTCCAAATGTTGTCTATAAGCTCTATTGAACAAAACCAGATATGAACAATGAGAGCTTCTATTTTGCATAAATGGAAAAAGCGAGTTTATTTACCTTTTATATCATTCATATATTGCTCAAATAATATTCATATGTTATTGTAGATGATGATTTACTAGATAACAATTTGGCTTGGAAGGTAACCCTTAAGTTAATCATATTTCGTATACAAATAAATGCTCACATAAAAAATATTTTTTTTTGTTATTTCCATTCAGTATAAATCAAGCAATCTGATTAATCAGAATTCCGACCTCATTTTTTCTAAAAACACATCAACAAAATTCACGTGTTCCCTGTTGAACCGGCGTGCATTATCGGCGCACTCCTTATAGCCAGCATCGTTGTTCAAGCGCTTAAGGGTGCCGGCTTTATAGAGCCAGGCCCGCATGTTACGCTTATCCAAGTGGTATAGAATGTAGTCCAAGTCAAATATGGCCCGTTTGTACTCACGTTTCCTACAATGATTTGACAACCATTAAGCTTTGATTTAGCTTGGAATTTACAGCACTCACTTGATGAAGCATAGAGCGCGATTCAGATAGAGGACTGTGGTATCGGGTATATACTGCAGACCTTTGCTGTACATTTCAATAGCTTTGTCGTAGTTAGGCTTTCTAAACTCCACATTTCCCAGTCTGCGGGTGGGAAGGAGTGAGGAAGTTGTCCTTCAAAATAGGAGTTAAGGAGAACTACCTGCGATAATTGGTTGCCACGCGTATACGCTCCATACGAGCCTCATCACGTTGCTTCGGAGTGACGTCGATTTGACGCATAAAAGTCATCTGGTTGAGATTAGCCCTGACGTTGATTTTCTTGCTGCTTAGCTTCGGCTTTGCAAACGGTGGACAACGATTCATGACCAAAAAGTTTGTATCCGTGACATCCGCACTCAACTCAACTTCGTCCTTTTCCTCCTTCTTCTGCCTTTTACATAGCATACGATCAACGCTAGGAACTTATCAATCAACTTTCGGTTTAACGAACTTACTCCATTTTGTTAGCCTTAGCGCTATCATCTAAGAACTTGTAAAGATCATCCACCTTAGAGGGCTTTAGTAAAAAGCCCTCGTTGAATTCAGCGTGTTGTGTCGAAGACATTTTGGTTAGTTATGATATGTGACTGTTGGTTGAACTTGTTTGCTTGATTCAATTTGTTCTACTGACTGGGATGGCAGCTCCAACTTTAACTCCATCAATTGCCAACGCACAGCCAACTTAGCTAATCTACCGAACAGTAATAATCATTTGCTACAGCTGTGCAAATGCAGCTGCATTTCCTGTTGCACCACCACCAGCCACCCTCCGACTGGGCAGCAAATTAGCCCCGGCTAGCAGCTGGCTCGTTAGCCAGCATGTGGTTTTAAGGATTAACTCAATTAAAATTTTGTGGCATTAAAATTGTCTTGCAAAAACGAGCGAAAAAGTGACAAAGCGTGGAGCAAGGCAGATGGAGATAGAGAGCCGAAGAGAGAGCCAGAGTGAGAGGGCGAGAGAGAGAGGGGCTGACTGCAAAAATAGTGTGAAAACCACGTGTATTGCTCTCTCCTGGTCTAACACATCTTTATTTGCGCCTGAAATTATTTAATTGAGTTTGTTTGAAAATTTCTTTTAAATTAAGAAAGTTTCTGCACGTGACTCTTTTGTGGGTTGTCGCAACTTTTAATTTTTTTTTATTTTTTGTTGACTTTTGGGGCATGTTGGTGCAGCTGCGGCTGCGTCTGCTGCTGCTGTTCCACGGTGTAGCGCACGTGCTGCAAAATGTTAAAGTTTGAGGCAATCAAAGGGAACATAATCAGCTAAATCACGCATACGCCAGGGGGTACATCTGCCAAGTATTTGGAGATACAAATGAAAGATTAAGCAGCACAAAGAAAATTGGGAATAAAGTTTTAATTATGACTTATGATGGGAAAGATTGTAAATAAATTATAGAATGATTTAATTGGTTAAAGGTGGTTTCTGTTGGCTACAGACTTAGAGTCAATAGTTTTCCTGGTTATTGCAATACCTCTGTGAGGGGATGGCAAGTGAAAGAACACTTCTTAATAATCAGGATCAGTAGTAAAAGAAGCGTCGATAAAAAGATGCTTCTCTCTGCCAGCGAACATACAGTGTTCATTCTAGTGCAGACTGAACATATAGGGTAAATCGATAAGATCAGACTTTTATATTATGATATAATCTGTGTGACTCCTACTTCACTTAAGGACTTTAAGTCATATTTCTGAAAACATATTATATTAAAGGTCTTTGTAGTTGCTTGCAGTACTTATATATATATATATATATATATATATATATATATATATATATATATATATATATATATATATATTTGTATTCATACATATATATAGCTATAATATATGTATACATATACAGATATCGACAAACACTCTCTACATTTTGGGAAAATTTTGCTCACGTCTCGTAGCACTCGGTCATCAATATTTGTTAGTGTTCGCTGAAAGTAGATCTTGTAACGCCTACTGGTTGGCACTCTGCCCACTGACTGCTGGCTGGTCATTGGCACAGAGACCCGCTGTGTGGCATGCAACACGTTGGCTGTGCTGCAGGCGGGCGAAATATGGGACAGCAAAAGCGTAAAATACTTGCAGGCGCTGCGCCTGTCATGCCGGACATTGATGACTGCATTGACAAGTTGCCCCACCCGACGACATGCGCCTGTCTCCAGAGAAATGTGTCAAGCGCGGCAACTTGTGCTGCATAAGCAAGTAGTTCACGCGTGCCTGCCCCACAGTGCGGGCAGTGGCAGCCAACGGACAACAACTACTTGCTTAACATTGAGAACATGAACACCCCTAGCTATAAGCACATCTGGTCTTGGTCTCTTCGCCAGTGTAGCTAGCTTTCGCGCCGTTGCCTGTGTCACATTCCAGCCCCTTTAGCATCATTGTATGCGTCGTTTGTGCCTTTGTCACCTTTTGCTTCAGCGTTTTTTTTTTTTCGTTTACCTCTTCATGTTGACAAAATGCGTCAATGTTTATTCAATTTGTTGCAATGCCTGAAACTCGCTAGAGTAAAGGGCGTCAGCTAGTTGTAGGTTTAAGCGAAGGCTTTTTACTCGGATTTCCACCATTTTGAACAAAAATAAAAGAAATAAAGCACCAAAACGAATTTTGAATGCTCTTTCAGGCAAGAGGCACAGCAGTGGAGCTGTATTAATGCTGATATAAAGGTAGCCCATAGATAGATATTAATTATCCAAGGAAAAGTTTTGTGTTTATATTTCAATCTATCTATAGCTATTTTAAAGACTTTTTCTATTGTAGGTATATAGAAGGTATACTGAAGCTCAACTCCTCGTTCAGGGCAGGGAATACGAAAAATTGGTGCCTGGCACTACCAAGGTGTGTTGCGTTCCTGTTGCTAAAGTGAAAGACAAGCAAAAGATTATACCAGGCCCAGCCGCTGGGCATGCTTTGTAATGGAACAAGAGTCAAGCTGAGACTGATGAAGATGAAGTCGAAAGTGGAGTCTGAGTTGCAGTTGGTTGGAGTTGGAGTTGGACTTGGAGTTGGCGCCTGGGCCTGTCAGCGCACTCCTACAATAACCTTAAGAAGCGGGTAACGGAGAAATAAATTGCATAAACCTGGATGCAGGCAACAAACCAAAAAGATAGCATGTTTAAAATGTTGCGCTTGGCCCAGGCTTTGATTGAGTTTTGGCCTCTTCGCCAGTGCAGCCAGCCTTCGCGCCGTTGCCTGTGACAATTTAGCAACATTGTTTGTATGCGTTTTTTGTGCCGTTGGCCGCCATTCTGTTTGCGAATTCTCTTTTCATACTGTCGCCTTTTGCTTCAGCGTTATTTCACCGTTTACCTCTCATGCGTCAATGTGTGTCTTTAGTGTGTGTTGAGAGCACAAAGTGGCGATATGAAAAGTGGAAATCTGTTGAAATTTGCTCAAGCCAAAGGCATTTGTTCGGCTGACTTACTGTCAAACGGTTGCAAATTCGCTTTTTTAGCTTCTACGACTAAAAACTAAAGCACCAAAAACACGGAGAGACTAAGCCATATGCATGGCTTACACTTGGCTTGCAATGCTTTTATAAGAGAACTATATACATATAACTTATCAGAGTTCCAATAAAATCAAGATTTAATTCAAATATGGAAGGATAGAGCAACTATTTCAAGCTAGGAATTCCAATTCAAAAACCTGATAGCAAATCATGTTTTCTATATAAAGGCTTTATGAATTTATTTATTCAAGAAATCAAAAATAAAATCAATGTTCTTTATGATATATATGCAATCACACATTTTTCTCCACAATCGCTAAGTGATTGCTACAAAAAATAATTATAGCCACAGCAGGCTCAAATGTATTTTATTATTTATACAATCAGATCAGATTATAATCAAAATGAAAATACGAAATAAGAATTACCCAAGCAACCAGCGAATTTATTTACAACAGTGATTAAATCAAACGAACAACAAAATAAGCGCATTAATAACAAATTTTAATAAGCAACTTATGAAATCTCTTGAAAAACAATGTAATAACAAATCCGCAAAGCAAAGGCGTATGCAAATTTATTTTAAATTCAAAAGAATAAGCCACGCACAAGAAAATTGTGTTGGTGGCTTGGTAAACTTATTGCGCATACGCCGCGTGTGTTGCCCACAAGGAACAAATTGCAAAATAAAATCAAGTACGCACACATATATATAAATATGTGAACTAACCAAATTAAATGTTAAATTAAAAAGCGCAGATCAAAAGGATTTGTAAGCTACGCAATTTATATTAAATTTGTAGGCGAATATACATGTACATATATATATATATATATATGTATGCATATATACATATACATGTACATATATATATATATATATATATATATGCATATATACATATATGTGCCGGGCTACAGCTATATTGTGTTTGGGGGCAGAGCTTCTTATTTGGTGCCACAGAATTTGCATTTCATATTTGCATGTTGAGCGCAGAATGAAGAGTTTCTGATCAAACAGGACCAAACAGGATGCGACAGGATAAGCATATTAGTATGCAAGGCATATTAAGGATAGCTGCAGTCCGTTCCGTAGAACCAAAAACCAATAATGCGCATATTAGACTTGATGATGATAGGGATGACAATGACACACCACCCCAGCACGGCTGGCCACCACTGTAGGCTCTTTGACTGTTCCGAGAATAGTTTGCAAACACACACACACACACACACACACAGAGGAGTTGCAAAAATTCGTGTTATCCTGTCCATTGTTTCTTTCGAATTGTCCGCACTGCAAATGCATTTTCCCCTTTCTGTGCAGCGCACTCGCTACACAGTTATAGCTGTGTTGCATGTTGATGCCACAACTGATGCCGCATCCCGTTGCCACGTTATGGGCGAGGCGAGCACTTCGTCTAAGCCAAAACGTGCACAGTCTCTGGCAATCAACTTTAATAACATCACAGAATGTCAATAAATCCACAAAATGGCTGATCCCCATTCTCCTTGCCAGCTCTTTTTGTTCCTCATCTGGTTGCTGTTGTTGTGGCCGCCAGCCCTTTCGAGAGTGGACATGATGATGATGATTATGATGCTATATCCCCTCTGGTCGTTGCTGATGTTCAGCAAGAGTATCATTAACAAAAGGAACTGCGTGCTGAAGCTGGTCAACTGTCGAGCTGGACAGTGGTCATGGCTTTGCCACAAATAGAAGCAAGCAACTTGAGCTGTTTGGTGCAGTCCAGGGCCATGATCCTGTATTCGGCTACCCTGCCAGCTCCAGCTCCGGCTCCTTTCCTATTGCTGCTCTCCCCTTTTGCCTGTGTCGACAGCAATGGATGAGTTTAAAACTTCCTTTAGTTGCCAAATAGCTGAAGTTTTGCGCCATCTAAATTTTAGCATTAAATTTACCTATTAATTGAGAATTCCACAAGTCATATTGAAATGTTATGCAATTTGAGCTATTTTCTAATTGAGATATTTACGTGAAAAAATACAAAGAAAATTGCAGCAAAGGATTTTCATTCATTTGAAAATTTAATAAAATATTTCTTTGCCGAAATTTACTTCACTTAAATTTAATTGGTTAAAAAGTATTGAAGCATTCAATACAACATATACACACTTTATAATGTTTATATTTAATGCTAAATTTAATAACAATTCAAAATGCAGCAGAATAAACAATAGCCCCCCACACACACAAACACACACAAGCACACATACACACCATGAAAAGGATAAATATCATAAATCTGTTCGTGCAATTGATTGTCGATTAATAGTGAAGAAATATTCATTTCATGTTTATCATTTAGGCCCAATTTATGGATTGAATTTAATAATTGAGCAGAGCTTACTGCACGGGGATCCACCCTCTGTACTTAGAGAATATCATTTATACCACAAATATGTGGCATGATTTTATGTAGAGGCAGCTCTATTGAAGATTTGAGGCATTAAATAGAACAATAAAAATGTATATATTCTCATTTGCTGAGTTTGAAAAGCAAATCATGAATAATGCATGATGCAACAAAATATTAAAAACTTAAAAAATATTCTACATATAATATAAATTAGAGAAAACAATGTAAGTTGATGATGAAAAGGTAAAGATTGTATAAATCAAAATATAATTAGTGGGCACGTTGCAGTCAAACGTATATAAGTTCCAAAAACAATTTATTACAATATAATTTACAGAACCATCTATAAATGATCGACCTCTAACACTTGATAGTTCCAACTGTGGAAAATATAGTTTTTGTCCAATTTGCCATTGGTCAAAGTAGCGTACATGCATTATCTTATCATCAATCTATAAAGGAAGGTCAACACGCTCACTAAATTCGTTTTCCTGTCCTGTATCTGCCTATAATATATCAGCCGTCAAGCCTATGAGCAACAGGGTACACAAAGTTAAATAAATAAATAAATGAACAAATATTTATAGTACGCAGTCTATTATTGATGCACAGTAAACTTTTTCATCCATAATTATATTTACATATACATATATAATATATATGTAAGTAATTAAATTTATAAGCCACTGCCTTTGTTCATTTGTTGGCGCTGGCCACGCTTTCCCTTCTGTCTCTCTGTCAGACTTCAGTTTAAGCTGAAAATGCTTGAGATGCCGGACAAATATTTGCGTAATGCATAAATGCAACAAAAGGTTGAATGGAATGTGCACAGATTTTCGTGTTACCACGCTCCTGCCACAGTCAAGGTGTCTGCAATTTATCATGTGTGTGTTTGACTGTGTCGTATGCTAGCATTTATTTCCAATGCCGAATGCCCTTTTGGCTGCCAGCAACTGTGGACTGCTGAGGAGACAAAGAAGTTCTGCTGTTTGTTGATATATGTCACATATATACATATATGCTGATATCTATATATTTTATGAGCAGGACTTGGGGATAGCAGCCGCATAATGCAAATGGCATAGAAACTGATAATGCGCCCCTCCCCGTGTGCCCAAACAAATCTCGGCAAATGCGGCTGAAATTTTTCAGCGCTCATTAATAATATTTAACCTGTTTGTGTGCGTGTGTGAGGATGGGCGAGTGTGTGTGTAGCGCAGCAACGATAATAAATTTATTGCAATGGCACTAAATATTTTATTATTGCTAAATATGCAACAATACTCCATTGGGGCAGGCATAAAACAATCGCATGTAACGACTGACTGCGCACGGCAATGACTTTCAGAGCACGGGGGTGTGACTGCAGAGAGAGGCGGGGCGGAGCACCGCCTACCTGCGCTCGCTGACAATGCGTATAAATTATGAATGTGCGATATGCACTCAGTCGCACGTCCATTCCCACGCAAAAGCCACGCAGCTGCATAAGGGCGACCAAGAAGCTTAAATGAGGTAGTGGGCAGCAATGCCTACAGTACAATACAATACAATAAATTAAATTTAAATATTTTTTATTAAAAGATGTTAAAGTAAGAATCAAGATTTTGTTATTAAAGTAACAGAACAATAGTTAACAACAAAAAATAGTTGTTAGGCTTACAGGCCTCAAAATACAGAAATATAAAATTAGTGAAGTTAAGTAAGTTTGTTTAGCAAGTGCTTTATACTCCCATCTTTTTATCTGAATACTAAATTACCGCATCTAATCATTCAATACTCCAGTACAGGTGACCACATAGCAACAACAAACTATTAAATTATAAGTAAAGTTTAGTTTTATAAAAAAGTGCTTAAATCTTCCTTGACTTGCTGAAGTTTATGAAGTTTTTACTGCTGTTTAAAAGTTACTTGAAGAAAATTTGCAAAATATTGTTCACGTTAAAATGGATTTTAAAAAGAAAATACAAAAGCGTAAATCAAAATTCTGTATCCAAAAAAACCTTTTTTATTTGTAAAACATTTAATGGCATCAATTGGAATTTAAGCAACCCTTCTACAAAGCATCAACCCCCAAGTTAAAAATCTACCAAAATGCATTTAACAAAAATTGCATACAAAAGCGAATGTTGCTGCTGTTGTTCATAAAATGCACAAAAACGATTAAAATTTTAAATTTACACGCAATTGTGCAGTCAAATGAGAGAAAGATACAAAGAGAGAAGGAGACGGAGAAAGAGAGGGAGAGAGAGAGTCTGGAGCTGCAGCTGTTGGACCCGTTTGACCGAGCGGAAGCTTCGTTTATGATTTGGAACTAATTGCAGCGCGCTGCACGACCAGTAAATAAACAGCAAAAAAAGAGCAGCAGGATGTGGGTGGAGCACATTCAGAATGGCGTGGCGGGAGCTAAGGGCTGATAGGGGTTTACGGACGCAGTTCGGGTAATTACAATTGCATTGCGGTTAACAGGCGAGGCGCACGCTAAATCACTCAACGGGTGCGGTGCTAGCGACGGGGGACAACAGCAGTCTGGTTGTGGCTCTGCTCGGCTTTTGAATAATGCAACTGCGACTGCAACTGCAGCTACGACTGGGCGGTAGCTGGGGTGCAACTGGGATGCTGTAGATGCTCAGGTGGGGCGGCTGCTGTCCAAGAAGCCAAGGCGCAATACGTTGCTCAGGCTCGAAGGCTTTGAGGCAAATGCATAAATCAAAATGCGCAAATAACCTGGCGGCAATGGCTGCAACAACAAGCAACACACGCACACATGCAAATCCAAGGACTACAGCTGTGCCAGCTGAGCGTGAGTGAGTATGGGTGTTGGCCAGCTTATGGCATTGGCATTATGGAAATCGTGTTGACTTACACAAATGAGCAAATGCCGAAAATGCTGCCCAGCGCCTCGACATATGCAATTGCGTATAAATATTTACGCGGCTGGGGCGCAAATTAATGGCTCAAGCCATAGACGTAGGAGTAGAGGGGATAAATCAGAGTTGACTTAAGCTAACATTACTTTTTCATATTTGATAATATTGAAGGAGAAAGTGTAAGGAAAAAATATACACGAAATTTAAATCATTTAAACACGTCTGCTTTATCTGCATTATCCCTAATGATTAAATTTCCAAATACAATAATAATATTAATCCCTCCTCAAAGTTATAGCCATGTCCCTGTACAGCTAAGAGGCAGCAGCTAGATTAGCATTAAGCTCTATAGCACAGCTTTGGCTTCCGCTAAGTTTGATCAATGATTGCCAAATATTGTATCCGGCTTGAATTTCCGGGAATGTTTACTTCTTATTCCGTGTACAAATCGTTTGCTGTTTAAATGCGTCGAAATGCCACTTTACTTTAAGCTATTTATATATTAGATAAACCTTCTATTAAATATCTATTTGATCACATAAGCAGATTTAATTATTTTATTATATCAAAATGTAAACAGACAACAAATACGATTAAATTTATTAACAGCAAAAGCCTAATAAAAACTATATATAATTTAACAGAAAAAATTCTAACAAAGAAAAATAAATAATATGTTAAAAAATTGTACACGGTAAATAATTAAATATAAACTTTGTGAATTCTATTAATTTATGCACAACTGTAATAAAAAATAGAAGGCAGTAACAGAAGCTTACTCGATTGGCCAATACCTCTTAGGTGAATCCATAGAGTAAGTAGAGAACATTAAACTTGAATTTAATAACAGCTCATTGGATTGGCTTGGAGCCTCTTTATAAAACTGTTAAGTGATTGACATTTACCATGCAGTTTAACTAACTGGTAAGCAGCTTGTCAACAAATGTCTATGCAGGCAATGAATAACTTATCTATATGGCTGTATATGACAGCATGGCAATGTGGTGTTGCCAGCCTGTCACAAAATATGGCCAACTCTTTAATTCAATAAGCAATTTAGAATTAGGAATAATGAAAATATCACCTTAACCTCTGTGTACATAAAGGCCAACGGTGACCCTTTTATAGGGTATATGGTGTATAATTAACAAATCCCGCTGCAGACTTTCAGTTCATTTCATGTTCAAAATCGCAGAAAACAAGCTTCGAATTAAGTAATTAAATCTGAGTTAATTTGCTTACCTGGACATTCTGCTTCCCCAGCTGCGAGCAGTGAATGCGGGCAGGTTGGCAATTGAGGCAAATCGAATTAACCAATTTCGCACTCAATCAAAGCGAGACAGTTGAGGATGCTGCTCGAAATTAAATAAAAAAATGCAATCGCAAAACTTACTGTAGAAAATAACATGGAAAATGCGTTAACAGTTCATAGAGGCTAACTGGCTTGTATTCGATGCGTTCCCGAAATCCATAACGTCAATGATAAGGAGGGAAAGACTTTGCTATTGATATATAACATAAGTCAGCTGTGCCTCACTGTAGACAAGCCTTAGAGTTCGCTCAAACTAATCGAAATATATTTTAAATTTTGATTAATATTTCTCTATATATTTGACTAAATTAGCCAGTAACAAATGCTGTCATACGTCTCTACACTTTCGACAATGCATTTCCGCCAGCCTTTCTCTTTCCTCTTAGCAAAATTGCGCTTAGAATTGAATTTGACAAAACGAAAAATCAGAGAGCTGCATTAGCTGCGGGCTTGTCAAAGGAAATTTCATGCATCAGCGGCAGCACAAAAGAACTCACAGATTTTCTTCTACTGTTATTTTTCGAGAGTTTCTCGTTATATGCATTTAGCTTTCATTTTTCTTTTACTTTTTTATTTTTTCAGGTTTTGCTTTTTGGCCAGACGGCAAATCCAAACACAGACAGTTAGCCACAGACGGTCGGCTCGCATGGACAAATAAACAAATCTCGTCAAGTGCTCAAATACACATATAGAAACAGAACAGGCAGTGCTACAGCCACAGCTACAGTAGCAAATACATTTACATACACATATACAATATTTGGCGGACAGTCCGGCAAATGTGTTTGCATTTGTCACTCGTGATGCTCTGCGGTTCTCACTTGGTGTGCGGGTGTGTGTGTGTGTGTGACTCTGGCTTAGCATGCGTCAACATTTTGGCAGCACTCTCGCATTCGCACTCGTTCCAGTTGGTTCCACTCGATCCACGCAATTAATTTGTGTATCAGAGCATCAACTAAAGTGCTAAGCAGTGGGGTGAACGGGCATCAGGTGGGGCCGCTTGGGTTGCCTCAGACGCGGGCATTAAAAATGAAACCCAAACAAACAGCAAACATCAAAAGCTGCCGAGGAACACAACAAATAAAAATAAAAATAAAAAATGATGAAAAACGAATGGCCAGCCAGGCAATATCCGGCAGCTTGGGCTGACCAAACTCGCTGACATATGGGAGCTATGGGGTCTATGTGCGCTATGAGGGCCATGGCGGTGTCTGATTTTAAGGCCGTCTGTATTGCGACCACCACAAGTGGTTAACATGTATGTGACAGCTGCTGGCATCGTTTGTAACCATCCACCAGCTAAGCACCTGAAATAATCGGGCTTACAGAATGGGCCGTAGAACACCAAAAAGTGTAAACCACTTAAAAACTTTGTGAAAAGTTTAAGCTGTCTAAACACTCTGAAACGCGATACTAAATCAATTTTATAAAATCTGTCTGAGCTAGTATATATTTATATAAATTTATATATATGTATAAAGTTTATAGTCAGCTTTTTCACAACTAACAATAAAAAGAGAAACAAACTTAAATCAGACTTAAAACTTTTGATTTGCTGATTCCGAAACGAAGCCTACAATAGAGCACCTATATAGTTTCTTTATTTGAGAGTTCATCTGACTGACATGCAGACATATCTTATCAGAATCGAATCATAATATACATTAGTTAACAATTGATGTAGGCCTAATGCCAAATGCTCCTGGCAAAGTAGCAACTGAGTTAACAATACTCCATCCAAATGCATTTGGAAGTGCAACTTTCATTAAGTTTTTAGATGGACCAAAAAACTACAGCCCTAAGGCTCATCCAACCGAAAGGCGAACGAAAACACAGAAGACACACAGACATATTGTACCTCACTTACATATTGTGTTTTTATACAGAGATTTGTTTTTTTTTTTGTGAGGATTTAAGGCTTGAACATGGAGAGTGGGTAATACAAGAGCAACAAACGGCGGACAACTTGCTACAGAGCTGAACCAGAAGCAGAACCAGCAGCAACAGCAACAAGAGCAGAAACAGCTAAACTGATGTTTTCACGCGCGAGATTTACGAGCGACGTGCATTTCGGGCACAACGTAAACGCTCTACGCTATATGTGTGTGTGTGTGCGTGTGTGTGTATGTGTGTTTATCTTGCCTGGCCGCGAAACTGGCTGGATGGCTAGTAGGCTTATGGCCATAAGAGCGGCAAACAAAAATGCGGGCCGCCGCTTCAAAACCCGGCAAAATAAAGCAACGAAATGCGCTTTGTGCCCGCTGCACACACCAGTGGCAAGCGAAAGGCAGCAGCAGGATGAGAAGGAGTGGAGGCCAGCGGATGGACTGGCAGCCAAACAAGGAGTGGCAGTTGATATCAAGCTTAAAGCATTTAAGCAACTATTTGGTATACCATTAAGAACATTTCATTTTACGTTTGAGCAAAACAATGCTGGTCGACCCCAAAAAAGGAAGCGGCCAGAAGGAGTCTCGAACCAAAGTCCAAGCACCGAGTGCCAGTCAGCTTACGGGCAATGGGCAACATTAAAAACTTCCGTTTCCGCCAAACACACACACGCATACGAAAGAAATGCAACGGAAATGCCAGAAAGTTCAAACAGGCAACAGAGGAAAACCGCGCGCCAGGCAAACACTAACAACATTAAGAAACTGAGAGAAAGAGAGAGATACATTAAGTTACACCGCTCAGCCCACTGTGCAGCCACCGTTTTTGAACTCTGCACTCTCATTACCGAAAATTGCAATAAATTTTTAGTGCAGAAAATTATTTGAAGTGCCCGCCAAACACACATAAAAACGTCCATGGCGAAATTTACGAGAAAGCATAGAAGGAGCACCGAAATGAAGGAAAGAAAAGCCAGCGCTTAACTTCGCAAAAACTCTGCAAAAGAGCAAAGAGAGAGCAGCGAGATAGAGAGAGAGAGAAAGGGGACAAGAGAGCAGATAAGGCAGTCAAGTGATTGGAAAAAACCAGCCAAGAAACATGGCAACAAACTGTTTTAATTGCTTTTGTACAAACCAAGTTTCGACTTCCTTTGATGAATGAGTTATGGCTAACAAAAATGAAAAGCTTAAATTGAATTTGCGAACTGCAATCTAATTTTTGTTCTCTTTTTGTATAGGTAATAAACGACTAGAAGTTTGCAGGAGTTTCAAATAGATTAATTGATTATTATTATTATTATTATAAATACATAAATATATTTATATATATATGTGACGTATATGGAAATTTGTATGTAGATCTATAAATATATTGAATGAATGCCGCATATATAAAAATGTTCTTTTTTCTGGATGAAATGAAAAGTCAAATTGAAAAGAGCTGTTCGGTATGTTAAATAAAATCGAATTCATTCACTTTTAAAAAGTTAATTGCACTGATCAAAGCTCGCGTATAATAGACGGACCCACATAAACACAACGAGAGCATACCACAACTTCTTTCGTGAAAAAAATAAAAATTCAACCATATTGATACTGTTTGTATTTGATTCGTAATGTTATGGCTCCAACATTCTTGTAATGATTTATTAATGACGCTTATTATTATTGCTTAATTGCTGATATTTACATGCACCCACACATAGATACACACGTGTAGCGCTGCTGAATGCACATTACGTGAATGACAGACTCTTTCCATAATTAAATTTAAATAAATATAGAACTTAAATCACGCGCAGTCAAAGGCACATTATTGCTGTTGCTATTTTGTTTGTAGCCATTTAATTGTTATAAAAATTTCATTAATTCGATTAAGTCAGAAAAATGAATATACAAATAGTTGTTCCCATTTTATTGAAAGAGCTGGACAGGCCCAGTGGGGATTGGAAAGACTCCTTGCTCATTTAAACAAAAAATATAATTGAAATTCAATTTTTATTAGCCCTGAACGCACTTGTGGGCTTTCACACTAGCTTCAGCGATTGCAATGCGTTTAATTAGTGCACTGAAATTAATTCTCAATCATTTACGAACCGAGAAAATGTAAAATAAATTATATAGTACGTTATCTGATCTTCCTGAATAATTTCTTTATATATGATTTTTAGGTGTTTTATAGAACGTCAATGATAATTATAGATCGATACCATTCTAATAAAAAATCGTATTTTATATAGTTCAACTGGAGCTAATTCCTTCCTTCATATATACTGAAACCTCTATATATATATATATATATATATATATATATATATATATATATATATATATATATATATATATATATATATATATATATATATATATATATATATATATATATAAAATATATATATAATTTATTGTATGAATGATTTATAATAACGAGCTCGCCGTTCGCGCTACATTTTCAATCGTTGCTCGTTGCCGTCGAATCGTTAAATAATATTTAAAAATTTTTGCAATTAATTTTTAAGCGTTTTTAAAGCTTATTTTAATTCATTCATTAAGCGTAAAGCTGGCCTTAACAGCAACGCTCGCTTCATGCAAATCCACATAAATGAAATCGGTCCCTAGTCGAACTGTTTGCTGACTGAGTTGACAAAGAAGTTCACTGCTGGTCCATGCCTGGGCGTTAATCAACGTGGCATCGGCCCAAACCTCTTTGACTACCTTCACACTTTATGGGCATTGTTGGCGCATTGTCTCGCTTGATTATGCCCGACAGATTTTGATGCTGGTGCTGGTTTTTTATGCGCGCGGGCTCATGACACGCAGACACATAAATTTCACATGCCCAGACTCCGGGCAAAGCCAAAGGACCTGCAGCTTGAATACGCAACGATTTTGCATATAAAACACTCGCAAAACAATGCAATAGTCACCCTGAATTGAGATTTCTCTGCCCTCATCGACACTGAAACGCAGTGTTTGCTTATAATTTGCACGGCCAGACAAAGCTTAACAAAAAATGCGGAATAAAGTTAAGTTGGATTTCCTCTAATATTGCTTCTAAGTTTGGTTTCATAATAAGCTGGCACAATTTCTTCCCTGTTTTATACCTGAATTGAAGATTGCAAATGAAAAAAATCTCAAAAATGTTAAGAGATTTTGCTAGAATATTTATTCATCACTGAGAGCTAGCCAGCATGGCTCGGCTGAGCTTACCTTTCTCTCTCATTCTCTCCAAGCATTTATATTCCAAATATATATATTCACAATATATTCATCAAATTACAATAAAATTGAAATATAAACAAAGGCTGAACAGCTGCTTTCACTATGTCTGCCAAATAATTTAGTAAATATTAACACAAATAAATTTGATTGATTAAATATGACTTTTTGTAAATGATCTTAGTTAAATTTTTAAATGTTACTTTTTTAAATATAAATAATATTACGTTGTATTACTTTTATCATGTAAATAAGTGTATTTTTTTCACTTTTTACTTTCATTTTTTGGTCCTTTATTTTTCTTTATTATTTTATATAAAATTTCTTACAGTGATCTACTAAAAATGCATATTGTTTCATCTTTAATTTCTATGCTCTAATTCGTTGCTGTCTGTGCAGGCATGCTCAAGTGAATATTAAGGTAGAACAAATGAGGTTCAGCAATACACACACAAAGCAAATGCACCAAAATGAAACAGAAATTCTGTGTGTGTGTGCGTGTGAATGGGTGTAAGCGTTAGCCGACTCCAATAATTTAAGCACAATTTATGGCATTAGGCTAAAGATACGCAGCCCAGACCAGAGACTGACTAACAGCCCCGCCCACTAAAAGTGGTCAATGGCCCAGACAAAAAAAAGAAAAAAAGAAAAAGACAAGCAAATGTTTGCCGTTATTCTATTCTTTTTACTGTTTTTGTCTGCTTCTAATCCTTGCACACACTCACATAGACATAAACAGAGAGAGAGAGAGAGAGTATGTAAGAGCAGCATTCATTGGGCATAAATCAAATGTGTTTGCTATGTGTGTGCGTGTGCGCGTGTGTTTATGTAAGTTGTCTTGGCTTTTGCTGCTGTTGCGTAGTGTTAATTAGTATTTAATCTATGAACCATAAATAAATCCCTTTTTTGGCAAAGGACACTCAATTTCATTGCCACCATGCTTTTGTTGCGCCTTAATAAATTGCCAATTATGTGTCATGGAAGTTAAGTCAACTAATTGCTGCTCTTACTTTGTGTGTGTGTGTAAGTGTGTGAATGTGCGTGAGTTTTGAGAACCGAGCAGAAAATAGAAGAGATCAAAGCGCAAAATTTTTAAAAAAATCTTCAATCTTGCAACATTTCTCGCTCTCTTAAGATATTAAACTTCACTTAAAAGATAGTATCTTGAGCAAAACAAGGCCAAAAGTGCGTATTAAATAGGACAAAAATGTACTAATAATTATAATATATATAATATATTTTCTACGGACTTCATCAATCTCAGTAATGAATTGTTCCAAAATATTGCTAAAGAATTTATAGAAGACTTATTGTCTAGTTTCTTTATGAATTCAATTGTAAGGCAATGTTTAGTCGACAAATATTTTATAAATTATATAAAGTAGCATAAAAGATATTTTTGTTATATATTCTAAATTTAATTATGCCCCACAGCTGCTTCGAGCTATTATAAATTCACACGAAACATAACAACTGCTTAGTAAATAAGCAAATATTTCACATCTTAGTTATTTTTAGACTGATTATCTGCTGACACAGCCATGCAGTGAAAAACGTACAATATGCCAAGTGCCTCTGCATTTTCAAGCTTGCTTTTAGTTTTCCAACGGCAAACAATCAAATTTTCCACTGAGCTAGCAAACATTTATTCAATGTGTGCGTGTGTGTTGTCTTTTGATGGTGCTTGAAGCGCCAATAAAACATTTTAATTGATTGGGCGCTAAGCTGTTGCCAAACACCCAACTAAAACCCACCAAGTCCCAATGTCAAACGAGCCACCGCCCACCATCCAATACGTATTCGCTTTTCGTTGGCGCCATCTGTTGGCTGTTGGCTGTGGGCGCTAAAAACTAATGCGTACATTTGCATTGCAAATTGCGCATTTTAAAGCGCGACAATTACAATATAGAGTAGCTCCCCTGCTCCCACGGCAACCCACCCCATTCCACAAAGCATCTGCGATCCCAAACACTGTCTTCAAAAGCAATTAGCGATTAGCGTGTAAAACTTTTAAGCATCAGCCGTTACGCATACATCCAAAAAAGGAGGGGGCAACTGTACGTGGGTGTGATTGTGTATGTGTGTGAACACATTAGCTTGTTCTGTCACAATTTCTTTTATTTGTATTTTCTACAATTTGCATCGCTGTTGCTGCTGTTGTTGTTGTTGTTGTTGTTGTTGGCAGCGCAATTCGCAATTTGCAATCGCTCATTGATTTTGCTCATCAGATTTTCTCGTTGATTTTAAATGCATTCGCAATTTCCTGACTTTCTGTTTTAATTGTGCGCATTAAAATCAGCGCATCGATGCATTTTTAATTCAAATTAAAAATCGTTCGCTCCAATAACAATTTTGCGGTAAGTGTGGCTGCAGAGACAGCAGGTGCATGCATCATTGCCAACTGAGCAAGAAGAGGTATTTGCATTCAAAGAGAAAAAAAACAGAATTAAAAGCGAAAACAACAAAATTGAGTGCTCTGAAAAATTTGAGTACAGGCAGGCAAATGGACATTCAGCAAGTGTTGAGGGATTAGTTGAAATGTTTAAGGCTGATGCTAAAACAGTATGGAAAATATAAAGGAGAATAAGAACAATTAAAGAGAGGGAGAGAGTAATAGAGAGAGAGAGAGAGTGTGAAAGAGAGAGACAGAGAGAGAGATGGAGAGAGGGAGAGGACGAGCGAAATAGAGAGTGGGAGAAAGAGAAAGGACAGCAAATTTCAAACTCTAGACGTTTAAGAATATATCTTAAACGAAAAATGTAAAAACTAAATGCTTGAGGATATTGAATAGTTGTGCTACAATGAAACAAACATAAATTATTAAAAAAAAACCAAGTAACCACTACAAAAACACATTAAAAACTCGACGCAAACAAATGAATTCCCAAAACAAACACCAGACAACACAACATAAGACACACAATAAAAACGCAACAAAAACAAATTCCACGGAAACATAATTAAAATACTAAAATAATGAACGACAAAAAAGATAGCATAGGCCCTATTGAAAACTTCACAGATGACTTGATCATCCACCCACAGTATGATGAAAAGTTTCTTCAGGAACCATCAAAAGTTGAAGACACAATACAGTTTCTTGAAAGCATGCTTAATAGCAACAAAACGGAGGAGTAAGTAAAAAATAGCTCTCCATATATAATCATATACTATCATTCATTCAGTATTAAGAAGACGCAAAAGAAGACGGAAATAAAGCCGGACGTCTCTGATAGTGTCACGGATAGCAACTTTATAATTTTTACACGTTTGCAGAATGATCGATTTTCGTTAAAGAGAAAGACAAAGATTAAGCTCGATATTAATATGAATCAGTTCACATTCATGCGGCAAATTGATAAAAGCGTCCAAGAACGCATGCAAGCGCGCATCGAGCGTGAAAGAGTTGCCAACAATTTCCGCAGGTGAGTCAGGAATCCATACTTAACACACCGTGGAATATATTGTAATTCATCCAGGTTGGGCAACTCCGCCTATCGCAAAGCACAGTTCAGCACTGCGATCGAATTATACAACCATGGCTTGGATTATGTAAATGATACTCCTGTTCTGTACCTAAATCGTGCCTGTTGCTATATTAGGTACGCATGTCTCAGATACAAGATTCTTTTTGGCGTTTTAATAATTCCCTTCTTTAGACTTCGCGACTTTAAGCGCGCCATTATAGATTGTGATTATATTCTGCATAAATTCGATCCGAAACATATACGAGCTTGGCTCTATCGGGCTCTTTCCTTTAAACGTCTTCATGTAGAGAACAGTTTTAATGAATGCATATCAGAAGTAAAGCGTCTGAATTCCAGGGATATTGCATTTATTGATGGGTTTTTGGAAAGGATGCGCTCTGCACCCTAAAAGCGCTCAAAAAATTATGTGTAAATTTCAATTGCAAACCTTTTGGCATGAATAATTTACATTCAGTTTGCGCAGATAAATTACTGTCGATAATTAAAATTGCAATCATTCAGATACAAATGAATTTCTTTATATTCCGATTCAAATTAACTGAGGTTCAGGTATACAAATAAAAAGTTTAGATAGAAGTTACGTTATACGGCTTAAGGCGAACCAGCAAAGTTGGTTTGCAAATTGAACCTATTCCGAAAGGTATTCCAGTCGAACCATTAACCCAACCGGTACGTTCGGCTGGCAAACCCTAATTTTGTGTTCGCTGAAACCATTAACCAAAGATTTGATCATTTCACTTATCTCTAGTGTTTCACACACACATATACACTAGGACAAACTTCTTAAGTAATGTCATAAGTTAATTTTCACACTTAAGAGCACTTACTTTTAATCGATTGGCTTTTGAGCGGATGTGAAGCCTGGTCAACCCTTCTGCCGAGCATAAAAGCCATCATCAAGGGCAATCAGTTAGGATTATCGCCCGGCGTGTCTGTGCCTGCGTTTGCTTCTATTCAGCTACACTCTTTTCTACGTTTTTCTCATTTCCGTTTCTATATGGCCAGCGCTATCGACTTCATCGCCAGCCACTCAATGGCCAGACAACACCTTCGACTTCAGGATGAGCTCTGCGAACAACTTTCAGTTGATTAGCTGTGCACTTTTGTTCCCTAATTAACTGCAAGTAACTCGCTCATAAAAGTCGACGAAGACAGTCCAGAGGAAAAAGGAGTCAAGAAAATGCCAAGCAATTGATTTTTATGACTGGGCTAAAAGAAACGCAATTGAAAAATTAATTGAAAGTCTCGAGCAGCGCTTGTGTTGTGCATGTCCGAACTATGCATAAAGTGCACTAAAGTAAAAGCAGATGGCCGGCAAGTTATTAGAGTTTTTGGGTGCACTTTCAGTCAATTTGATTTTTTAATTAAGTTTATTACGGCAAATGGCATAAAATTTGATATGGTTTAGTTCATTTCTGGGTCACTTTGCTAACGACTCGTGTTGTGAGCTTTCGGATCGAAGCAAGATGTTTGGGAAATGCACTCGGCTTGAGCCCATTTCCCCCTCAGTCTAACACTAATACGTTCCTAATGCCTTTCACTTCGGTGTCCGCTGCAGAGCATTCAAATAATTTCATTTATATTTTGTGTATATATTTTTGTCTATATATATATGCATATACATAAACACATATTTGTGCGACATTTGATTTACTTACTTTTGATGCAAATTTTTTTCTCATATTTCTGTACGTTTGATTTTGTGAAATTTGTGAACTTTGAGTATGAGCAATGCACTATTTGTATAGTTCATTTCAATGTTGATTTTCATTTAATATTTAGATTTGTCTTTTGTTTAACGTGAACTATACTTAACGCCTAACATCGATGGTCAAGATATAGTATGAGAAATTATTTGGAGACTTCAATTTAGTTGATTTGATTTTATCGACTAATAGAAGATTAAATGTTCAACATCTGTTTCTTCATCACAGGATGCCATAGGAGAATTTGAAAAATTATCAGTGTGTATAGTTTAAGATCATATACTAAAGCTCCAACTCTCTAGATGCTGTCGGTTACTAGATCGCAGCGTGGCAGCTATATCGACTCAAAAAATTCATGTATATATTGGGACTTTCACGAGCCCTTCTGCCTTTTGAATTTCATTTTCCACTTTCAATGAGCTCTGAGTAGAAAAAGGAAACCCTACTGAATTATACTGTTGTACTTCATCCAAATCTTAAGATGGCGATGTGACATCGAGAAGAGTCAATAGAGAATTTGCTTTCAGTTAATGTTTTTAGCCAAGCAATCCGTCTTTATGTGCAACAACTAAAATGTTTCCATGGGACGTTGGCATTAGATGCCAAGTATAATTACTGCATTTAATTTCATGAATCGACATTTCGTTTTAACTTTGAAAACACGCGCAAGCCACAAAATTAATATCAACTTAACCACAAAGCAGCGCGCATAAAAGCGCGAGAAATTCGCAAAGTTATTTTACGGTTTTAATAAATTTCCAATATGTGCGGCACACCTGATCCACCAGCAGTCCACAAGGAAATTGTGGACGAGGAGGGCGGCGTTAAGCCCAAAACGGACATAAAATAAAATGAAAATGTAATTTATTGGGTGGGGGTTGGCGATGGAGAGCTCTACTACAATACAGGGTCACGAAGTTAATACCTCTGGTTATATCTCTAAAAGCAGCGCAAGCAATGCCCGACCATGCGCCATTTACGAGTTGTCGTGTGTAGCACATTGCGTATACGCAACATGTGCGTGTCGTAAACATTTTGTGCGCTGCTCTCTGCCATCTAGTTTACGTATTTAACATCGAAATGTGTTTAATTGCAAAAAATGCAATTTATATGCGTATGGGTGCTCAGCGAGAAGCTATCTCAAAGAGAGAAGCAGACACGAATTAGGGAGGAAAGGAGGTAATTAAAGTCCAGTTGGCGGAGACAACACTCCCAAGGAGAGTTTTCCATTGTTAGTTCAATCGCATGGAATAATTTATTAATTAACTACAATTCGAATGAATGAATGAACGATTACAGTTGCTGCCAGTACCACAGTCGGTTGTAGATGTGACTGAGCCATGAAATGGGGAGCTGCAAGCGAAGCCAGATAGAGTGTGTAAGACGGCAACAGCTGTTGCTAGAGATGGACTCGTGACGACATAAATCGAAAGGGAAATACGATTGACAAATAAATGTATTAGCATATTTAATCTGAAATATATTTGAATGAAAGTAAACTATAAAAACAAATAAAGTATTTTTGCTCAATTATTTGCTTGAGAACGAAACAAAACATGAATGTTAAATATTGAAAATTGTATGTTATCATATATATTTATAAATGAGCTTATTTAAATGTCCTTCTCTTCCTATGAACAATATATGATTTATATCAAATACTTTTATTCATTTCATTTATTTAAATGTCCTTCTCTTTCCTAGATCCATCATTGCTCATTGTGATCAAAGGACTGAAATATTGACACTTAACTTAAAATTGATCTTACAATATATATCGTATTGGTATAGACAGCTACACGCGTTCAGCTCTAGCATCCGCTGGAGTTAGCTGCCGCAAGACGACAATTTGCCATTGCACGTAACGGGAAAATCAATTAAAAGCGCTTTATGTGCGCGACAGTCTTCGGTTCAAGCTGCTGGGACAAGTTTAGCGCCTTGGCAAGTGGAACTTTGTTAGTTTCTAATTAATTGTAACAGTTACAGAGCGCACCTCGCAGCAGCAACAGCAGCAGCAGCAGCTGTGCCACAGCCAAGTTGGGTTGAGGTGGTAGCAATTGGCCATCCTTAGTTATTTATGTCAAATGCTCAACATTATTTATGTTGCATATTGGGCGCTTTGTATTCGCAGTAAATTAACCAGAAATAGTCGAACTTCAGTATGTACTCCCCCAACTGGGCAGCGGCAACGGCAGCAGTCGCAGCTGCCAATATCGTTTTTGTTTTCAGTTTTCAGTTATGACAATTTTATATGGCTGATTGGAAGCAACATTTAATTTCGTTCACCAATTAATGAAACAAACACTAATTATTACAACTATTATTATAATGTATCTGATTGCATTCCAAGTATATGAACCAAAAATAATATTTTTATTCATTTCAATATTTAAATTTAAATTTAAATTTAAATCTAACGAAAATTTATTTTAACTCTAATAAAAATGTCTTAATTCATACGGAATCATGTATATAAATATATATATTTAAATGCTTAAATAGTTATAAAAGAAAGTTGCGAGTTTTCATTTATTTAAAATTCAAAGCTCACAAGATCAAGAATAGTTCCCTCTACCATTGGCGCTTAAGCGAATTCGTACAAATAAAATTACTGCTTCAATATTTGAATACTTTAATAGAGCTTAGGCTCTCCCTGGCAACCTTCAATTAAGCCCCATCTTAAGCCTTACCTCTTATTGCCATTTGGTTTTATGGCTTCATTTAATATCAAGTTATTTTATCTCACTCGCATTGAGACACCTATCTATAATTACCAGAAAATTGCTGAGCTGCAGAGCAATAGTCAACATTGTGGCACGATTTGGTACAGAACGAAACAACTGTTCCCCAAGCAAAAAGCTACACAAAATGCGCTTTGTGCACCCACTCTTAAATATGTTGAAATAAAAAATTGAATGGAATCCCATGTTCATTTCCGTTTTGGTAGCCCCAAGCGCCATTGTGTGTGTTCACGTGTGTGTGTGTATGCTGTCAATGGCTATCAATGGAAGTCGACCCTCTAGGCGCCAAGTCCAAGTAAGCCGCACACGTAAAAAAGGCCAACGGAAACGGAAAAGGCTTAACAGCTGCGTTTAGACGGCTGAAAGAGCTGCCAACTCGACAGAGAGAGAGAGAGAGAGAGAGAGAAGGGGCAGAGGCGTTCGACAGTGGGCGACAGTTGTTGCTGGACACTCATGGCATAAGCGCCATAATCATGAAAATTGTCAGTACATAATGCCTCAAAGGCCGTCATCGAAGCTGAAAAGCCGGAAAAGGTTTTTATTCGCAACTTTACTTACTTTACACGCTTGACTCCGAGAAAGAAGCCTCTGTAAAATTTGTAGAGCGGAAAGTAATTTTCTTGCTCTTTTTTATTTCCAACGTTCCCTTTTTTACGAGTCGATTTTCGCTTAGAAACTGCCCATCACTCCACGCCCTCAAAGAAAATCTTGCCATCACAAGAAAAAAATGAAATTGGTAAAGAAAAGTTCACAAGCCGCACTTTGATTTTGTTGCCTGCCATCTTCGGAATGCCCTAACTAAATATCATCGAATCTCTCGATAAAACATGTAACATAAATTCGTTAATTATTCAATATTAGAACTATCAAGTAGAGCTGAAAATTAATGAATATGGTTCTTAGTTGAAGCTTTTGTTATGGCAAATTTGATATTTAAGTATTAATATGGAGGCATCTATCTCATTGTATATAAATATATAGATACACAGAAATGCATAGAGGTATATTATAATATAAATTATTTGCTAATTAAATTTAATAAATATTTGTATTTTTTGGTTTGGTTAGATATGCAATAAATAAATATTTATAGTTTGCGTGCTCAGCACATACCCTATCAGAATATATCGAACTGAATATACTTCATTTAAAAGTATTAACTTAAATATTAAAATACATGATTTATATATATATATACTCTTTATAGAGTATTTCCTAGTCGGTATTCACTCATCCTGCTATTTCTTTTTGTTGCCGCTGCTTGCGTTAGCAAAAAGCAACTTTTGCACGTTTCGATTGTGTACAGTTTTTATGGCTTTTTGATTTTTTCACTTATTGGCCCTGACCCCGGGCAGCTTGCCTCGCTCTGGCCCTGGCCTTGATCAATGATAGGCGTGGCTGCCCAAAAGGCACTTAAATAATTACAAAATAATGGATGGGCGATGCCCAAACTAAGGACACTTCGCTCATAGCTACTTGGCCAAACTGACAAAAGGCATCGAGAACTGTGGATCTGCGAACGCATCTTTATCGATAACCTGTACATAATGCAAATCGTGCTCGTGCTCAAGTGCCAGTCAACACTTTGGAAACTCCTTCACTTTGCTCAACAACGTGTTGACAGTCAGTCAGCCAGAGAGTCATTGAGGCGCAGAAGCATAGCGGCATAGAGGCAAAGGTATGCAAATATTTGTAAAAAGGAAAATCAGTAAAAGTGCCTCGGGGCCAGGGCTTGTCAATTTGCAGTCACTTTGAGTTGTAGTCCGCTTTTTGTAAATATTTAATGGACCAGAATGCAAGAGAACAAACCTTAGCTGTGTTTACACAACAGTTTAGGATTCAAGCAGAAGCTTAAGTCAATTGCACACAGACTTAATTCGGAGTGAAATTGAAAATAATAGAAATGATAATTAATCTGAAAATACATAGATTAAGTATAAAGCAGAAATACGAGAAGATGGAAAAAATCAAACTTGGTTCGCCTTTATAATAAATATCTGTAAAATCGCTTGCGATTTACTCATTAAGCTTATATATTTACTCATTAAGCTTATATATTTTTGGTTCAATATAAAACTTTTGCCTGTGGACATCTGCCCACAATAAAATTGCCCAACACGCAAATACCATTTATTGATAACGAATTTGCAAGTGTGGCCACGCCCCCTTTTTAAACTAAAAAATTCAGTGATCAATGCAAATGCACGTATATGTATAATAAATACAAATAAATAAAATTGCAAAAAAGCTCAATAAAATATTGAAAATATATTTCGCATTTGTTACAAAGAAAAAAAATTGATTTTTTTGCGAGAAATAAATAAAATTAAATTATATGGCGAATATATAAAAAACAATGAGCAATTAAAAAAATAAACACGTCTGCTCCGAGCATTTTACACAGGCGAACAAGTTGCAAATAAATAAAATACAAATGCAAATAAATAAATACATTTTTGTAGATTTCAATGCGATTGAATTTGTTTCAGTTCGCATTTCCTCCTCGTTTATTTTGCATATTTTTTGTCTTCTGATATTTCGTGCATATGAGAAATGTTTTACAATTTCCACTATCCAGAACAGTAAATATTTTAAGTGTTGTCTATACACATATATATAAAGTTTTTTTCATGCCAGCCTGTCATTTATATTTCAATTTTAATTTATATGCTATTGAATACTCGTTTTTCTGTGTATTGAGGAGGCGGCAATACCACGCCCCATTTTATTCGACTGATTGAAAAAGCTCATAAGTTAAATGTTTGCAGCTTTCTTGGGGGCGTGTCCGCGGGCGAAACACGACAAAGCGAAATTGCGAATATTGCTAAACTCAATTCTTTATTATATTTATTGACTAACAAATAAACCCGTAAACGTAAATAAATGCCATGAGCAGATATAAAAACGTTTATTAAATTAATAAAAAAAATTGCATGTAAAGGTAATTTTAATGAGACATTTAAAGCAGAAAACTAAATTTAATTCTGCATAAATATCATAATAAACACTATGGCCGGAAATATAATAGGAAAAAACAAATAGGAGAAAGTAAAACTATTAAATGGTTCGAAAATCATTTCGTTTCATACAACAAAAGCCAGATTTGATATTGATTTATAAGTCTTTTAATGTGTATATTTAAACACAAATCTTCTATTCAATTACTAAGTTAATTTATCCTAATATTAAAGACTTTAACTCTATATATATCCGAAGGTTTTATTTATTGATCTAAAATTTCTTGGCAGGTATTTTCTAGTCGAGAGTTCTTGATTTTTTCCTAGTTTTCTCATAATATGTCTTTCTTATGCTTTTTTTGAATCTTAATAATTTTGCAACAGTTGCAAATCATAATTTCCTACAGAGCACAGGGTATTTACTAGTCTCTAACTTCAAAACTGCAACTTAATTAAATTACATTTAGAAAACAAAGAGAGTTGCTCCTGCTATATTTACTTATGATTATAATGCGGTCTCACTGCCTGAATGTCTATTCATGAATCTCCCATCTGCATATCTCCAACTCCATTTTCATTCTCAGCTTATTTTCAATCTCCGTCTGCCTCTTTTTCTTCGCTCTGTTTGAGCTTTGTGGTTGGGAAAAGTTTTGTGGTCGCTGCGCTTTGATTTAGCGTTTGAGAATGCGGCTTGCAATATTTTAGCATATTAAATTAGAGCAAATGGCGGCAAATGGAAACTGAGTCCTGTGCGCCATCCAAAGACGTTCTGTGACGGAGGCTGAGTAGCGGCTCAGTTGTTTGAGTGACAAATTTAAGTGCGACATCTAAATAAGTAATGGACAAACGACTCTCTTTCTCTCTCTCTCTTCCTCTTCTGTCTCTGCCTTTGAATCAAAGAATAATACTCAAGTCCAAGCCGCGACTTAGCTGTTGAATAAACAAGTTTTGCATTTGTTTCATGAATTTAACTGAAAATCGGCTTAGTAAGCCAACTGGCAGCGTCATTCTCATTATTGCTCTTATGCCCTTACGAAAGGCATGCGCGCTAATTGAAGCAACTTGTCGATACTTCACGATTTCTTTGGAAACACATTAGTTAAATGTTTATTTATATTTAGCATTTATTGAAGTAAACCACATTGTTAAATAAATTCACTTAATCACACTTTCTTGGTAAACTTTCGGAACGAAAAATTAATATCTGTTTGTAAAACGCGTTGCATTTATTACTCTAGCCAGATGAAAACCTTACGAGTAGAGGATATCTGTTTGTCTCTGTTTTATGGTAAGAATATGTAATTTGTTTGATATATTTTAGTAAACATTATTCTGATCGTTAGTTAGCTTTATACCATAGCTTTATAGAATACGTTTTTAGTATATTCTATATTTGAATAGAGTATTAACAATTCGACGTGAATTGAGTAACTGATAGCAAACAAATTTCTAATGACTAACGGTTGAGGCACCTTTTCTGTTCAATTTCATGACACAAGAAACCAATTTATATTAGCTACCTATGTGCATGGACTATAAATATCAGATGTACTTTGGAATACGAGTAATGCTATTGAATCTTACGATGCGAGTTAACCAGTTGCTGGCGCTGCTGTCGTTGCTGACTTTTCTGCCTTGGTTTGGATGTCTGAACATAAGGATTTCCGATGAAGAACACTGCAACATTCGTCCCTGTTATGTCATGAATTTAGTGTGCAATAATAATGGAGTAAGTTTTTACTATACCACGCTTAATACAATTTTGATAAGTCAAAGCGTTCACTTGCAGTCGATTGGAGAGTGCCAAGAAAATGCCTATCTGGTGGCGGAGAAGGAGTTTAGGGAGGATATTGAGCAGATATTTAATACGCTGCGTAACAGTGTAGCCGGCGGCAAGGAATATAGAAATTTGCCAATGGCAGCGCGTATGGGCAAAATGTACTGGGACAATGAGCTGGCCAAATTTGCTCGATTAGACGTGCAACGCTGCCAGGTGTCGCCCCGACCCTTGATGTGCTCGATAAACTTTAATCACATTGGCCGCCTAGTCGAACTATATGGCTATCATTCCGATAACCGATCCTCAGCCACTGAAGAAACTATCCGCAGCATAACGTCCAGCTGGATGGCTCAGGTGCCCAGCATAACACGTTACCAAACGTTGCATTTACCATCCGAATTCGACGATCAGTAAGTATTAGGTGTGAGAAGGATAGATAGAGAGCGAACAAGTGTGGTCGTTGCCTCTCTCACGCTCTATCTTCTTCTCATATGTCTTTCTCTATATCTAGGACTCTCTCTATACCTCTCTCTCAATTTAACTCTTAAAAAATCCATCTTTCCTCCTTTAACATTTTAGAACAGCGCTATTACATTCAGCCCTACTTCTGATTGAGTACAATACACGATTTGGATGCGCTGCCCTCAGCTATACGAGCAACATATATACATATATGATACTCAGCTGCATCTTCGGTACCGACACACAGGATGGACAACGTCTGTATAGCTGGGGCGCCACGCCTGGCAACAAATGTCAACACCGGGACACAAGATATAGTAATCTGTGCGCCAGAGGCGAGAAATACAGTTACGATATAACCCGAAGATCCTTTGATGCACTAAGAATGTCTAAAATAAAGTAAAATATGAAAATCAAATTCTTTGATCTATAAATCAAAATTAAGTCTCAGCTTAAGCATGTACCTCGAATATATAATGTATATATGAGTTGATATTTACATAAAAAAGTTAATATTGAGCTACATTTACATGCAGCTTTATTTTTCCGTTAGCTCTTTATGGATTATATTTCAAAGCTTTGGCAATAAATGATTCACAAGCGCAACATCAAACAACATAATCGGCAAAGGAAAAGAAACTATCATTCGTTTGTTTTACAACCTTGCGCTTAAACGTGGGGCTAACAGAACTCCATCTACGATTCAACTGCAAACTATATCCGCCGGACTCGTGGCAAGCCTTAAATATTACATGAAATGCCGAATCGCCAATGAGATGAGTCGCTGGCAATCGCAATGGCAAAAATCGAGGAGGACGGCTGCCTTAAACTGACTATTCGACGTCTGAATATCCTTAGTCAGATCTTTGAATGTTGGAATGATAAGAACACAATGTGCACAGCTCAATTTGTATAATCCGTTCTATTAATACTGAACGAAACTGCGTTAATGAGTTCATCGATAAGCGTCTTTATATATATATATATATTCTTTAATATATAAATAAAATTGTTATGAATTTTTAATAGTATATATGAATAAACAAGGCAAGACTTTTGACCATAGACAGATCAAGATGTACTGGTTTATTCTTATATAGTTTTCAAATAGTTTTATACACTTTGCCGGTGAATAGAAATACTCAGTTATAGGGTATTAAAGGAAGCGAGGCAAATTGTATGTCTTATAAATAATGTAAAGAGTGTGAAACGCGCCTAATGGTGTGCCAAAGGACGAAAAGGATGACAGAGCTGTGCGCAGACAACCAAGAAAACAGAAAGGGAAAGAAAGGCAGAGTAAGCAACAGAGGAAGAGAGAGAGAAATAAGAGAGGGAAGATAGAGAGAAAATTCTTAGTGACAGGCGTTTGCTGTAGCGTTGCATGAAATGGCGCATAAAATGACAATCGGCAGCTGATGTTTTGGGGGTTTTCATAAATGTTTGATTACATTTACATCTATATATATATACATATATATATATATATATATATACATGTGTACGTACATATTTGAATATTTGAAGCAGTGAGAAACGGAGATCAATATAACATTTTGTTTGTTGTTAATTGAGTGTGGAAACTATTCTAAATACAAAATACATTAACAGTTTTCCACAAAAAAAAACATAACAAAAGCCCAAAATTTGCTGAGGACTCTCAAGCTAGTTCAATTCAGATACATTTTCACGCTGCTTCTGCACAATTATAGCTGAATATTTGATTTTGTTTTAGGTGGCATGTCCTGCAACTCTTGTCCACCATTTGGTGGATACAAGTTTCCATCCTGTTTTCAGCGATACGGCGGCATCTCTAACAAGAAGAATCCGGGCAATGTTCAAACGCTACACAGTCTCGCCCACAATGTGATGCCAAAATTCTATGACGGGGTCGAGCTCGATTATTATCATCGATTGGCGCCAAACAAGTTCATATCGGCCGCCTGGGTATTGAGTCATGTTAGACCAGCGGGCTTTCGTTTTGGGGGCCTTTACACGTTTCGTGTGCTTGATGATTTCATGGTGAGCTCGAACTGGAAACTCTAAATACTCACAATTGGTCAATTGAATTATCTTTCCTTACAGCTGACGCCAACAATCGTTGGTGACATACATCCGACCACATTGGCAGCCAATTTGAATATCCTTTACTATCCCTTCAAGCCGCTACGCATGGAGGCCGTCCTCCAAAAGCCTGGTGAGGACACCCCCGTGGAAACCCAATACACAATTGAATGGACACGACCCAGCGACACTTGGACAGCAAATTTGTACAACGTTCGCAATGAGAACGGACGTTGCACTTTGTCCGTAATGCGTTCAATTACCCAGCACTGGGCAATTGGTGGCGAACTGCTACTAGAATGGAATGAGCCGAAGAAGCTCATGACAGACTTGGCGTTTGCTGCACGGTGAGTTCTTGGCAAAATTAGTGATCTTTAGATATTATCAGTTGGCGATTCCTACTCGGCAAGTGCTAAGCAAGACAAGTTCATTGTAGAGATTGGTATTGAGAGGAATTATTAACTGTAAAAGGGGTAGATTATTATAGATTATTCTAATTTAAAGCTGTCAACAAAGCTAAAATTAATTCTAAAAGCTCCATCGAACGCAGCTTGGATATTTAATTTATTTCTATAATTTAAACAAACCATAAGCTGAAAACCCTTACAGACAGAAAAGAACTTCTGTGAATTAACAAAAAAAATAGAATTAAAATATATTTTCAATTCAAGTATTTTCCCTTATAGATAAATTTATATATATGTAAAGCGTCTATGCATGGAAAATACTGATGCAAAAACTGTCCAATTTAAATTTGTGCCATCTCTTCTAGCTACTCGCATCATCATTATTCCTTTGCGGCAACCGTCTCGCGTCAAGGTCTGGATGTTAGCTATTGGCAGCGCATTCATCCACAAATCCAGATGGCCAACCTGTTGGCCTGGAATCGCAGTACACGCAAAACAATTGCCACCATATGCTATCAGTGGAATTTTTGGAACTGTGCCGTACATGGCATGATCGATTCTGATGCGCTCGTTGGCTTTATGTGGACCAAGTACGTTAGATACATAATACTGATAATGATTGGATATGATAATTATTCAATTTCTTTAGATATCTTTCACATTTACCACTGCAAATGGGTTTCAGTGTGGTAATGAGTTTGCCGACAGATCGTTTTGCATTCGGAATGAGATTTGTTCTTGATCCGAGCGGTTTAAGACGTGGCGACTGAAATGTTTATTTTAATGTTGAAATTATATTTTTTACCAAATTATCAAAGAATGTCGTGTATACAATCTAAGAAATGTTCGGTGTTTAATCAAGAAATTTGTAAGTTAATGGGCGGTGTATAACGACAAAGCAAAACGAAAATATATTTAAAG